TCTAAAATGTTGCTGCAACATTGTCATGAAATATTAAATTTGCATGTTTCTGTAATGTCTCTACAATGTTACATTGTAACTTGCAAGATTGGAACATTGTTACAATATGTAATTACAATGATCTGTGCTGTATATATGGGTATAGTAAAATAACGCAATCCTTAATTTCGTACGTTTTTCACCTTATTCCGCGATATATGTGTGTATGTATATAATTTCAATTCCTCGGGAGCATATTTTCTCCTGAACGCGACAGCGAGACACCGTGTAAGGACGTTTAATAACCGGGTCAACATTATCCTAGAAATTGCCCGGCAGCTTTGTTCAACGCGCGAGTCAGCCGGCCTCGCAATTTTCTTCGTCGGCAAGAACGAGCCACTAAATCCTGAAGGAAAAGTGTCCTCCTCTGGTATCGCCGTCAGTCAAATCACATAATCGGCGATTTCTTTCTCGGGACGAGCGAACGTAACTTGAGAAAAGGACCGCGTTAAGAAGGGACAGGAAGACGAGTGGCCGTAGATGGGACCGAAATGTACGCGGTGTCTCCTTCTTGCATTTTACGTCGATTAAAGATGTAAAAAAATTTCAAAATGCAAATATAATAAATTTGACACATATATAATTTAAAGAATAAAAAGTACAAAGAAAAATCGCGAAGAGAGGAATTTGAAAAAAAATTGCTTCAGCTATTAAAAGGAAAATAATTTGTCGAATTAATTTTTAAAGGACGACGTATAAAAAAATTTTACGCAATTCATTTAATTAACACCCCGCTAATTATTCGTACTCGACACTTATAATTATATATAGCAAGCATTAAAAATTACGAAACAAGAGGGAAAGAAGAAATTCCATGGAAAATCTGCGGCCGGCACCTCGGGGGCACCCGGTATAACGTTTTAATTTCGCGGAAAATCTGACGATGTAATTTCTGGAGTAGAGCGACGCCCGGCAATTGTTTCAGCCGGCTTTCACCTCCCCGCATTATTCATGAGTCGACCTCCCTTTTTTCGCGAGACGAGAGGAACGAGGGAGGAATATCTTCCTTTTCTCTTCTCCTCGTCTCTGGTTCTCCTGCCTTCGCAGATGATCATTTTATAGCGGAATCTTCGGGTCCAGTGTTGCGCTTAAATGATTTTAAAATTAGCTAAAGATGAGATAAAAATATGTAAATTCATCTTAGAAAAGATGATTATTTTGTTTTAAATATATCCAAATAAAAGATAAAAGTATATGGCAATTCATCTAGGTAATAATTTTTAAGACCGCTTATGTAAACGCAGTTATAAAAAAATTTTAATTATAAAAGGGATATAAAAGTATATATGTATTCATATTTTTATTTATAAATTTTTATCGCTTAAATTCTACTATTAAGTTTTTTTATGTGCAGTGTTGTGTTTAGATGATTTTCAAATTAGCTAAAGATGAGAAAATTATATAAATTTATCTTAGATAACTGCTTACGTAAACGCAGTTATAAAAAAATTTTTAATTATAAAAGGGATATAAAAGTATATATGTATTCATATTTTTATTTATAAATTTTTATTGCTTAAATTCTACTTTATTAAGTACTTTTATGTGCAGTGTTGTGCTTAGATGATTTTCAAATTAGCTAAAGATGAGATAAAAATATGTAAATTCATCTTAGATAATATAAAGATGACTTTGTTTTAAATATATTTAGATAAAAGATAAAATTATATCGCAAGTCATCTAGATAATAATTTTTAAGATTGCTTGCGTATAAACTCAGTTATAAAAATTTAAATTACAAAAGGGATATAAAAGTATATATATATTCATATTTTTATTTATATTTATCAATTTTTTTATGTGCTAAAGATTCTAAATCAAAATTATCTGTGAAAATTATTCTAGAATAATATTTAATAAAGATAATACTTTTTTTCATTTAAGATGTATGCAGATATAGATAATACATATTTTTATTATCTATATAAAGATAAGAGGACGCCAAAACTTCATCTATATAATTTTATTTAGATAACAGCAAACACTGTTCATCTAGTATATATTTGAACGTTGTTAATCTTCATATTTGCCTCGAGGGGAGAGATATCGATTTCCTCCCCTGGAGAAATCCCCTTTATACCGCGTGAAAATGTTCTGTTCTTTCGCAATTTTTATTTTTATCAAGAACAAACATATCGATTTGGCATCATCAATGCAAAAGGTTTCCGGATGGATGCCGCGTGGTTTAACAGCGTAATGCCAATTTTGCACGTTACTCGCTTGTAAACGACACACCTCATCGTGTACATATATATGCGACATGACGACATAATGACGATGATTTGTAAATTCAAATTAGTCGCGGACGAATTTTAATCGCGCTAATTGTCATAATTTCAATGGGGTCCGCGAATTCCCGGATAGCCATCGCCGGAAATCGCCGTAATTTGAAACACCAGTACGCGAAAATAGCGTTTTCCATCCCCCCGTGAAATTCCATAATGGTATATATCACCTCCCATAATTCCCTAGGTGACTTTATGGCCCCTTTCCCACGAAACACAATATAAAATATAAAAATGTATGGAGCGACTCATAAATGTGTACAATAAAGAGAGAGAGAGAGAGAGAGAGAAATATGTATATGATAATACAGTAGAATTTATCACAAAACTTATCAGGAAATATGGCACATCCGGATAATAAATTATTTTTTTTGAAAATTTTACTATAAATGATGTTTATCTTTTTGCAGTGTTTATATATTAATTATTTTCACAATAAATAAAATAGTAACTTAAAATTTATACATCTTCCATTAAGCTCTCTGCGATTTAAATCCGTCATTACTTTTTGATATGTCCAATATAATTTTATCGTATACATTGCTAATATATTTTATTTTTTATAGGTGTCATCGAATTTCTTTAGAGAAATCTCTCCTAAAGAAGCTGCAGAAGATATCGCCTCGATTTTTTTTTTATATATTTCCATGAATTAAGTTGAATAAAAATCTCGAATGTTTCCCCTAAATGATGTTCTAAAATCCTAAACAATTACCGATTTATTGATTATTTAATTGTATTGTGTCATCGCCTCAATTAGAGCTTTTATTTCGAAGCTTTTAATCGTGTTTTTCTTGCATCGAAGAAAAAATTTGTAAAGCGTCTCTTTATAAAGTTATTAGTTAATTATTTATAAAGTAATTTACTATAGTTTATTAAGTATATTTTATTAATTATTTTATAAAGTTATTTAATTTATTGAATTTATTGCATAGAAGAAATACCTCTCGGATTATATAAAGTTTAAATACCGATTTCCTCTCTTATAAACGCAAATGAATAATGAATAATATATATACATATACACATATATATATATATATATATATATATATATATATATATATATATGCGTGTTCATGTTAACTTATTTTATTATGTAATTAATTAAATTTATAAAGTGATTTATTAGTTTATTAAGTTTATTACAGTTTATATTTATTAAGTGATTATTTATCTATTTTAGTGGATTTATTATTATAGAAGAAATGTCTCGGATTATAAATATGAATCAAACACCGATATTTCCTCTCAACAATAAATGATGAATAATTGAATAATAAATTTTATATACACATATATATATATATATATATATACCTATATACAATAAATATCGATGTACCTCTGTTAAACTTTAAACATTCCCAAACTCGGTCAGCAGTTGCTATTCACGAATAGCGTTTACATGCTAATATGCGCTTCCGAGCGATCGATCGACGCATAGCTTCCTCAGCAGTTGCGGCGTCGCCGAGGCACTCGCAACGACAAGTTAAATTAATAAGCCTCGCGACACAGTCGGAGAGAGAAAGCTCGGGCATTATTCAGTCGAACGGCAAGGAGACGTCATAGCACGATCGCTACACCTTCTCCTAGGCACTTCGTCTCTCCTCTCTCTCTTTCTCGTTAGCGGTGCAGTTAACAGCGCGCAAACGAGGCGAGCCACAATTTCGAAGCATTACGATTTCCCTCTTCGAATCGAGCGGGCAAAAGGGCTGACGAGGAAATAGCTTGCACATAGCTTGCGAATGCGAGTCCTTTTAGAAACCCGTCGCCGCAGGATAATCAGTCTAGAGCGCTCGCTCGCCCATTCATTACTCGTGCAAACACATTTATTGGCACACGCATCTTTTCCGCAACAATGGATTTTCTGCGACATCATAAAAACAACGTTTAATTTAATGAGTCAAAAAATATATGCATATGTATAACAGAAAAGAGAGAGGAAATTTTATAATCGAGCTTAATTAATTTTATTTTACATAGAAAGCTATTAAATCTAAAAAAAAAAAAGACAAATGGTATTGACAAGTTTGCAGGATTCTGATTAAGAATCTTTTCATTGCAAAATTAAATTTAGATTCAAGTGACTGTTCATATTGTATTGTCATTTATGTTGAATATTTTATTATTGTATTATACGTATAAATCATCCTCTTCTCTCTGAATATTACAACTGTAAAATTTCATGAATTTTATGAAGGACGCTGGAAAACTTTTTGATAAAAAAACGTATATCGAAAATAATTAAAATTTTATTCTCTAATAGCAAATATTAAATATACATACAAATATATATATATATATGTATAATAATAGCATTCAGAAATCTTGATATTTGTAACATTATTTCAATATCGCTTATATATAAGATTATATAGAAGAATAAGAATTATAAAGCAATATTTTCATACATTTTTAAAGTACTATATTATTTAAAGGAATCGCAGACAATCTAAATAATAAAATACATATTAGTTAAAATTGCTACTTTTCTATTTAAAATTTCAAATTGATTTAAACCAATAATAATTAATTAGCAAATACTATATTATTCACATAGCACTCATCTTGATGATACTTATAGCATCACCTTATAATTTTGATTTTTTTAATTTTAATTTTAATATATAAAAACCGTCATAAATAAAAAAAATAAAAAAAATTAAAATAATTAAAATACCTTTATACAATTTTAAAACGTTCACTTCACTTGGGAACTGTGTATATGTGTACAGGCAACCTAAATAATTAAAATAAATATATTAGTTAAAATTACTATTTTTTCTACTTATCTTACATTTCAAACTAATGTCAATAATCAGCTAGCAAATACTATTCAAATCATGGCACTCATAGATCTTGGTGGTTAAAATAAATCATCATTTTCAATTTATTACTGAAGTTGAAAAAAAAATTACATTTGAATATGTATTAAATGAAAATTACCTGCATTCTTTGCTAGTGCTTGATCACAAATTCCATTATTTCTAGATATCTGAAACATAAATAAAAAATTCTATTTATTAATCAAGAATATTATTTATAAATGTTATGTTGAATTTTTTATAAAGTCAGAAGTAGCAAATTGAAAAATCATGGCAATCATAGATCTTGGTGATAATTGTAACATCATTTTCTTTTAATTTTGATATGTAAAAGATATACAACATTAAAAAATAAAAATGATTAAATTACCTTTATAGTTTTTAAATACCATTTCACTTAGGAACTGTGTATGGGCAATCTAAATGATAAAATAAATATATTAGTCTCAAGATTAACTTTTCTACTTAAATTTCAAATCAATGTCAAAAATAATCAGCTAGCAAATACTATTCAAATCATGGCACTCATATATCTTGGTGGTTAAAATAAATCATCATTTTCAATCTATTATTACAGTTGATAAAAAATGATATTTTTAAATATATAATAAATAAAAATTACCTGCATTCTTTGCTAACTTGATCACAAATTCCATCATTTCTAAATATCTAAAACATAAATTAAAAAAAAGTTTATTAACAAAGAATATTATTTATAAATGTTGGATTGAATTTTTTATAAAGTCAGAAGTAGCAAATTGAAAAATCATGGCAATCAGAGATCTTGGTGATAGTTATAACATCATTTTCTTTTAATTTTAACATGTAAAAGATACACAGCATTAAAAAATAAAAATGATTAAATTACCTTTATAGTTTTTAAATACCATTTCACTTGGGAACTGCGTATGGACAATCTAAATGATAAAATAAATATATTAGTCTCAAAATTGTAACTTTTCTACTTAAATTTCAGACCAATGTCAAAAATAATCAGCTAGCAAATACTATTGAAATCATGGCACTCATAGATCTTGGTGGTTAAAATAAATCATCATTTTCAATCTATTATTACAGTTGATAAAAAATGATATTTTTAAATATATAATAAATGAAAATTACCTGCAATCTTTGCTAACTTGATCACAAATTCCATGATTTCTAAATATCTAAAACATAAATTAAAAAAAAAGTTTATTAACAAAGAATATTATTTATAAATGTTATGTTGAATTTTTTATAAAGTCAGAAGTAGCAAATTAAAAAATCATGGCAATCAGAGATCTTGGTAATAGTTATAACATCATTTTCTTTTAATTTTAACATGTAAAAGATATACAACATTAAAAAATAAAAATGATTAAATTACCTTTACAGTTTTTAAATACCATTTCACTTGGGAACTGTGTATGGACAATCTAAATGATAAAATAAATATATTAGTCTCAAGATTGTAACTTTTCTACTTAAATTCAGACTAATATAAAAATAATCAGCTAGCAAATACTATTCAAATCATGGCACTCATAGATCTTGGTGGTTAAAATAAATCATCATTTTCAATCTATTACTATAGTTGATAAAAAATAATATTTATAATATATAATAAATGAAATTTACCTGCATTCTTTGCTAACTTGATCACAAATTCCATCATTTCTAAATATCTAAAACATAAATTTAAAAAAAATGTTTATTAACAAAGAATATTATTTATAAATGTTATGTTGAATTTTTTATAAAGTCAGAAGTAGCAAATTGAAAAATCATGGCAATCATAGATCTTGGTGATAGTTATAACATCATTTTCTTTTAATTTTAACATGTAAAAGATATACAACATTAAAAAATAAAAATGATTAAATTACCTTTATAGTTTTTAAATACCATTTCACTTGGGAACTGTGTATGGGCAATCTAAATGATAAAATAAATATATTAGTCTCAAGATTGTAACTTTTCTACTTAAATTTCAGACCAATGTCAAAAATAATCAGCTAGCAAATACTATTCAAATCATGGCACTCATAGATCTTGGTGGTTAAAATAAATCATCATTTTCAATTTATTACTGAAGTTGAAAAAAAATTACATTTAAATATGTTGTTATATATTACATTAAATATGTATAGTTAATAAAAAATAATATTTGATTTAATCTATTATTATAGTTGATAAAAAATTACATTTAAATATGTATTAAATGAAAATTACCTGTATTTTTTGCAACTTGATCACAAATTCCATGATTTCTAGATATCTGAAACATAAATAAAAAATTCTATTTATTAATGAAGAATATTATTTATAAATGTTATGTTGAATTTTTTATAAAGTCAGAAGTAGCAAATTGAAAAATCATGGCAATCATAGATTTTGGTGATAATTGTAACATCATTTTCTTTTAATTTTGATATGTAAAAGATATACAACATTAAAAAATAAAAATGATTAAATTACCTTTATAGTTTTTAAATACCATTTCACTTAGGAACTGTGTGTATGGGCAATCTAAATGATAAAATAAATATATTAGTCTCAAGATTAACTTTTCTACTTAAATTTCAAACCAATGTCAAAAATAATCAGCTAGCAAATACTATTCAAATCATGGCACTCATAGATCTTGGTGGTTAAAATAAATCATCATTTTCAATCTATTACTATAGTTAATAAAAAATAATATTTGATTTAATCTATTATTATAGTTGATAAAAAATTACATTTAAATATGTATTAAATGAAAATTACCTGCATTCTTTGCTATTTGATCACAAATTCCATTATTTCTAGATATCTGAAACATAAATAAAAAATTCTATTTATTAATCAAGAATATTATTTATAAATGTTATGTTAAATTTTTTATAAAGTCAGAAGTAGCAAATTGAAAAATCATGGCAATCATAGATCTTGGTGATAATTATAACATCATTTTTTTTTAATTTTAACATGTAAAAGATATATACAACATTAAAAAATAAAAATGATTAAATTACCTTTATAGTTTTTAAATACCATTTCACTTGGGAGCTGCGTATGGACAATCTAAATGATAAAATAAATATATTAGTCTCAAGATTGTAACTTTTCTACTTAAATTTCAGACTAATATAAAAAATAATCAGCTAGCAAATACTATTCAAATCATGGCACTCATAGATCTTGGTGGTTAAAATAAATCATCATTTTCAATCTATTATTACAGTTGATAAAAAATTATATTTTTAAATATATAATAAATGAAAATTACCTGCATTCTTTGCTAACTTGATCACAAATTCCATCATTTCTAAATATCTAAAACATAAAATCAAAAAAGTTTATTAACAAAGAATATTATTTATAAATGTTATGTTGAATTTTTTATAACGTCAGAAGTAGCAAATTGAAAAATCATGGCAATCAGAGATCTTGGTGATAGTTATGACATCATTTTATTTTAATTTTAACATGTAAAAGATATACAACATTAAAAAATAAAAATGATTAAATTACCTTTATAGTTTTTAAATACCATTTCACTTGGAAACTGTGTATGGACAATCTAAATGGTAAAATAAATATATTAGTCTCAAAATTGTAACTTTTCTACTTAAATTTCAGACCAATGTCAAAAATAATCAGCTAGCAAATACTATTCAAATCATGGCACTCATAGATCTTGGTGGTTAAAATAAATCATCATTTTCAAATTATTACTATAGTTAAAAAAATTACATTTAAATATATAATAAATGAAAATTACCTGCATTCTTTGCTAATCTGATCACAAATTCCATCATTTCTAAATATCTGAAACATAAATTTAAAAAAAATGTTTATTAACAAAGAATATTATTTATAAATGTTAAGTTAAATTTTTTTTTAAGTCAAAAGTAGCAAATTAAAAAATCATGGCAATCATAGATCTTGGTGATAATTATGACATCATTTTATTTTAATTTTAATTTGTAAAAGATATATAACATAGAAAAATAAAAATAATTAAATTACCTTTATACAGTTTTCAAATGCCATTTCAGTTGGAAACTGTGCGTATAGGCAACCTAAATAATAAAATAAATATATAAGTTAAAGTTGCAACTTTTCTACTTAAATTTCAAACTGGTGTTAATAATAATCAGCTAGCAAATACTATTCAAATCATGGCACTCATAGATCTTGGTGGTTAAAATAAATCATCATTTTCAATTTATTACTAAAGTTGAAAAAAAATTACATTTAAATATGTATAAAATAAAAATTACCTGTATTTTTTGCAACTTGATCACAAATTCCATTATTTCTAGATGTCTGAAACATAAATAAAAAATTCTGTTTGTTAATGAAGAATATTAATTATAAATGTTATATTGAATCTTTTATAGTCAGAAGTAGCAAATTGAAAAATCATGTTCCTCAGAGATATTATTGCATCATTTTAATTTAAATAAAATGTTTTATATATGAAAAGTAAACATATTTTATACACAAGAGTAAAAGTGTATCTATGTAATTTTAAGATGTAACTTTGAACTTGCAAACAATTTAACTAATAAAATAAATGTATTATTAACATTACTATATACTTTTCCATTTAAATTTCAAAATGATGTAAACAATAGTAAATTAGCAAATACTATACAAATCACAACACACTCATACATCTTGATAAATAAAATTATCTCATTCAAACATTTATATATCATGTAAAAAATTAATAAAAATAAATGTTACCTAATTCTCTTGTAGTTTAATTATAATTGCCAGAACTATGTTTTTTTTTCAACCAGCTTTTGTTGATCTAAAAAGAAGAAAAATTTGAATAAAATAAAATATAAATATCATAAAACTAAAATAAATATCACAATATATAAAAAGCTTACCTATTGCATAATCATTATAATATATAATCAAGTTTATTTTAATATATAAAGAAGTTATAAAAATCTAATCAAAATATCTACTATGGAAATATTGTTCAAAAAATAACACCAGACATATCTCTGTAAAGTAAAAATGCAAAAGACAATTTATCAAAAAATTCAGTAAATAATATAATTGTATATAATATATTAAAACAAATAAGCTAAAAAGTCTCGAGCATTTTTACATCACAGAATATATCGTCCATAATATATTATGTTAAAACATATATTTAATAGTACAAATTAATCGGTCTTCTTAGTAGTTCGCGTCTTTTTAGCAGGAAGAGGTTTCTGAGACTGTAATACAGCGCTAGCTCTTCGCAACGCAGCCTATAAAACATATCCAGTTGATAACAATAATCCTAAGACAGAATTACTCAAATTAGTAACAATTGATTCACGTACCTTGGTAAGATCTACACGATACTTATTCTTTGTCAGCAGAGTCTTCAGTTTATAAAGGGAACGACGAGCCCCAGCCTTCATTGTACTCTTGACTGTAGCTTTAGCAGGCTTGTTGACCGCCTTGGCCTTCTTGTAGACGACTGTGAATCCCTTTTTGTCAGGGGTATCAACTATGCCTACACTCTTACGATGGATCAAACCAGAGTAGCGATAGCTGCTCTGATTCGTCAAGTTGTTGGATTCCTGAGCATACATTATTTTATTAATATTCATTAATTTGAAAGTAATAACTGCGTTGCATTTTAGAGATTGCTTTCAAAAGTTACAACTAATAATACTTAAAAAATAATGTTTGTAAAACATTGCGAGCAACGTACCGTGGAAAATGGCTTATTAATGTTGCGTTTCTTAAGAAGAAAGGCATTGTTATTGCGGACTATCATCCAATTTAAGTGCGACATCTTGGATCTTCCTGTGATAGATTATTACAATTCTAATTATTTTATACGCATTTTTAATAAAATTGTTTAATTTTAATTTTAATTTATTTATAATTAGATCAGTGTATACCCTTATTTTTTAAATATATATATTGAATTTACTATATTTAAGCTACATACAGTTTGCTGATGGATTACAGATATGAACTAACCGCAAAAGAATAATTTTCTACAAATAAATAGCTATATTGCAAAAACATCTGATAATTTAGAATACATCAACGATTATAAAATTAGATTCTAATGCAGCGAATTGTTTAAAAAAATTGGATAATAAAAGAGAAATTATACATACCACGTGCATCAACAAGGAGAACCGATCAGAAAGAACTTTCAATATGGCGACAACGGAATTCATCAATTATCTCGTATATAGAAGGACTTGTTCAAAATATCTTCGATTTTAGCGCCACCTAATGCTCGTGATATAAAACTTATTGCTCTAAGAGCGTAAATTTTAAATACATTTTACTTTTGATATCTTACAATTCCTATGGAATTATAAATAATAATTTCGTTTATAAAATATATTTTTTGTAAATTATATTGTCAAGATATAATATATAGAATATTTACACTATATGTTTTCTTTAATTATAATTCTTAAATATTCTTTTCTCTTAAAATACTGCTTACACACGCAATAAAAAAACATTTTCTAAATAAAAATTTTAATATTTTCATATGATACATACATAAAATTTATATTTGTTTTGATTATTATACAATTTTATAAAATATTAAAGCTCTAATTATATATATAATTTGTTATAAAATATAATTATATATTATATATATACATATAATTAATATATTTATATTTATAATATATTGTATATATTATATATCAATTTCTATAATTATATATAAAAATGATAAGTTTTATCAAACATTTTTCAGATGGCTCGTGAATAATCCATCGAAGACTTAAACTACATTTCATTATCAAATGGTAATTCAGAAAAGGTACTCGCTAGATCAGTTTCATTGTATTCAACTGACTTTTCTCCTCTTTCCTCTTCGAAACAAATGGTCTGAAAGTCCTGTGGGATAAAAATCTCTGTCTCGGATATGTATTTCCTATCATCCTGGGAAAAACGCTGCAGCTCGCACCATCGCGTGGCGACGTCTTTGCAGGCGCATTTCCTAAACGCCAGACAGTGAATGTGACGTAGCTTCTCGTATTTGATCCTCATGAATCCCAATCTGCTCAGCGTGTACCTCCAAGACTTCATCAACCTTGCGTTTGCTCCGACGTGCTTCGAATCCGGACTCACAATGAGTAGCAGGCCGCCTATCTTCAGCACGTCGTACGCATTCCTACAGCAATTGTATCTCTGTTCCGGACATGGCAGATACTCTAGTAATAAGGAAAACACCACGGCGTCGAATGACCTTGCGGCTAGCTGATAAATCTCTCGCGCGTCTCGCGAGAGAATTCGCTCCTCTCCGATCGCGACGTTTAAAAAATCGCAGCGAAAAATTCCTCCTGTTGAATCCGGAATTAAATCTATCGCGGTGACGTCGAATGCCTCGTCGACGCTTAAAGGATTGTAACAACTTCCTACATCCAGTACTGATATTTTTGGTTCATTTTTTAAATGATCTTCCATACAGATGTCTTCATCACTGTTGTTTGTACAGCTTTCATCCAACTTTTTTCCAGTCATTTTAGCATATATATCCCGTTCTCTCTTATCGTACTTCTCTTTACCACCATTGAGAAAGTACTCCTTGCACTGGGTTCTTATCCACAACATTCTACAGTATGTTCCATTCTTCGAATCATTCTCCTTCCAGTATTTAGTGGCCAATTTTTGCATAGATGTAGCATACTTCTGAAATTTGTCTCATATCAATCTACAATATATGTATTATTAATATATAATTATTAATGTAGATAAAAATGTATTAAATATAATAAATAAAAATATGTTAAATATAATATATGTAGACATAAATATCAATATATAATATATATTATATTAAACATATAAAATTATAATATTTATGAAATACATTAAATCTGTTATATCATATATGCAATATAATATATTATATTAAACATAAAATTTAATATATATATATTATATTAAACCTATAAAATTATAATATCTATGAAATACATTAAATCTGTTATATTATATATGCAATATAATATATTAAATTTTGTACACAGCAGACGCGAACCTGTAAAACGTCATTTCGCGCCATATGACGCTCCCACGCGACTTCGGCGCCATATTGATGATATTCCGTCCGCAACAGGGCATGAGTTTCCTTCACTACATCAGCTAAGCGTTTATGCTCCTCCGTCGCCATTGCTGCATTCACTCGGCAGACGTAACCTTTTTTTCTAATATCCTCCACGTCCACGTTTTTAAGCCAGATGGCTACGTACTTTAAACGCAATATTTCACAGTTATTTCGTGCAATTAATTACGTTTATATTAATTATTAGATGCATTGTCTGGCAACAAACTCACGTGTCATCCTTCATTCATTCCAAAACCTGGCTGTGAATATATAAATCATTGAATATCACGTCCCATCAATTCAAGAATCGAGTCCCTGCTTCTATTGGCTAAGAACGTTTCTATTCTCCAGTCCTATTGGTGGACACTTTCTATTTCCCGTTCCTATTGGCGGATATTTTCTATATCGCGTGCTTTCACATTACAATTCTCAATCCGATAGTTTCCAATATATTTTCTAATCCGTGGCACAACAACTAAACTTTCGACGAGATCTCTCGATTATTCGTCCATACGTAATCCCCGAAGAAAAAAAATCAAAAAACATCCCCATTGACGCTTTTTTCCCTCACGAGAGCGAAATGACGTGAGAAAGATCTTCTCGTACGTGCACCTTATTTCGAGAAAGCCTTATTAGAGAGAGAGAGAGAGAGCTCCCGCCGAGTGACAGGCGCATCATGCACGCTCCGGACGAAGCGTGTTCGCGTCGCCACCTTCCGTCAGAACTGCCGTCACCCGGGGAGAAACGCGCGCCCAGGCGAGGATTATGAGCCGGACGACCGTCCCCGATGACCTCGCTCGAGGATGACTTAGGAGGTCAGCTCGTCGAAAGGATAACCGGATTCCCTGGTTGAAATATGCGGAACTTACACTGGGCATGCTGCTTCCTTTGGGTGGGTCTGCCGATGTTCGCGGCCTACCCCGTACCCACGTCACCTGTCGCAGGTACATCGTCCTCGAGGAAGTTTATTGTTGGACGCGTGAAAAAAAATTACTGTCATATTTGAAACTTAAAATGTTAGAGCAATGATGCAAAAATAATTTTCTGACAATTGTCTGTGAGTGACAGCTGTCAAACTTTCAGGCAGGATGAAAGATCCACTTGAAAAATCAGTTTTGAATATATGTTTGTAATATAAATATTTTGCTTCATTTGATAAAATACATATACTGAAATCCCACATTTTTTGTTACACTCTGTATATGCTGTTTTGTAAACAATAGAAAGCGTATTTTTTCCTAAGAAAAGATGAAAAATGATTCTATTTTTAATATGGAAATGATATAAGCTAACATTCATAAATATTACTGAAAAGACAATTGAATGACATATTTTTATTGTGCTAGGTTCACCACACACACGTGCTTCCTGGCAATGGGAACACTACTGGATGCGTTATGCGATTGCTCTGTCAAGTGTCACCGCCACAGCGTTAACTTTAGCTGGTTGCCTCTGTTGTCAGAGGCACAGAAGACCAAGAGGATTTAAGGTAGTTTAAAGAGAGATCCTAAGTAATCTTAGAAGAAATGACGTTGTTACTTTACAGCTCTAACGTAAGTCTCTGCATTTCTTTTAATTATAGGACAAAGCAGAGAATATCAAACAGGTAACATTGATATATACATATCGCGGGCTCTTTATTTCTTACTGTATAAACTGTTAAAATGGGAATGTAAAGTTAATGTTTAGTTGTCTCCTAATGAAGATTCTGTCTATATAAACTATAATTTATATCAGTATTTATATAATTATATGTATATATTATTACATAATTACATATACACGTATATTTGTCTAATAAGTTTTTATAGATGGAGTCTACGCAATTAGATAGTGCATTACGTACAACATTATAGGACTAATTTTTTACGTAGAAGATAATTCTTAAAATTTTTTGAAGCTGATTTAATTATTACAATTTGTAGTTTGTAATTAAGTAAAATAAATCTTAAGTTTTCTAATATTTTTTAATATCTTAATTAATAACTAGCATGCGTAGTATACAGATGTTGTATGCAATGAATTTTGGAGCATAAAATAATAATATTATTATTATTATAGGAATTCAAGGATGGAAGCGTTATAGAGGAAAGCGCATTCGGTCGGTCTATTGAAGGATTGGAGTTGGATGCCTCCAGGACACTAGCTGCTTCCGAAAGAGTCCAGTTCGAGCCTTTACCAGTGGACTCCATTGTATCCGGAGCAAGGAGTACACCAAAGGCTAAAGCTAAACCTCTGTCAGCGCCACGTAACGAGGATCAAGACATCCAGGATCATTCCGTTCTGCAGGAGCCGTGCAGCGAATGGTTCAGTTCCAACGAGCTCTACGTCCCGAGAGAGAAGCTCAAGTATCTCCGAGAAATCGGTCACGGCTGGTTCGGTAAGGTCGTTGAAGGTCGCGCGGACCTGGAACAGCCGAAAGGTATATCGAAATCTGGCGGTGTGGTCGTGAGAATCCTCACCGAAGAAGCCACCACGAGGGAGAAAGCCTGGTTCCTCGGCGAGGCTACGCCGTACTTGAAACTACGTCATCAGAACGTTCTGGCTCTGCTTGGCTTCTGCCTGGAGACCGATCCGTACCTCCTGCTGTTCGAGTCCTGCCCGGCTGGTGATTTGAAAGGCTTCCTGTTATCAAATCGCGACGCCAGGTCGAGGGACGCCCTCGCCAAGGAGAATATTCCCATAAGAATCGCGATGGAGATCGCATCCGGTTTGAAGCACATGCACAGTCACGGCTTCGCCCACACGGACCTCTCCGCGAGGAACTGCCTGATCGCCCCGGACCTGTCGGCCAAGCTCGGCGACTACGGCACCGGCGTCGAGAAATATCCCGCGGACTATTACATCGTGGGAGATCGAGCCTTGCCGATCAGATGGTCCGCGCCGGAGAGTCTGAACTGCACGGACACGACGATCGAGACGCAGGAGATCACGTTGAAGGCGAACATGTGGAGTTACGCGGTTCTCCTGTGGGAGATCGTCAGCTGGGGCGAGAGGCCGTACAACGACATGAACGACGAGCAGATCATTCAGATGATCCTCGCCCTGAAGAGGCAAGTCACCCCGAACGGTACCCGGCTGCTGCAGAGCTACCTCGTCAATTGCCCGTCAAATATATGCCAGGTGACACGTCTATGTCTGAACGTCAACGCGAAGAGCAGACCGTCGTTGGACGACGTGAGACAGATTCTTCTGAATGAGCCCTCCGTTCACCAGGACTTCGAGCAACGCTGGGAGAGTCTGCGCGCAAACTCCTGCAGCAAGCAGCACGCGCGAAGCGCCAGCTTGCAGGATCTACGCGGAAGCATCGACTCCGACTACTGGACCCACATCGTGGACGACGTCCAGACCGCGGACAACGCGCTGCAGCAGTCCTCGTTTCGTCTCGGACCTGACGAACAAGTGAGGAACATCCCCGGGATGAAGAACGCCGTCCCTATATTTCAGGAATCCGGCTCGGAGACCGAGGAAGAGAGCTGGAAGGGTCGAGTCGAGAAGGGGGTCTACACTGAAAAGGTGAAGCAGAAGTCCAAGTCCGTGACGGACCTCATGGTGCTCGTGCACATCGATCCGGACTCCGACGCCGAGTGGTCGATGGGCGCGCAGACCTCGTCCTCGGAAAGGAACGCGAAGAAGAAGCTACCCGGCAGCGACAGCGACCTGAGACGCAGCGTTCCCGAGTTCGACGAGGCGTTGAAGAAACTGCGGGACCCGTTGCCGGCTAACAACGGCACCACCAAGCTCGCCAGATCGCTGGAGAACCTGGAGCGACCGAAACTCCTGACTCTGACCATGGATCAGGGTCAGACGCCGATCCTGCGATTGTCCTTGGACGACGCGGCGATGACTCCTGAGGGCAATGGCGACGCACAACGTAGTGAGAAGCACGTATTGAGACTCCTGTCAAAGGGAGACGACCCGGATCTTCCCCTCCTGCGCTATGTACCTGACCAAACCACATTCTCCGTCGAGGAGGAAGCGAGAAGGAGAGAGGAGACCGAGAATAACGTCGAGGACGTTTTGCTCTGGAATCACGCGTTGGACTCCGCTCTGGAGCACAAGGTGCCCGGTTTCTCGGACGAAACCGAGTTCAATGAGTATGTAGAATCCTCGGGATCGACTGGACAAAATGGCAACGCGCCGGAACTGGTCGTCACCTCCACGCCAGACGCAACGCACTTTCGCAACAACGTCTACGCCACCATTTACAGCGCCGACGAGAGCTTCCCCACGGCGGAGAACATGGAGCAAGTGGAAGGGAAGCTGCTGTCGAACGACGACGAGGAAGAGAGGAAGCAGCTGTCCACCCCGGACGACGAGCAGAGCTCCGACTCGGGTTTCCGGGACAAGGAGTCCTGCGAGGAAGAGGAAGGAGGTTGTCTGCCGACGTCCGGCAATCTCTTGGCCTCCGCCAACACTTCCGGATCGTCCTATGCTGAAGAGGAGCCTCTTCAGATCCTGTTCGAGCTGGACACCATCCTCGACGCGGAATATTACGCCACTGCCGGGCCTGAAAGTATAACGGAAGCTGACATTTCCACATCCGGCGTCGAGGAAACCGTCTCGCCCTCGAGACGGAACGTTCAGTCGAATCATGTATCTGCGAACGTGGAAGAGGATAGGAAGGATGGTCCAAAGGGTGAGAGAACAAACTCTGAATACGAGACTCGAGGGTTTCAAGCTGAAGACGACGTTCGATCGCGCGAAGCGGAAGCGGAAGTCGCTATTGTTAGTGCTCAGCGGGACGAGCAGTGCTCGCAAGCGGACTACGAGAACGAGGACGAGGACAGCTCGACGGTGAGCCTGCGCAGCGACAATTCCTACGTGTCGTTCAACATGGAGGAGGAATTCGTCACGGCGATTCGGAACGAACTCAGGGAAAAGTTGCCCCAGGCGCAGATGCAGATCGTAGAGTCCTTGGAGGTTCACGACGACGACAGCGCGGCCGGCGACGTCTACGGCAAACGGTGGGACGACGAGGACGGCGAAGATTCAGCCGATCAAACTGGCGGAGGTGTAGACATTTCGATCAGGTGCGGTTTTTTTTTTTTTTTTTTTTTTTTCTCTCTCTCTCTCTCTCTCTCTCTCTCTATTGAAGACACGAGGTCTGAAGAAAAGTTGTTTGATTTGAAGAAAGACCAAAGATAGCGTAATTGACTTTTTCTAAAGGTCGCTTTTCAAGGTCATTTGAAAGTTTTTAAATAAAATCACCATTTTTTTTTAGTAAACTAATTCCTCGTTATTTTCGATTTAAAAAGTTATAAAGGTAACATTGCCAAAAAAATAAATAGTTTAGGAAATATTTGATTGAAGTTTGACATAATTTTACTTAAACTGTGAAATATCTCGTGAAATATTCATTTTTGGCCATCGTATCCTTATAATTCTTTATGCCGAAAATTGCAAGGAATCTATTTATATTTAAAAAAATATAGTTTAATTTAAAAAACATGAATGACCTTCAAGTGACCTTCAGACCTTCAAGGTCATTTAATGAACCTTTTTGGCCATTATATTCTTATAATTCTTTATGTCGAAAATTGCAAGGAATCTATTTACATTTAAAAAATATGATAATTTAATTTAAAAAACATGAATGACCTTTAAATGACCTTAAGACTTTCAAGGTCATTTAATTAACCTTCAAGTGCCCTTTAGGAAAATGTCAGTAGCGCTATTTTCTATCCTTCTTCAAGCAACTTTTGTTCAAAACATTTTGTTGTACAATAAAAAATGAAAGAGCTTCCCTTCGGAGAAATGATCTGAATTTTAAATAGTTACAGCTTTGTCAATTGTAACAATCAATTTTTTTTTTCAGGTACAACGTGTACGGAACGCCGCTGAGTCCCATCTTGGAGGAGCGAGAGAGCACGGTGACTTCCGAGTCGTTGATCTCGAACTCGAGGGAGACGTCGCTCATCTCTAGGGATTCGATGCCGTCCGAGGACGTGCTGCTGGTCGACACGCGTACAAACGAGATGATATTGCTGGAAGGGCTGGGGGACCGATTGCAGGACGAGGATCGGGACACCACGAACGGCGATCTGTCGGACGAGGAGAACTTTGATTACACCTCGTCTATGATGCGTCCCTTGGAGGATAAATCGCGCGGGATCATGAAGACGGGCGGAGGCAACGCGCCATTACCGAGTCCCGAGGAAGAGTCCAAGTGGCAGCAGCTGTCTTCGTCCTTTCCCTTACCTCTGCCCTTGCCCTTACAGGACGATCTGATGTCGACGAGTTTCGCCAGCGAGAACGAATGCTATAGTCAGGAAGATGAAGACGAAGAGGAAGAAGAAGAGGGCGATGAGGAAGATGAAGATGAAGAGGGAGAGGGTGAAGGAGAGGAGGAGGATGAGGACAACAGTTCCAGTTCCGGTGAATTTGTATGGAAGGTAAATTTTTGTATCAAAAATTTATACATTAATTTATATATTAATTTATAAATTATATTAATTTATAATTATATTAAATTATATTAATTTATAATTTTATATATTAAATTTATATATTAATTTATAAATTTATATATTAAATTCATATATTAATTTATAATATTAATATATAAATTAAAATATATATTATTAATTTATATATTATATATATATTATTTATATATTAAATTTATTTATATATTATTTATATATTAAGGACCTTTGTGAAGTCTTTTAGGTTCTTCTAAATCAAAATTTGCGTTTACAGAGATACAACGAGCCGCACGTCGAGCAGATACGGATCAAAAGTACCGCGAACGAGGATGACGAAGCGACAAGTACGCCAACGGCGAATACCGAATTGGAAGAGGAAGAGTTGGGTGTCGAGGAGGACGAGGAAGAGGAGGAATTCACGCCTTCGGCCTGGAACGCCACTTTAGCGCCTCATCGTTCAGCGTTGAGGTCTCCGGACAAAACGTTAAAGTCTGGGGTAAGTCCAGGATTAAGGATAAAGCTTCTGGTATAGATCAATAATATACGCAAATATAGGCTGATTCATTTTAATCGCCCCAGGCAAATATTTTCGAAAACTATGAGAGATATGAAAAAATGTTTCAAACAAAAGTTTTTTTTTTTTTTTTTTTTTTTTTTTTTTACTTGGAGGGGTACATAAGATGGTATTATTAGTTTGATCTTGTATAATCGTTTGAAGGTCACGTGAAGATCAATTTCTTAAATAAAATTTACTATTTTTCATTCTTGTAACTTATATCGAGAGCTTTCCAAAACACTAATAAAATATTTTTCTTTTAAGTACTTTTTGAATTATTAAGGTTTGAAATTTTATGTCAAAAAATTGTTGACTTCAAACCTTAATAACTCAAAAGTACTTAAGAGAAAAATACTTTATTATAGTGTTTTGAAAAGCTCTCGAGATAAGTTACAAGAATGTTGGATAAAAAATATCTTCCATTTAAGAAATTGAAAGTAACCTTCAAATGATTATACAAGGTCGAATCAATGACACCATTTTATGTCTCTCTCAAAGTCGAAAAACTTTTGTTGAAAAATGTTTTCGTATCCCTCATAATTTTCGAAATATTTGCCTGAGGCGATTAAAATAAATCATCCTGTATATGCAAAATTGCTCATGACGCACGAATGGATATTAACAGCGTTCTTCTTTCGTTCCTCTTGCGATTGCTGCTTAGGATGAGTTGGTAGGTGTGTCGATTACTTAAGTACACAGAGCAATGCATGTAATTTTAACATCCTTTCCTCTCGCGTGACTCTTTCCCTTGCAGAGATTTAAATTCGAGGTATTTAGCGCAAGTATCTTTTTTTTATAAACATTACGCTAGAGGCTGCGAATAGTAGTTGCGAATAGAATGTAGGTTTTGGTGTATTTCCCTATAATCGGACCAAATCGTCATTTGTCCAGGATCAGAAGAAGAGCGTATGGTTCAAGAAGCAACGCTACCACTGCGTATATGAGTACCCGAAGGAAACACCACCTGTGGACAGTCAGGATGACGTCACCACCAATTCGGAACCGACGTCGTACTCTGGTACAAATTTTAAACTTATAAAGCAAAACTTCTTGGATATTTTCTACATCGAATATCTAGATTCTAGAATAAAAGTGACGTTTCCTTCTTCTGGATTTTAGATTGGGAAGAAATGATCAATGAGCCACGATTAGACATGTACCCTTTAAATTACGATGACGCCAATCATACTGGTACGTGTGAGTTTAGTTACGAGATTAAAGGATTCCGCGCCACAAATACATAGGATTTTCAGTGGACTTGGCTGTTTTTCATATGTTGTAGCTTATGTCCTACTGAACAAAAAACAGCCTCAAAGATAAATAAATGGTTACTGATTTACAGCCAGTCAAACTATCTATCTAATATTTAACTTTGGAAGCTATTAGGTACATCTTTTGTTTAGCAAGTCATAAGCTACAACAATGTACGAAAAACAACCAATTCCATCAAAAACCAAAATCCTACGTATTTAATCCTTTTTACGAGTGTTAAAAAAAGGATCATCTATTTAATACTTACAAGGGAACATTTTCAAATGTAAATAATCGATCTTGATGAAACTTGACAGGTATGTAGAGGGGTCAAAACTAAGTATTTTTTTGTCCAAACTGTTTTTCTTGGCCGCTAGAGGGCGCTGAACTTGTAATGAGTATTAACTCATTACATGAGTATTAACTCATTACAAGTTCAGCGCCCTCTAGCGGTCAAGAAAGATAGTTTGGGCAAAAAAAATACGTCAAACTTAGTTTTGACCCCTCTGCACACGTGCCAAGTTTTATCAAGATTATTTACACTTGAAAATATTTTCTTGTTAGTCTTTGAAGATATTAATGGTAGGATCCATGATAATTAGACTTTTTCTTGTTTTGATCAATATTACCTACTCTCAAAATATGTGACCCTTTTTAAACACCCTATCTTTTCGAAATTGTTATACATGTATTTATTATACCGTTTGTTTTTAGGAAACGATCAGGAATTCTTCGTCACCAGTTCGAATCGGCCCTTCCAGTTCCAAACCGGCGAGAGTAGATGCGTCAGCCAATTCTTTCCCGGCGCGAACGCAATCCTGTTGCCCGACGAGCGGGATGAAACGGATGGCTGCCGGCAAGAGGAGCCGCACCAGAATAACATCGACTTCGCCAACGAATACATCGAGGGCCAGCCGGGCCAGCAGCACCAATTGGGGGAGCTGAGACACACCAGGGATCGTTTGAAATTAAATCTAGTATCATCGAATAGTATACCGTCCGTCCCTTTCGTTCCTGCGAAACAGCCGCACTCGGGGGAGCAATTAATAGAGAACCACGAATCGGAAGAACCTGAGAACGTCATCGCGCAAGACCAATGTATCGTATCGAGCGACGATGACGCGTTGCCAAAGGTGCCTCACGAAGATGTCCAGGCTGATTTAGCTTCTACGAGGAACCTCCAGCGCGACAGCCGGGAAACGCTGGAGTCTACCGAGAAGTGAAGTGTTTTAGCAATGAAAAAAACTAAAGTCTGATAATGGTGTACTGAAGGAGAAACACAGTTCAGTCCGTCCGAAACAATCTCGTCGTGGAAAATAGCCGTCGATTTTCCTCGTTCAACGCATTCAATGAAGTTATCACCGATGAGATTTACTATCATGCGTGACACACGAATCTCGAACAAATGTATATAATAGATCTGAGGATGTAGCGAATATCGCGTGCTCGAGGTGACTTACGCCAAGGTCAATCGGTTGTCTAGCGGATTTTGTTAGCGCGGAGTTGTTATGTAGTTGTTCTCTGTAAAATAAGTACGAAAAAATGCGTGTCACTATATAGATAATTGCGGCTTTATTGTCATGGATAAAGCTTCCTATTTCGCATGTGATGGTTCAATAATCGTGATAGAACAAACGAGGGACAGAGGGGAACTCTATATATATATATATATATAAAATGGACACAAGTATTAATTCTAGACAATCGATTCGTAGAGAAGCTACATCGAAAAAAAAAATTCGTTGCACGTGTAAATAGTTATTTATAGCGTAATCGTTAAAAACAAACAGTAGTGCCTATGTAGAACGACACAATTATTTTTGCGATTGTCTATAAGAGACATATAACTGTCTTTCATTATTTTTTTCCTTTTTGCTCTTTACCGATACTCATTATCGCACGATATTTCTCGATATTAACTAAACATTATTAACAATCCGCTCTCTATTATCAAAGTATTGTATAGCAGAATATATGGGATACTTTCCATCCCGCTTATTAAAGACTCTTGTGGCGAAGGAAAAATCATGGAAAAAATATACTTGCACGTCTAATTTTCTACACGATTATATGTATCGTATATATTGATAGATTTTTACTTTTATTAGATCTGTGATGAGAAAATACGATGCGTAGATCGGTCCAATTTTATATTGAATTTAAGAAAAAAAAATACATTTGAATTGGAAAATCGCGTATTAATCGTATTTAACACGAGAATCTCTGCCAATCTTCGAGCTTGTTTTTCTTTTCGAATATACGTGATACGCGATTATGTTACATTTGCCTCTCTTTTCTATAGTGGCATATGACAAAACTATTTCGAATATTATTTACTTTTATACTAAAATAGAAACAATTTTGTGACCGATTTTTTTCGCTTAAATATATTAATATACACTATGTGCGAAAGTATACAAACATTGATAAATCCACAATACGTGGTACGTCGTAAAAGATATTTCTATAGATCTCAAAAATATATTTGCGGACGCGCGATAAACATAATTATGAACTTAAATACCATTTTAGAGAGATTTTTACAAGTATTTATTTGCGATATAATGTATATATATATATATATATATATATATATATATATATATATATCGTACAATTATTCATACTGGACAACACTGGATAGAAATCATTGAAACCAGAACGAATCGATGAAACAGAATAATATTGAAAGTTATACGAACAAATTCACTCTCGTCACGTCTCTCGCTCTATCATCACACTACTATTATTACTATTAATACTGCTTTTGTGCTCACTATAATATAAAATGAAATAGAGAACAATTAATATATTGTTATACAGAAAGAAGAAGCGCTGTGTTTATTAAATCGACCCAAAAATTTTTATTTTCTCCAAATTTTATATTAATTATTCATTTTTATTTACACAAGCATAAGACATAGATCCGCGATATGTACAAACTTCTATATTTTAGACAAATCTATACATTCCTACATGACGCTTTACATAAGGTTTGTTCTTTTCAGCTGAACTAGTCCAGAGTTTATTTCTTTCCTTCCAAAGAAACTCTAAACTAGAAAGTACAAGTGAAAAGAACAGACCTATAATTAAGGTTGTGGTCAAAAACATCATTCTATCTTTGTTTTCTACATTTCATGAGAATAAAAATAGAATAATGTTTCGAAACACTTATTAAAATCTTATATTATAATTTGTGCCTTAGAACTCGATCAAATTGTTCTTCCTTTTTTCTCCTCCAATGAAATCCCGAAGAGAATGCTTTACAAATGACGCTGATGATTGCGCCACAAGATAATCTGTCCGTCGTGATCCGCGGATGCCAATAGGGATTCGTCGTAATTAAAGGCTAAGGCTAACGCGGGTGTCGCGTGACCGAGCAGTCGATTGATCCTGGCGGCCTTTCCCTCCCTCGCTGAATCCAGCAAGTGAACGGCCCCGTCTTCTGATCCAGTGGCTATTAAACACGCACCCATTTGCGGACAGAAAGTGGACCTCAACGAATAATGCCTGTGAAATCACATACTTCATTAAAATGTACTAGATCCTAGAAGAATGCAAGACTATACTTGCTGGAAAGCTGCGATCAAAATAAAGAAATTTAAAAGTAGGCTAATTGATTAATGGAAAACACGGAAAGTATATTTTGTAGGCTAAAATATAGAGATAATAGCATAATGTGTCCAAAAATGTTTAATATAATATTAAGTGTTTAATTTAATATAATATTAAGTGTTTATATATATAACTATTAAAATTAATACTTAAAAACAATTTTTGATACTATTCTATTATGTTCAAAGCATAAAGTGCCTATCCCTAATAAAACATTACCTATGCTTGATAGGATACTTTCTCCAGAGATACAGAGAACCGTGATGGTCCACGACGCGATACAACAGAACAGCGTTGCAGGCGCTGCTGACTAACAAAGCTGCCCAAGGAGCGTCCTTGGACAGCCAGGAGCGCCAGGAAAGGCTGGTTATCATCCCGCCGGTCTCCTGTACCCGCTGCAACTTGGTCAACCGTCCTACACCGGGTTCCAATCGAAAGGACACTATGACACCCCTGTCGTTTCCGGCCCAAATCACCGAACCGCCGCTGCCCTCGCAAGCAAGGGAGAGAATCTGCAAGGTACATTCCACAAAATTGATATACAAACTCCCTCTTCCATAACAATACTGAAGAATAGGAATAGGCACTTCATGCTTTGAGCATAATAGCATAATATGTCAAACATTGTTATTAAATATTGTGTCATAAAATATTAAGCGTTTAATTCAAAATAATATTAAGTATGTACTATGCACTATGCATAACTATTAAAATTAATGCTAAAAACAATTTTTGTCATATTATGCTATTATGCTCAAAGCATAAAGTGTCTATCCCTACTGAAGAATAACCAGAGTTGCGACCGTTACTCTATAAAAGTAACGCGTTACCGTTACTCGTTACTGATTTTAAAAAATAACGTGTTACCGTTACTCAATAAGTAACGATTCGTTACTTTTCGTTACATTTTCGGTTTTTGTAATGCTAGAGCCTATTATTATTAAAATGTATAATTATATATAGGAAGCTTTATATATATATATATATATATATATAATATTAAATCAACGTCATCTTTAATATTAAAGCACGCCATCTATTGAATAGATATAAAGATAACAGAGGACTGAGAGAACTAAAAAGTAACGATAAGAGTAACGGTTAATTCGTGACCGTTACTGTAAAAATGTAACGACGTTGCCGTTACCGTTACAGATAGAAAAAAGTAACGGTAACGACGCGTTACAAGTAATGCGTTACTTCTCAATTCTGAGAATAACGAAGAGACCGACCTTTCCACCGATTTTGCAGGATCCACCGCGCATATATATACCGGTGGACACGTTCAAGATCTGGATCAGTCCCTGGGAGTTCCCGGCCACGACGAGATTATTATTGGCGGGTATGAAGCTGCAGCAGAGGACCTCTGCGCGCTGCTGATCGTTCACCACTCGCAGGCAAACGGATTCAGCGTCGGGGCACACTCTCCAGAGACGTATCGTCGCGTCCAAGGAGGAGGAGACTATCAGGTCGTTGCTGATGCTCCAATCGAGGGCGGTCACGCCGCCAGAATGACCTTCCAGCAGCGCAATGACCTTCGGGAGCGTGCCGATGACCTCGCATATAGACAGGCTGCCGTCCAACGAGGCGCAGCACAGCTTGGATCTGTCGTTGTTGGCGAATTTGAGCATCGTCACAGCCGTTTTGTGCTGATCGAAGACGTGATGGACCCCGGCGAACGCAAAATTCTCCGCCGTTGATCTCCGCTGCGCGAGCTGATGCTTCTTCAGCTTGCCCTCCGATGGATCCTCGCTGATCGAGTGATTTCCCAAGCTACTTTGCTCCTGTTGCCGCTCCCCGTAACGTCGTCGCAATAATTCCGACCGCAGTTTCAAGTATCTCGCGCTGATCTCGGGATCTCTGGAAGGTTTCTCCCGAAGCAGCTGATTTCTTCGACGAATATATAACATACCTGTATCGAGAAGATATATAAATATATTGATATATTATTATATCAGACAAATATTATAATAATTACATATAAGTTTATTCATAAGTGGATTTTAGCTTTTGATGGAACTGGCTTTTTTCCATATGTTGTAACTTATGACTTACTGAACAAAAGATGTAATAGCCTCAAAGCTAAATATTCGTAGTTACTGAATTACAGTCAGTCAAGCAAAATCCTAATTTTGCGTGTTTGACTGGCTGGAAAGCAGTAACCATCTATTATTTAGTTTTGAGCCTATTACATTATTTGCTCAGCAACTCATAAATTGCAATATGTGAGAAATCAGCTGATTTTACTGGGATTCAATTTCTTCTAGGATTTTATATGGGTTCAACGAGACTATTATAAAACAGCCAATTCCATCAAAAGCTGAAATCCTATATATTTGGTGCAGGATCCTTAAATCAATTATATAGGGTGTCCCATTTTAATCGATCATCTCTTGCAACTTTGCAGGGAACAGTCGTAGAGAAAAATGTTTCAGGCAAAAGTTGTATAGCTCCAAGGGAGACATAAGATGGTGATCTTGGCCTTGACCTTGCAATCAAACAGGCCTGAGACATTTTTCTCTACAATTGCTCCCTGCAAAGTTACAAGGAGTGATTGATTAAAATGGAACACCCTATATACATTATATATACATATATGTATACATATAATATATTATACATAATTATATATAATATATATAATATAAAATAATTTTGTAATTATATATATAATATAAAATAATTATTGCAATCATTTTTTAACACAACACATCCTGATAGATATAAATGAGACGTTGCGTACCTAGACTAGGGAGCTTGTTAGCTCGCGACGTATTATACTTTGCATCCAGCGCAAAGACTTGTTGATGCCACATAGTGGTCATTTTTCCTGGCGTGCTAGCTTCGATGATACTGACTCTTCGTGATTCTGTCATCGATGTATGTTACGTTTCATGATTTATACTTGATTGCACATCCCTCTCTTTTTGGAGATACAAATATTTTCATCAATTATTCATTTTATAAAATTTATATGCGCAAGCAGCTGTCAAAAATCAGCAGAACAACGTTAAAAATATATATTTTCGTCCTTATTTTTATCCAATTAATAATAAATATTGATTCGTACCCTTTTTTTCTCCGAAACAGACTTTATTTTTACGTAAAACTTTTATTTCCTTTTCGTTTTAATATTCAGCATCGTTAGAGAAAGTCGTTGTAATTCTTTTAGACGTCATTTTATTCGATTAATCATCGCTTCTAAATTTCTTTTAATTTTTGCATTTCCAGGTTATATTGTCTTCATCGCTTCATACACATACACACATCTATATCACACTCACACATATGCATGAAAATGTATGCGGATGGAGGAAAAAATCTCGCGCATGCGCAATAGCAGAAGCGCTAGCAGACGCTTTTTTCTGTCAAACATCTCTTGTAATAAACAAATATTATTAAAATTCCTCATATAAATAAATTTTTTATATATGTATATAATTTATATTAATATATACATATGTATTAAATTATATATAAAAAATATTTAAAAAATTTAATATTTTTTTAATCATGTTTAATGAGCACAATTTTAATATTATATAAATACTAAATATATTTATATATTTTATTAAATATTAATATTATTTATGCACTTATTAATATATATATAAATTAATATTGCTACTATAAATTATAATAAAAAATATAGATTATATAAACTCCAATACATTATACAAAACATATTTGTCAAAGTCGATGTGTTTACATATGTACGAAAAAAAGATCTGTCTTATTTTGTTTATGATTAGATCAATTATCGCACAAACAATTCAGACAAAATATCAATTTCAAAATAAACAGCTATATTTTGTACGATTGTGACTTTAACAAATTTAAATAAAAAGGATCGTGTACTAAGAATTAAAAGAATAAAAATCTTTGGAAAAATCTTGGGAACAGTCATTTGAACGCAGGTTCGAAAAATACAAATTTACATCTCACGGGTATGTATATATATAATATGTATACATATATATAAATCACCAGACTTCTTTAATACATTTATTCTTATATATCCATATTTATACACAGTAGTAGCTATTATTATTATTAATTATATAATAGCGATAGTGGCGTAATGCATTTTTGCGCATTCGCATTTAATCGGTTAATATTTGACAAAAATACAAAAATTATTAATGTATAATAATTATATATCAGAACAAACGTGCTTACTCTGAATCTCATCTTTCTTTTTTTTCTTAGCTTCTCTCCGCGACTTCTTATCTTCATTATATTTTGCATATCCCGTCTCTTTAATTTTCTTCTTTCACCCCTTTACTTTCCATTATACATTACACTTAGTATACTGTATTTTTTTTCTTTTTTTTCTATTACCCTAGATTGATTCGAGTATACACGAAAAGTGCGATTGGACTAAAACATACACTAAGACAAAAACGAAAACGTTAGTGATTCTCTCTCTCTCTCGACTTGGTCTCCCATCAAGTCGTTTTTTTCATCATAACGTCCGATTATATGTATATATATTCGAACGTATATTATTAAAATCAGCTGATAGTCCACATATTCGCGAGGACTATACGAAGACATTTAATGTAGTCCGATATTTTGTATTCTTTTTTTCCCGAGAGTCGAGTATATAATTAGATATACTTTTATCCTTCTCCGAAAAAAAACCAAGGAAGCTAAACTACATTTTGGTCTTCAAAGTTTCTTCAAAACGCATTCCTACTCATACCGCATTTATATACCGAGTTTATGTATATGTATGTTGTGTGTTTGTGTGTATTTATATATTTATATATTTATATATATGCAGTCGCTATAACGAGAGTTTATTACTTACAACTATTTACTTCTCTTTCTCTCTCTCTCTCTCTTACATTAGCGCGGTATCTCGTAAAGCTTATGACGACTGTCTCACAGTCTCTCAGCCGATCCATTCGTGCTAGAAGAAACATCTTTTATTATTCCTCACGTTTCTAATATTGTACACGCGCAAACAATCTCTCTAGTTCTCTTTCTCTCAGAGCACCTTCGTGAAAAAACACTTCACATTACACATTTTCTTTCTCTCTTCTTGCATTACAACGTAAACTGCTCTTTTCTCTTCACTTCTGGATTTTTTTCTTTTCTTTTACCGGAGGAATATCTGCGATTATTCATTATTCACAATGCAAAAATGTAAAGTATGCTTTGAAAATATGTGTGTGAGTGTGTTTATGTGTCTATGCGTGTTCCGTTGGTCAATTTATTATATTTCATTCCGATTATTAGGTGTACAAGGTATCTCCGCAAAAGCTGTATAAGTAATTTACAATAGCGTAATAAAATAGAGTCGAAAATGTCGAGAGTTACAATAGTTTTTGAGTTTATAAGCGATAAACAAAATTAGGCGTACAAACAATTATATTTATCATAATTTATTATCAATCAGTCTGAGCTGATTTTACACTCGAGTTTCGTCGCTTCTCATGTTATGGCAAATAGTTGACATATTGATGAATAGATTACTAACAAAAATTTTAACATTAGAGTTTTAAATCCTGTTTAAATAGAATTTTTAATTAAAAATTAAAAATTACTACTTCAAAAAAGATTGAATTATTTATATATAATGCGTGCAACAAAGTTAAAATTTTAGTAAAATTTATCTATCAAAATCAGCTGATTGTCATAATATATATTATTTACAAAATATGTAAAAATCAATATCGTGTAACAAAGTTAAAACTTAGTGAAATTCATCTGTCAAAATTAGCTGATTGTCAGAATTTATGCATTATTTACGCATAGAATGAAAAAAATGACAAAACGAAATAAAATGTAAAAATCAATATCACACACAATAAATATCGCTAACAAAAGATATAGATTGTGATAACCCAGATCTGTCGAAACGTTAAATTGACAATAGAAAATACACAGATGTGCCAAAAGTAGTGCAAAAGATTATATACGTTTGTTTTGACTAACAAAAATATACATTTCTACGATATTATACGATCCCTCAACTTTAACCAGCTTACAATTCAAAAACTATCGCAATCTGGACGCGTTTTCGTAGAAAAATTCTTCGATTCTATCTTTCAAAATACGCTTATTGAAGTATAATAACATATCAGTGAAATTGTGAGATACCTTGTATAGTTATTAGTTACACAATTTGCGCCTCTAATCAACACGAATGCAATATTAACGAATGTGTACACCAGACGGAATCGATTTCTCTCTCTCTCTCTCTATCTCTCTCGCTCTTTTATTATTATTATTATTACTATAATCTCAATGAAAAAGATACAAATATTCGCTATTATTCATTTTTTACTGCACAAACGTCATTACTTTTTTATGCTTATTCATCTCACAATTAATTCTCGCATCAGTTCGTCTTTGTCTTGATCTTATCATTCTTGTCTTCTCCAGCAAAGATTTGTATAGTTTGTATTTATATATCGTGTATTAGAGTTATACGAGTCTGATGCAATAGAAATCATTACATCATTTCTCTGCACACACCGTATGTTTTGAGCGAATGTCTATTTTTTAATGTAAAAAGCCGCAACTAACGCTTTTGATTTAATAACATTAATTAAGCTTTACCAAAAGCTTTTTGCAATATAAGATTAATTCGTTAATCTAATAAAGCCTTAATGTTTTTTTTAAACAAATTAACCATTTTCTTTTCAATATATTTAAAAATGCACTAATATGCCAAATAATGATCCGTAACGTTTTTTTTAATAGTCTAAAGTATTTTTTAACAAAATTTCGAAATAATAATCCTATAGAAAAAAAACTAAAATTAAAGAAATATAATTTTTATAACTTAAATTATTTAACTAAATTATTTAATCACTAATTATGGCATTTAATCGCCGATATAAATTAGTGAACGAATGAAAAACAAAAAATATAATACACTAATTTGAGAAACATCGTGTATTCTCTTAAATAATTCAAGATATTCTGACAATAAATCTCGATTGTTGTCAATTTTACAAAAAATAAGTGGTCTGTATCGCTTTTATGAGAATCTGGTCAAATGTGCGAACACAGAAAGAGAAATAAAAGTACAGGTACAAAAATAATAAAAGAGCAGAAATAAATTTAGCATTACTTGTGGCATATTCGATTTTTTTTGCAACAATAGAAAAATCTGAATTACCATACATGGTGTTCTCTATTGGCTGAAAATTATGTAATTTCAACATAATAAGTAAAATACGTATATATGTTTTTGTTTTCTTTGAAATCAGAGGAATAATAGAAATCAATTCCAGTCATTAAGCTGTGTGTTTAAATTAAATGTATGCAAGTGCAATGATTGCAATTCTTACCCCAAGATCGTTGTGAAATATACCGAAAATAAGAACGCTATAAATTTATTATATATAAAAAGTTTACGTTTTCACACGTATATCTTTATTCTCGCACTTATTTTTTTAAGCGACACGCACAAAGATGCGTTTTACTTCTTCCATATTTATTAAATCAAGATGCTTATACATTATACACGAGAAAAAGAAAAGAGAAATATAAAGATACACTATGTATCACCCCTTTAGCAGTCGATACAATATATTCGAAATTGCACTGTAATATACAGACGGGAGATCTAAGTGCAAACTCTACGGATGTTACCGCTTTTTTTTCTCTTCCGGTAGCGTCGTACAACAAAATCACGATACCTAGCTTTTTGTCGTATTGCGCGACGTGTCCGAAATTATCATAAATTTTGACACGATTATGTCATAGGATTTATTATCATGATCGATATAAACATAAACGATTAGTCTCCCGCAGATCATCGCGTTATAAACGCTACAATTTCATTTGGCACGAGTGCAATTCGCAATTGAAAAGAATATGCAAATTATTATTATGGAATTTGCACGTATCATTGCGTAAAATTATTTCGACGCAATATCGCGCATTTTCTACTCTGATATTAAACAAGTAGTTTGCGAAAATGTGCTAAAATGAAAATACAATATAATAAAGATCACAATTGAGTTAGTTCATTATTCGCTACAAACCATTGAAGAGGAAGCATCCGGTTTAATAATTGCATATACTTTTCAATTTTCCAAAATATTCACTCTTTATTCCATTCTCATTGACGTCGCCAATTATTGAAAGTAACAAAGAAAAAAAAGAACTATAAGAGTTATATCATCTTGTCAGAGTCAAAATATCTTTCCTTCCGATATATAAACACACGAGTCAATGCGGAATGAAGAGTAAAAGTCTCGTACCACCTCTCGTATTTCTCACACAACTGTGGCAAACAACTTAATTTCTCTACTAGTAAAGTTGTATTGATTCGCCGTGTTGCGTGTTGTTCATCTTGTGTATATGTGTATGTGTTTGTCAAGTCCGAAGCGCTTCGTTTCTTTTCCTTTTTAATTGCTGCCGGTCCAATAACTCGGACTGTATCCAGGCTTTGCTTGAGCTTTATTCTGCGAACTCGTGTTGGACCTCTGGCCCGTGCTGTTGCCGCCGTCCTGGTGAAGTGGCTGATGCAGCTGATGCGGTATAGTCGGGATGAACAAGTGCGGCGTGCCGTAACCACCTGGCAGACCTGCGTTTTGGCTACCCGTAAGACCGAACGGCGGCGGAGTGGCCGAATGGAAAGCCTGCTTTTCATAAGACTAGAAAAAGGAGAGTCATCAATATAACGCGTGATAGGCGTGAGAAGAGACATAAGACTTCCATTGACTCTTAGACCCTCGCCGACTATGTTGGAATTGTGACGTTAAAGGCAAGATTTTAGATAAAAAGATATTTCGATGAAACATTACTTAACACACTTACAGATTCTGACGTCACAATCTACCATGCTCGAGGCGAGTATCCAGGAGCCTTATTGATGGCTCATTGTTATTCTCATAAGGATTACTACTCACATTGACCTTTCCCAGAGCCACGTGACTCTTGGCGTACATCGTGGCGCTGATATCCGTAGCGGAAGAACCAGCGGTATTAGTATTCCCCGTGGAAGTGCCGGTCTTGCCGGTCTGAGTGCCAGTATAACTGCTGCCGGTGCCTTTGTACTCTCCGGATGGGCCGGCGGAGGCTAGCGCATCGTAGCTCGCGCCTGCACCGTAACCGGATCCATAGCTACCCGGCTTGGCACTGTACGCGCCGCTGTTTGTACCAGCGTTCCGGCCGTCGCTATTTGCTATACGTAGGAAATCGACTTGATATTAATATTAGTTATATTAAATTAATTTTTGGATATTAATACTATTATATTACATTTTCGCACCAGTATAGTGTATTATTGATATTATTAATAATACTATTTTAATATTATTAATAATAGAGAGAATACTATTAATATACCATTGAATATTATTAATATTGACTATTAATGTTTAATGTTACTAGTATTATTTTTATCAACTCTTAATATATTTATTAGTAATACGTAGAAAATCGACCCGATATTAATATTAGTTCATATTGGATTAATTATTGGATATTAATGTTATTATATATTAAATTTTAGCACCAGTATAGTATTATTATTAATAATAGTACTATTAATATACTATTAAATACTATTGATATAGTATTAATATTTGATGTTACTAGTACTATTTTTATCAACTCTTAATATATTTTTAGTAATCAGTGCTATTCAATATACTAGTACTAATTTAATTATTAGCAGTATTATAATATTATTATTTAGTAATTATTAGATACTAAATACACTCTCCTACAAAAATTGAAGCATCGGTTTGAATCAGTGGTAAAATTAAAATTCAAATGTATGCAACTTCGTGAATAACAAATAAAATGTCTTCCTGGAAGCATTTTAGAGCTTGGAATTTCAGTTTTATCGACAATAATTTTTACATAAATTATACTAAAAATCGTAAAAAATTGAAAGAAAAATCTCAACTTTAAAATTATGCACACCAAATAATTTTTTTTACAATTTTATAATAATTTGAAAACTAAAAAAAGTTAAAATATTTCTTTTTTAAATGCGAGAATTCCTTATATAAAGCAATGCTTTAATTTTTTTTGAGAAAAATGTAAAATATTATATTAATAGTATATTAATAGTAAATCAATAGTATATTAATAGTAATAGTAAATAGTATATTAATAGTATATTCATAATATATTAATAGTATTGATACTTAATATTAAATATTTAACTTAAAGAGTATATCTTACTGATATTTTATTTCCGGATAAATGGCGGGAGTTCCATATTGAAAACCTCCCGGCATAATTCCGCTGCTGTACGTAAACGCGTACGCATATCCCGGGGGAAGAGTGGGATTCATCATCGGTTGTTGCGTGGCAGTCTGCAAGTGTTTACAGAATTTCCATAATATATATAATATATCGCGACGAGAGAGTCCATTCAAAGAGAAAGATAGAGAGAGAGACTCACCTGCTGCGACATAGTGGAAGGTACCGGGGATGCGTTACTGTCGTTTCTGGCGAACCTGGCGTCGCTAATACTGGTATAGGCTCCTTGCACTCCTTGCACACCTTGAACACCCTGCACGCCGGAGAGCGCGTCGCTCTAGCACCACCGAGACTCGTAGCCGGACCGTTGTCTGATAGCCCAGGGCCGCGTCATAGTAACCAGTAGTTGGCTGCACGTTAGTCAGGGAAACCAAACACAAAACTACATGCATACACTGTGTACTCCAAATACAAGAAGGCTAACTAACGTCTAGAGTCTCTACGCGTACTCAGGGACAAGTAACATGCGGTTTGGTTGGATCCATATAGATAGACAGAGTGAAGAGATGTCTAGAAGTTGCATTTATTCAATTTATATCATTCAGCCAAGATGCTGAAGCTACTGCTTGCGATAAATTGAACTATAAATATATTTATACTCTTGCTACCATCATCTCATCATACTTTTCATATTTATATAGTTTTAAAAATATCCAAATAAAATGATAAAGGAAAGGGAGAGAAAAAGAGGGAGAGAGAGCTACAAAGTGTAATACTTTCATCGACCACTTTTACACATCACCACGCGTACTTTTCTATAAATAATGTCCAGACACATGACATTACTTGTATACATCAGCCTACGGTAAACTCAAGACAAGAAAGGAAGAGAAATAAGCCAAGATAGATCGGAGGTCGAAACAATCATCTCAATAGATCTAAATGTCAGATGCACAAGCTCCCTCAAGTTCCAAGAATACTTGCTCCACTCCCTTTTACCATCGATAAATCTATGGCATCAAAAACCCGATCTGTCTTTACTCTATATAATCGTTCATTTCATAAGACGTCTACAAATAACTTGCTACAAATAAGAAACAGATTTACGTTGTCGTCGTGAAGGCATTCGTACGAGATTGAAAAAAATACTGAAATTACGAGCAGCTACCAAGCAATAAAGAACCAATTACCTTGAAAGAATTTTTATACTAGATAATAACATTTAAAAAAAAACCAAGATCGAGTTGGCGCGTTTCTCGGAACAGTACGTACTCGTATAAATGTTTTCTCTCTAAATGTAATGTTTACACAAGCAATCAAAGTCAATCAACGACCAATTGGCCAATAAATCTCATTTCTGTTTCAGTATGCACGTTACTCCGGAGAAGTGCCAACTCGACGAACGAGGCATTCATTTGCACTAGAATGAATCATAGAAGGTAATAAGTGGACCAATAGTTCCAGAGAAGTCAACTGACCATGTGTGGTATCCGTTGCTGCACCAACTGCAGGTCCTCATAGCTGTACACCGGTTGCTGGAAAGCCGCGTACGCAGGTACACCCGCCGCCTGACCCATGATGTACTGATGACTCAGCATCGGGGTCATACTTCCGGCCGCGCCGCCGCCCGTCATGTTACCGCTGTTCCCGTCACTACTACGCTCGCTCGACGTGCTTTCGGTACAGCTGATGAGAAATATTTTCAGAATTGCTGAAGAGCTCTCTCTCTCTCTCTTGCGCTTGCGATTTTATTTATTATTTATTTCTATACTAACCGTTGGAGTTCGTGACTTTGGTCTGCGAACTGTTGACGGAGGCCGAGGTGAGACCCAACGTCGGCGCGCTGGTCGTCGCAAGAGAACTGTTCGACGTCGTCGCGCTGCTATCGTATTGCGAGTCCTTCGTCGCGGTGCTGTTCAGTTGTGATTCGCGTGAGACGTCGCTTGCGGTTGACTAGCGTAGCTGCCGTAGGGACTCGCGTAGACCTATCGAGAATGAAAGTTCAACATTTGTGTACATCAAGAATTTCACACCAAATATTAGGTTGTTTGGTAATGACTTGCCGCTTTTCCACTAGATGGAGTTTGAAGGACAAGAGATTCTATGAAAGGGAATAATGAAATTACCTTCAAAATGGCAACAAATTATTGAACAAAACGACGCATATTTGTTTAACCCTACAATATTAAAAAAACGTTGAAAATCATGTAAAAAGCGGCTAGTCATTACCAAACAACCTAACCTACATAAGATTTTGGTGAAATTGGCTGTTTCTTCCAAATGTTGTAGCTTAGGACTCGCTGAACAAAAGATGTAACAGCCTCGAAGCTAAATATTGGATAGTTACCGATTTACAGCCAGTCAAATATTAAAAACATTTTGCTATTACATCTTTTGTTCAACAGTACATATTAAAAAAAAAATAAATAAATAAATAATTCCACCGAAAGCCAAAATCCTATGATTGTAACTTGAAAAAAAGTGAAGACACAAGTTGCAGACTTACAGACTGCGCGGCGCTCTGGTAAGCACCGGAACTCTGAGTTATCGGCGACGTGAACGTCGTGACGGAAGATTGATAAGCAGGCTGATAAGCCTGATATCCGGCATTGCTGTTCGACACCGTATTGGTGGCTACGGATTGCGCGTACTGCGATGTCGTTGCCGCTACGTATCCACTCGTGGGTTGATAGACCTGGAATCGAGAAAAGAGAAAATGCTTTTAAAAATGATCTTCGCAGATCTTCCCCAAAATTGTCCTATCTAGCGTCTTCGAGGTGATCGCTACCTGGCTACTGGTGGTGGGTTGATTGTAACCGGAAGTCACGGACGCCGAGGCGGAGGGCGACGCTTGATTGAAGGTCGACGCGTTAGACTGCGGGAACGATGTCGAGTTGTAGCTCGCCTGCGAGACCGTTGCCGTCGCGGAATAACTATTTGTACTGGCGGCCGACGCGTTCTGGAAGCTGGACTGCGAGGACTGGTTATTCGAGTACGCGTTGTAAGTGCTCGGCGTGCCGCTCGACGGCTGGAACGACTTCTGCGACGACTGGTAGGTCGTCGCGCTGCCGTACGTCGGTGCGTTCCCGGGCGAGACTTGCGACGTGAAATCTTGCTTAGTTATGTCCAAGCTCTGGCCGGTGCTACTGCCGCGAGTGAAGTTCTGGGAGCTGATCGAATGCTCGCTCGAGACTGGCAGATTGTCGGCACTCGATAACTGAAAGGAATTCCATAATAATTGCAAATCGTGCGGATATCGTTAGAAGATAGACGAGAAGAATGAAATGACGATTCGTACCATCTGAGAGCTGGCGTTGAACGGTGCGGTGGAAGTCTGCGTCGTTTCAATGTCGAGCGAATTACTCGTATTGGCAGTGTTTACGGTGCTCGCACCGGAAGTCATGTCCACGCCAGGAATTGTACTATTTGTGGAGTTATACTTCTCGTTCGCTGAGCCGTCTAGGGAGCTCGAATCGCTACCGAATTCAAGCGCGCCGAACTGCACGTCGAGAAATCCGATTCCACTATTTACAGCGTCGCCCGGCATCTCTACAGCGCTCGATGGGATCTTTGACGGTGGAGGAACTCTTGGACGTTGCTTCGTTTGTCTTTGGGCTACACATATAAATACATATAAGCTATCTGAGCTTCTAAATGTTGGCGCGATAAAATTATATTATAATAAGTCTCGATAACTCCCCAAATAGCAAACTGACGTCATTCGAAGTAAGCTTGTGCTACCTGGGTTTATTTATTGATTATACGTGACGAAAGAAATGAAAGTTAGCTACTCTTTTCATTTTCAGAAATGTAGAAATTATCGAGGTTTTATTGTCATCAATATTACAATACCTGACTAGACATGGATGACGAAAACGACGTTTGTCCAGCCGCTTTTAAGTTCTCACTCGTCTGTTGAGTGAGTTGCGTCAAATATTGTGTTTGCGCTGCTGTTAGTACACCACTGCTAATAGCGCTGGGTTGCTGCGACAATTGCATTGTCGGTAAGCCTAATACAGCTTGCTGCTGCTGCTGCTGCGGTTGTTGAGGCTGTATTAAGCTCTGCTGCTGCAACGCGGATATTTCGGACAATTTTGGTAATTCCTATAAATTATGTTAAAAAGTATTATTACAATTGTTATTAAGTAAACAGACATATGTAGTGTTTCGCACATTCTCTGTATAATATTCTCTAATATCTCCTTTTAAAAGTGAAATACGATTTAAACGAAATAACCGAAAAACTTGATATTACAATCAATTTTGTTTTGTTGTGTAGATACTATGTAAACTATGTCAAATAATAAAAATGTAATATATTACATATATATATTATATATTATACAATATATATTAAACATAATATGTATATCATAAAATATATATATTATATTTATTATAATTATATTATTTATAATATGTATAATATATGTATTATAATAATACATATTAATAATATATATGTACTAATATATACATTTAAAAAATTAATACATTGATAAATTGACTACTATAATTTTAACATTAGATTTAATAATCCTGCTTAATAAAATTTCTTAATTTAAAAAAAAAATTTATTTTAAAAAAGAATAATTTGTACAATAATGTGTAATAGCTAAAATTTAGTCAAATTTTAATCAATTGTCAATATCAACCATCATATATATATTATATCTATGCATGCACTACACATAAAAAACCGACAAAACAAAATAAAAATTAATATCAGATGATTATAGTACTTATTAAAATTAATAATAGATCGTAATAAAATACATGTATATTATGAATCTAAGCACGCGAGTTTTATGCAAACTTTGATGATTTCTTCAAAATTTTCTATCTTTATATTTTCGATACTTTCAGTTTTATTTTATCTTTACAGTATGCTATTAAACACTTGTATGATTGTGAGAAATAAAATATTGTACGATTTATATTGTTACAAAACACTATGCTGTATTTGTAAATATTTTGTAAAATCTTACCTCTTGCTGGAGTAACGACAGATTGACCCCTTGGCCCGATTGCGTCTGCGATATTTCCTGAGGCTTTGGTTCTTCTAAAGCAGGTGGAGCTTCCAGGATGTTCGCACTCGGTGTAAAGACCTTGGTGTCGCCAAGGATCCTGTATATTCCTCGTTGTCCCAGTCTTCTGTAGAATCCAAGTTATTCCAAGCATCTATATACAGATCATTCATGTTAATATATATATATGTATCCAATTATGCATTTTATACATATATATATATACACATAATAAACTATATATAATTTATATATCGCCATGATCTCTTAAAGATCCATTTGGATATTGTATATTTACAATATGCTTAACAATTTTGTAATGATCTTGCTAATGATGTTTCTGTTAACAAATTATTATATTTCTGATTTTTTATTTTTTTTTTATACATTAACTTTTTTTAACTTGAAACCTGTAGGAAGATCGCTAGCAAGATCAATTCCAAAATTTTTCACATTGATGCATAATGTACAAATACTGTATTGTTTATATATCATACAAGTATATATTAGTTATTTTTTTACTAAAGAGAAAAATTCTAAATCCAGAACTTGTATGATAATTTTGTTATATAATAATTATGTATGCTAAAACTGTTTGCTGTTTTAATTCCAATACTACCAATTATAAAAATAATAAGTAAATAAATGTTTTTGATTTTACATATATATATAATGCTATATATAATAAATTATATATTATATATTCATAAATAATATGCAATTTACATATAATTTAAAATATATCATATATATATATATATATATATTATATATAATTATATTGTATATATTTTTTTATCTTATAAGCTCAACTTTAATATTGTAGTTAATTTGAAAGAGAGATCATTTTGATCAACATAGATTAACACTTACCCATTTTTGGTTCCTGAATACTCTGCTGCTGCTCTTCACCTGTCCAGGTGTCAATCGGCCGATTGAAGCTATGAGCGGTAGAGCCAGACACTGAATCGTTGCGGTTTGCGAATGTCCTTGGACCAAGACTTCTGCCGCCGCCGCGACCTCCACGACCTGATCTTCCGGTCCACCTCTGCCTCTTCTGCTGTAGCTGCCGTCGCGAACGCCGTCCTCCATGTTCCTCTCATTCTCCTTGTTTTCTCGTCCACGCCCTGTTCGCAAATACAATTTTTTTCAAATTAAAATGATTGTTTACAAAATAAACGTAAAACAATATTCTTCTATACCTTACTTAATTTCAAATCGCATTGTAAACATATTAAAAAAAAAAAAAAAAAAGCTAGCTACAAATGTCTTCCTAAATAATTAAATGCATGTGTGTCTATTTTAAATAATTAAAATAATGCATGTGCATCTATTTCTACACAATTAAAATAATAATGTATGCGCATCTATTACTAAATAATGAAAAACCAATAATGCATGTGTATCTATTCTGAAATAAAAATAATTTTTAACAAAATAACAGTTTAAAATAACTATTCTGTACTTTACAGAATTTCAAATTTCACTATAAACTATTAATAAAAAATAATAAAATGAACTACTACATATGCATGTGTGCCTATTTCTAAATAATATAATTAAAACAATAAATGCTTGTGTATCTATTCTTAAGGCTCCTCGCCGACCATGTTGGAATTATGACGTCAGAGGCGAGAAAATACGCTGAGATGCCATTTCGAAATAAAAAGATATTTCGATGAACCAGCACTTGAGATGGCTTTACTACACTTTTAAAATATCTCGAAAACTATCCCTTTCCTTTTATAATCAATCAACGATTGTAATGAGGCCCAGACCTGGTCTTTGCACATGCGCGATCATTCCGTGCGACAAAGTCATCGTATCGCAATTATTTTACAGTTGTTGATTAACTGACAAGGGAAAAGAATAGATTTCGAGGTACTTTAAGAGTGCGCTAAATATCTTTTCATTGAAAAAAATGGCATCTAAGAATTTTCTCTGACGTCACAATCTAATATGGTGAGGATCCAGGAGCCTTAAATAATTAAAACAATAGTGAGATAAAAAAAATTCAACCAACATCCACGATTGTCGTGATTGACGCGGCCTCGCATACGTGGGGCACCGCCACCACTCCGCTGATTGCGTCGTTCCTCCCAATCGCCGCTGTCATCCTGGCCGCCCGACTGATCCGCATTCTGTTTTGAGCCGCTAGGTTGGCGCGGCTTCTTCTTTTTCACTTCCCATTCTGTTTTCACGCCCTCCAGAAGATCGTTGACAGCGCGATCGAGATCCCCGTCGCTATCGTGCAGAGCCATGATCACCTCGTCTTCCGAGCGTCGAGTCATGTCCATGACCTGCTTGATGCGCTCCTTCAGAATGGGATCCTCACCTCCCGCCATTCTGGTGTCGATGATTTGTGCGTGCCGGATCTGATTAGTATTTTGCTATATAACAATCAATTTTTATTTAGCCCAACAATTTTGTCAACAACATAATACATATTAACTTTTCTTAACTTAGTATTGTGCAAGTAAACTTTGTGTTACAAAAGAGGAAGTAATCTTTCCTATCATATACTATCTCAGTTTATCTGCAGCGGGAAAGATATTTCTTATCAAGAACTATTATTATAGAAATTCCAAAATTCCATCTCTTAGATGGGAAAAAATGACCAACCTGAGCCTTGTCATGTTTTGTCGAATCTGATTTAGCTTGATGATGATCTGATTTGCCATGTTGTGATTTGTTTTTATTGGTGCCTCTTCCACCAGAGGACACCAAGGATTTGTTGCTTGAACTCATTGCCAACTAAAACCTCACGCACTCACGGTATCACACTATGTACACTCTCTATTTACAGTCTGAAACAGAATAAGTTCGATATTACATTTATATACAATTTGTGTCGTTGGGAAAATTAACTATTTGATTTGATCCGATAAGTATCATAACATAGAACGTAAATTTATAACAAGCGATTTGTACAAAAACAAACTATAATGTTCAGAATACAAGAGATGTCGCACAGCAAAGTTACAAATATTCCAAAATATCCTAAAATTCCTAACAATATTATTTACTCTTAGCGCAGTTCTAAAATTTGAGACAAAGAATTTTGTTGCAAGACATGTGCTCTCATTGATATTAGAAGCGAAGCAAAGTAACAATTGAAAAATGCAAATCTGAACATCTGTAAATTGAATAAAAAAAAAAAAAATTAATACAACATTACGATATAATAAAATCCAACACTAAATATCGCTAAGAAAATTCCAGATTAATAATAACGTGCGTGGGAAGGAAACCCAGATCCTAATCCAAGGTTAGGATCAATTATCACGCTAAACGGAAGATAAAGAAAAATCCGTTTTACAGGAAGAACGATGACGAACGTTGAACGGAATTTACCGCAATAGACCGAGATAGAAAGAAAGAGAGAACGAATCTCTCCCGAAAAGATATTTTATACGAAAGAGGATAAATTTTTTCGAGACAATTTTCCCAGAAGACGAGACTCTCCACATCGGGATCCTTCCGAAAAGAGAGGCGGGAAACTCCGCGTCGACTTTTCCGCGTGGGAGGACGATTTCCAGGACGAAGGAAATTTTTTCACCCCTCCCCCACGCAACGAAGGAAAAAAAAGGGAACACACACACACTTTGTGTCGGGCACGCCGTTGTTGTTGCAATGCTAAGATGAGGAGAGACAGAGAGAGAAGGAGGCCGAATGGGAGAGACGGATAGCTTCGCTGACGCGCTCGCTCGCGCGCGCGCGATTTCCTCGAGCGAGGATAGCTTTTTTTCACAGAGCCATGTGCACGAGAGGCGACGCCATTTCTGCCTCGTCGCGGGGGAAGGAGGGGGGAGGAAAAAAGGCTTGTCAAAACCTCGTCGGCGGAGTCCTCCGTTCACGAGAGAGTATATATAAAATATATAATATATAATATATATATGTGTATGCGTTTCGCTTTTTCTCTCTCTCTCGTTCGCTCTCGCGAACGGAGCCAGGAGAGACGACCTCGGCTTCCCGGGGTGGCGTTTTTGTTTGCTATACTCTCTCGTGTGCGCGGAGACGGTGTCGGCGAGGTTTCCCAGGTAGGCGCGAAGCGCGGGAGGAGCCTTGTCCCCGGGGACGACGACTACTTACTCTACTACTTCCACGACGGCACACCTCGGCGCGCCTCGGGGCCGCTGGCGCGCGCGTAAAACTACGGGAAAAAACAATGAATCTCGCCTCTCCGTACCTGCGTTAATGCGCTCAAACGCAGCTCGGTCACGTGACCCAGGGGCTCCCCCTTCCCTGACGCACCGGAGGCACCTAAACTCTGGCTCTTCCTTCTCGGCTCTTTTATCTTTCGCGATGGTGGGAGAAGAGAGGGGGTTCCTCAACATGTATATGCGCAGCTTGATCTCGCCAGGTCTGGCAACCTCCGAATTGCCATTTTTTCTCGACGCCGGAAGTGCCCGCTTATCCGGAAGTTGGACTGGTGGAAATTGTGACGTGCGTGTTTCGGAAAATGACGTGGAAAAAAAAAAGTGCCACGCGATTGGCTGGCGACTAGGGAATTTCTGACGTTTCTGACAGTTTTCCATTTGACAACCATCACCTGACATTTGACGTTTCGGTTTCTTGTTGAAAGTTCCTGCTGTATTCACATTCGCGTTGTTAAAAAATATATGTATATATTTATATTTGTAAAGTAATACTTATAATAATATTTGTTTATAATAATAAGTTATATATTATTTTTAAATATTATATATCGTTTTTAAAAAATATATAGATATAAGTCTTTATATTAAATAACCAATTCTTATAAGAATTTATATATAATTAGAATTACCATTTCTATCATATTATATAAATATAATTTAATAAATAATAAATCTAATAATGAACATAATTTAATAATAAATAAAAAAATTTATAAATATTTATATATTATTTTTAAAAAATATATATATTTTTATTAAATAAATAATAATTATAATAATTTATATATTGTTATGTAAATTATTACATTTATTTATTTAATTTAAGACCATATTATACGTGAATATTTTAATTATAAAAGGTCGCAAACAAATCGACCAATCACAGTCGAATATTCTCAGTTCCTTGTGAGAATGCTCGATTGTGATTGGTCGATTAATATTACACAATTTTGTAGTGTAATGCAGCCTTAACGATTACGACTAACCTTTTCGATGCAATGGTGTATGTTTTGTAGGAAACTATGGTGAAAATATGAAAAGTTTAGTTTAAAAAACGATTAAAATAGTTTGCATAGTTGGAGTAGTTGGGTCTAGCTTATGGTGTGATTGGTAAATATATTTTAATTTTTTAATGATGTATTAATTTTATTCTTAGTACAATATATTAGAAGAAAAAAGAATTCATGATTTTTACTTGATATATTTATTTGATTTTTAATATGTTACACTTACTTATTAAATTTTCTGTGATTACAGACATGTTTAGTTAAGATGAGCACTGAAACTCAGATCGCAAGCATAGTGAATGATATTTTGGTAAGTGTTGAAAAATATTTTGCTTTTACATATGTTTATTTTCTTTCTATAATATTGCTATAAAATCTTAGTTCTTGAGATCAAGAGATAATAAAAAGAAATTAATTACAATACATGATAATTTTATATATATATATATATATATATATATATATATATATATATATATATATATATATATATATTTATATATGTATTTTCTCTATTTATATATTTCTATTTATATATACTCTTATGTTTTAGAAAGTGGAGGCAATAGAGGAAGCATTTAGTTGCGTCCTCGTTCATCATCCTAACAATGAAAGCGAGAAAATAACAACATGGCAGAACGAATTAAAAGGAGTCATGACTGGATTAACAAAGGAACAACAGGAAGCTGCTGTTCGTCAGTTTCTTTCAATGGCAGCAGCTATGACTAACCATAGACGATTACAATTATTGTTATCTTTGTTACAAAATCTAGTGCAATCAAATTTTTGCCTGCAAGGTATATTTTTAGATAAATGAAATTTTTGTCTTTGTGTTTATTTGTCTTTTTTTTCAACACTCTTAAATCGTCTTTTGTGAATTTTTTCAGATTAGTGTGCGAGTGTATTTTGAGTTGTGATAAACTGCAATATCAGTTGGAAAATTTCTGGGTTGAATGCTTCGTTCTCATTCGACATATCATTGGTGGTGTTGACTATAAAGGAGTCAGAGAAATCATGAAAGTAGGTTTATTAATTGTTTAATTAATTATTTAATAATGCGCATGCGCAACATTTCTTGATATTCTTATAAACTGAATAAAATACTGAATACATTTTTTCTACATCTTGTTTTTACAGGGATGCAAAGAAAAAGCACAAACTATACCAGCTCGATTAGATGCATCAGTACAACCGCAGTTAAAAGCTTTAGAGAATGTTATTGAATATATTTTCGATAGAAATGCATGCTTACTGCCGAGTTATTTTATTGTCAACGAGATACAGAAAGCTTATCCTGATAGCAAAAACTGGCCTCATTGGGTAAGTAACAAAAAATAAATTTAATAATACACATTAAAATAATAAATATTGCATTTTTAAATTATATAACAATTTATGTTAAAGATTACTCGTACATTAAAGTATTCCTTGAAATATATACTCCAACAAGATAGCATAAAATGAGAATAAACTGAAATTTGAAATTATATATACATTATTAAATATTTATATTTAATTATTAAATATTTGCTTTGTAATAAGATAATAAACAGATTTATTCTTTTTATAAATAATAATAATTAGAATAAAGAGATAGAAAAAAGTTATATGAGAAATTAAATACTTCATAAAGCAAAGAAAATCGTCTTTTTCACAGCTTAGTTCTACTTATATATGTACATGTCTGTTTTAGAAGCTGGCAAAATTGCTCTCCAATTTTGTTGAAAGCTTTCGAAATACTGCACAGATGGTATCTATAGTAGGACACTCAAAGATGTTACCAGTAGTTGAACATACAGGATACGCAGATCATTTGATTAATCCATGGTTGTTGGATCCTACTACGTTGAAATTTTCTTTGAAGGGAAACCTACCTTATGATCCAGATCTACTTAAACCGCAAACAGAATTGCTTCGATACGTTCTAGAGCAACCATATAGCAGAGATATGGTTTGTTCGATGCTTGGTTTGCAAAAACAGGTAAGATTGTCGGAATGATAATATGCAAAAATAATCAAAAGACGAAAAAATTCATACTAAATTTTTCAAGTTACATGCTTAAAATTATATCTAATGGCCTTAATATATTTTTATTCGTGTGACAGCATAAGCAACGATGCATTGTCCTGGAGGAACAACTGGTAGAGCTAGTCATTTGCGCGATGGAACGAGCCGAAAATGAAACTTTGCCGGCTGAAGGAACGGACGGGACAGTCGCTAATCACTGGGTGTGGTTACACTTATCTTCTCAGCTCATCTACTTCATCCTCTTTCAATTCGCGTGCTTCCGAGCATTGTCATGGCGATACATGATAAATTGGCAGGCCGAGACTTGAGAAAGGGCAGGATCATCTTATGTGGGTCCTCCTGCAATTCATTTCCGGCAGCATCCAACGTAATCCATTGTCGAACTTCTTGCCTGTACTGAAATTGTACGATCTTCTGTATCCGGAGAAGGAATCCTTACCCGTCCCGGATTATACCCAGGCACTGTGCACCCACCAGATGGCCATCACGTGCATATGGATACACCTGCTGAAGAAGGCTCAGTCCGAACCGGTCTCCAACATTCACAGACCTATACCGCACACGTTGAAGGTCCATCACGAGTTCTTGCAGCATCTAGTTATGCCGAACACGTCTCTTTGCATGGGCTCGGACTATCGCATTGCGCTCTTGTGCAACGCTTATTCGACGAATCAAGAATACTTCAGCAGACCGATGGCGGCGCTGGTGGATACCATTCTCGGTACGCAGAAGAATCAGCAGCAGCAGCCTATGCAGACCTTGCAGAACAACGCGGCGCTGGCAAATGGACCTACAACGCCGCTCTCGATGTCTATCCTGGACTCGCTGACGGTGCACTCCAAGATGAGTCTGATTCACAGTATCGTCACCCACGTGATCAAGCTGGCACAATCCAAGAGCAACATGGCGTTGGCCCCGGCCCTGGTCGAGACCTACAGCAGACTACTGGTTTACACAGAGATCGAAAGTCTCGGTATCAAGGGATTCATCAGTCAGTTACTGCCCACGGTCTTCAAATCGCAATCCTGGGGTACGCTGTACACCTTGCTGGAGATGTTCAGCTACAGAATGCATCACATCCAGCCGCATTACAGGGTCCAATTGTTGTCGCACCTTCACAGTCTGGCGGCGGTACCGCAGACCAACCAAACGCAACTTCATTTGTGTGTCGAAAGCACGGCTTTGCGACTCATAACCGGTCTAGGTTCGGCGGAAGTTCAGCCGCAACTATCTAGATTTTTGTCGGAGCCGAAGACGCTCGTGTCCGCGGAATCGGAGGAACTCAATCGGGCGTTGGTGTTGACCCTGGCGCGTTCCATGCACGTGACCGGCACAGGCGTGGACAGTCTCAGCGGCACCTGGTGCAAGGAGCTGTTGAACACCATCATGCAAAACACGCCGCATTCCTGGGCGAATCACACCCTGCAGTGCTTCCCGCCTGTGCTGAGCGAGTTCTTCCAGCAGAACAGCATAGCGAAGGAGAACAAGCAGCAGATCAACAAGGCGGTCGAGGAAGAGTACAGAAACTGGTCGTCCATGAGCAACGAGAACGACATCATCGCGCACTTTTCGTGCCGGGACGCCGCCGTTGTTTCTCTGCGTCCTGTGGAAGATGATCCTAAAGACCGACTGCATCAGTCCCATCGCATACAAGATCCTCGAGCGAATTGGCGCCAGAGCTCTGTCGGCCCACCTCAGAAAGTTTTGTGATTACTTGGTGTTTGAGTTCGCGAACAGCGTCGCAGGTCAGCACGTCAACAAGTGCGTCGACAGCATCAACGACATGATCTGGAAATACAACATAGTCACCATCGACAGGCTGATACTCTGTCTGGCGCTACGAACCCAGGAAGGCAATGAGGCGCAAGTGTGTTTCTTCATCATACAATTGTTGCTATTGAAGGCGGCCGAGTTTAGAAACCGACTGCAGGAGTTCGTCAAGGAGAATTCGCCGGAGCATTGGAAACAATCCAATTGGCACGAGAAGCATCTCGCCTTTCACAAAAAATTCCCGGAGAAGTTCGCGCCTGAAGGTATCATGGAGCAAACCAGTGGCGGGCCTAATCAATACCAAAGTCTACCCGTGTACTTTGGAAATGTGTGTCTCCGTTTCTTACCAGTTTTCGATATAGTAGTGCATCGTTATCTAGAGATACCACCTGTTATCAAGAGTTTGGAGATTCTGCTGGAACATTTGGGCTGTCTGTACAAATTTCATGGTGCGTCATTTAAGCTAAAACGTCATCTTTGAACAAATGTTCTTTTTCTGGCTTCTACTACTCTAATTGTAAATTATATTATATATTATATATTAAAAATATATATTACTAAATTATATTATATATTAACAATTAATTTATTTTAATTTTTATAATAATTTTCAGATCGGCCGGTAACGTATCTTTACAACACATTGCATTATTACGAAAGAAAATTGCGGGATCGACCGTTGCTGAAACGTCGATTGGTGTCCGCCGTTTTAGGATCGTTGCGCGAGATCAGAGCACCCGGATGGGCCCTTCCGAGGCTTATCAGAAATATATGACGCGCGCATACGACGACGCGGTGCAATGGATACCAGAATTAGATTATTACATTCGCCTTGTACAAAGGATTGTGGAAAGTAAAGCAGATAAAACAAATAATTTAATTTTTATTTTATTTTATTTTATTATTGATTATTAAACTAGAAAGTAAGAAGCTCCTTGTATTTACAGTTTTGAAATTTGTTTTTTTTTTTTTTTTAAGATTAAAATGAATCAAAAGTATTAATAACATGAATTTTCTTATGAAAGGACTTCACACCAAATACATAGGATTTTAATTTTTGGCTGCTTTTTATTCATATGCTGTAGCTGATGACTTGCTGAATAAAAGATGTAGTAGCTTCAAAGCTAAATATTGGATAGTTATTGAGTTACAGCCAGGCAACTCACAGAGCCCGAGTTTTTATGTTTAACTGGCTAAACCAGTAACTTAGTCTATTATTTAGCTTTGAATCTATTCATTTTTTTGTTCGGCAGATTATAAGCTACAATATATGGGATAAACCAGCTGATCTTACCAAGATTCAATTTTATATGATTAGTACAAGATTTTTGATCCTATATAAAATCCTGAAATTTGGTGTGGAGTTCTTTTTCTTTAATACAGATGAAATTAAATGGATAGATATAAAAAAAAAACTTATTTTAATGGAGGATTATATATGTTGTAGCAATGTCTGGCACGGCTCATTTTCCTGCTACTGATTGGAGATTCAACGAATTTCCAAATCCAGCTGCACACGCATATATGTGACCTGTGTAGAATTGATGGCTCTTCCGGTTGCTGCAAATTTAGTAGCTAATTCTTTACTGGACGTTGTCGCTAAAGGGTACTATTTCTTACAATAATATTACTGTATCTCAATGAAATTACAAATTACAGAATATATTTCATAATTTTATCTATTATATTTTTATTCTATACATAGATATACCGTTGTGCCATCAGATGAGATACATTTGTGGATAAATTGCATCGGTTTGCTGTTAGCAGCACTGCCAGAATGTTATTGGTCAGCATTGCATGATCGTTTAGTGGAGACTATCAGCAGTCCCGGTTTGGTTAATTGGCAATACAACAACCTGACGCCATTTCAAATGTTCAATTTCAACACTACACATAACAGCTTACTAGAAAATAAATACAGTTACATGCTCGCATTGGCACATTCAGTATGGCATCATGCAGGCGTAGGACAGATCACCACGATGCCTCAGTAAGTACTAATTTCATATACATAATGAACAAGTTTCATACTTTTATTGTTTTATATATATATTTCAATTATTTTTAATATTATTTATATTTAATTATTTTTATTTCATTATTAATTAATTATTTTATTGACTTTTATATAATTTTTCATTTTTATTTAATTTTAGAAATGGAAATTCTATTACAGCATTATTTACATTCATTATATTCGCGTATGCTTATTATATTATGACTAAATAAAAAAATATTTTCTTTTTTACAGATTTATCAAAGAGAAAACTGCAGCCAGTTGTGACTAGCGAAGAACAATTAATTTATGCTTGCCATTTGATTGGACCTACATTAGCAAGATTTAATGCCGAACGGCCACATTGTGTAGTTGAACTCACCGTTTCTCTGTACGAGATGTTGGAACGAGTCGACCATACTCAAAAACATTTGAATTATATGGATCCAATTTGTGATTTATTGTATCCTTTACATATATATACATGTATATAAACATTAGGAAATATTAGGATACTATATATATATTTTTTTTTTTAATTTTAAATTCAAATTTGTGTTTAATATATATTAGGAAACTACATCAGCATATCTTCCAATTGAAATTTTTTAGATTATTTTAATTTTTTAAATTAAAATTTACTATATATGGCGTATTGTATCATTCTAACTCTTTTTAGTCCGAAATATAAATTTTGAAATTTAAACATTTAACAAGTTTGGTCAAATATCTTTATTATTTATTTTTCATCTGATTTAATTAAAAGATTCTAAAAGATACCTGTAAATAGTGTGTGCTTAACAGCATTGTATATAAAATTAAAGTTAAATTAAATTAAAAATAATTATAAAATTACACTTGGAAGATATCAAACCTTGTTTTCTAATATTTTTATTATCAGTTCAAATATTTTTTTAAAGATCAAATTAATATATATCTTTTTCATTCATGTATCTTCCTTAATGATTACTATAGATATCACATCAAGTACATGTTTGTTGGTGATATGATGAAGAACGAAGTGGAATGTATAATACGAAGACTTAGGCCTGCATTGCAGATGAGGCTGCGTTTCATTACTCACATAAATATAGAGAAAATTCATACATCTTGAGACACAATTGTTCCCACAACAACGGGAATAACGTCGTGACGTGTTTAATTGATTTTCCAGATTGAATATATCAATCCGGTCATTCCAAAGTAGAATTATATTAATGCGAAATATAAAATAAGTATAAGAAATGTATATTATTTTATGAAATCTTGATATATAATCGATTGTGTACGCAAAAAAATAAAATGTGTGCTTGACTATTAACTATTTTTCTATTTTTTCTTTTCTTTCAACAATGTAATTTTCATTTATTTATAGATTCTTTTTAGCTAAACTTCGTTTTCCTATCATTTATTTTTCAGAGTTTATCTCTTTAAATATATATCAATTATTTATATATATATATATATATATATATCTATATATATAGAGAGAGAGAGAGAGAGAGAGAGCTGTATGATTATAAAAAAATAATCATTTATTTTAAAATTAAAAAAAAAGCTTTGCATGTGTCATATGTGCCTATATAGAGAGATGGCGCCCAAATCGTAAGTGAAAATTTCGTCGAATTCCAAAATTCGGCGAGCTCAATATATTACGAGAGAGACCTAAAATCAATCAATCAAAAATTATTTAAATGAGTTCTTCCAATTCCTCGCATTTGGCAAATGGTAAGTCTATCTTTTTGACAATCGAGATAGAATATCTCCTTTAACGTAGAATATGTTATTTACAAAATTGACAGCACCTGTCAAATATGTGTCACATTTTTGATAGGGCTTTCCAGCTTTCAACACTCATCCAGGTCTGCAACAACCCTTTATTATAGATTTAGCATTTATATCTTTGTCATGGTTGTGATTGAAGTGTGTTTTATCAGATTCGCTTCACAGCAATCACTTTTCAATGTCAACTGTTTAATCCAAAGATTTGACAATTCTTTTCTCATGGAATGAAAACTTAAGAATTAAACATGCAAAACAGTTATATTGACATTACACTCAAATTTGTCAATCATCTCAATTCTTGTTGAGAAAAGACACGAGTGTGATGTTGAGAGATATGTTTACATTAAAAGTTGCATTAGTTACATTAAGGAAAATAATTCTTTGAATTCGTATTCAATGCACTGAGAAAAATTAATAAGATATCCTCACACTTTTTTTTAGCCTCTTGGTGGAATGAGGAGTGTGAGGAGGTAGCAGATGAGAAAAGAAAAGCACAACGTAACTTTAAAAAAAAAATTAACTTATGACAATTACTTGGAATTGAAGAGCGCAGAAGCTGCTGCAAAGCGTACTTTTAGAAAGGCCAAAAAGAAACAACAAGGTTTGAAATTTTTCTGCAGTTCTCTCATACTTAGAGTAACCCTGTTTCATATATTTGGAAAACAGATACTGCAGATATTTGATCCGTCTTTGATCAAATCATGAAATTTCAGCAAATATCAAAAATATGGACTCTATACCCTTTCCAATATTATATAAATTTTTCAAAGCATATATATATGTGAAATCTTTAAAAATTATTTTATTTGGAAAGAAATGAAATCTGTTATTAGGTCAGCCAAAAGCAAGTCTTCTCCTAGGATTGTGATTAGATAGATTGCGAGATTATCTCTTTGCTGCCAGATTCATCTTATCACTATTTAACATTTTTATTATATAATATATTAGGATCAGGATGAATTTCTTGAACCTTGGTATTCTTTTCTGATATTTGATCACAAAATATCTCAGAAAAATTCCAATCGATATTTCTCATTTCTTGTTCTTTAAATCATCATGATATCTCAGATATTCTTATTAGAGATGTATAATAAATTCAGTAATCAATATTATATGTATTTATCTGTGGATCTTGATCTGTGGATAATTCTCAATATTTTTATGAATTCAAATAGGCTCTCTCTCTCTTTCTCCTAAAATATATATTTATCTCATCTTCTAAATATACAAAATAAAAAAGGATTGTGATATTTAAAGCTCTTCCTTTATTTTATTTCGATCAAAATACATTCATATTTCTTGATACAAAGTTACATCTGCAGTGGTGGATGAAACAAAAAAATCTCCAGTTCTTCGCTGACTTTTCTCTTATTTAAATATCTTATGGAGGATCATAAAATATCTTACATAATTTTTTTTTTAAATAGGAAACAGGACACTTTATGAGATTTGCAGTCTATTCTCTCTCTCTCTCTCTCTTTCTCTCTCTCTCTCTGCAAATTTTATTAAGGACTTCTTCATATGCTTCTATATCCATTGCAATTTAGCTTCCACAAATTTCGTTAGAAAACAAAATTATATCTTGCACGAGGACAAACTCGCTATCTCTGAGGAATAAATAGAGATTAAAATTGTATGGATTTGGTGGAATAGTTTCTTGTCCATATAGTCACTAACAAGTTATAAAACTTCGAGTTATTTATTAATGAAGAAAGGAAAAGAGAAGAAGAAGAAGAAGAAGAGAAATCATATAACAAAGAATATTACGTATATTGAATTCTCTCCTAATTTTTGTTTCAGGCTCCAAAAAGCCAGAGGAAGTAAAGGATCAAGCACGTTTGTACAGTATGAAATATTGTCCTTTTGCTCACAGAATACGACTCATACTTACTCTAAAACAGATTCCTCATGACATTGTCAATATCAACTTGCAGAATAAGCCGGACTGGTACTTCCAGGTATGAATCGAGTCATTTTTAACTGATAAATGTAGTTTGTCTTTTTTTTATTATGTGTACAAAGATAATTTCGTTTTATAGATTCACCCAGAGGGCAAAGTACCGGCTTTTATAGATGCAGATAGAACAGTAGTAACAGACTCTGTTGAAATAGCAAACTACTTGAATCAAAAATATCCTGTGCCTCCTTTATACAACGATGAATCAAAAAGTCATGATTTAGAGTTATTAGATAATTTTTCTAAGGTATTTTAATAACGACATTAATTTTTTTTTAAGAATAAGTAAAACCTTTTTATAATTAGTGTTGTTTTACCTAGATTATAGATATTTTTTCGAATTGCATACACGACAAGGATAAGAGACCATTTGAAGTGATTCTAATTGAGACGATGGACAATTTACAAGAATTTGAAGAAGAGCTTGGTATACGTAAAACACCATTTTTTGGAGGTTTGTCTTTTTATTTTTTTTTTTTTGATCATCTCTTTTATTTAATCATATTTTCTTTATTACTTGTTTAACTCTAAGCAACCAGTAAATTTATGTCTTATAAATTATTATTTTTACATTTTTAATTTTTTTATTTTATAAAATACTTTTAGGAAATAATCCTGGTATGTTGGATATTTTAATGTGGCCCTGGTTTGAACGTGCAAAGGCTCTGACTATACTTTACAAACAGCGTGCAAGTCTTGACAAGGAGAGATTTCCTAATCTTGTAAGTATACAATTTTAATAATTATTTATATTTATTAGTTTGATTAACATTTACTACAGTTTGATTTTGAAGACTTACTCATAGCACAGGCAACAATTTTCTCAAGATTATTTTTTCACGTCATCTAATATTATATGTAATTTTATATTTTTATGAAAATTTTATATCAAAATATATCAATTTTTTCAAAAATATTTTTACATATAATATTTATATTATATATTATTCATATGTTCTTTTTAAATATATTAATTTATTTAAAAAATTTATATAGATTATTTATATGAAATTAATTGTTATAATGTTATTAAATAATTTTATAAACTACTAATAATTTGTATAATTTAATAAGTAATTGTCTAAATAATAAATTTATTAATTAAAAATTCGTTTTTTTAATTAAATCTTACTACTAGTATATATATATATTAGTGTTATATATATATATATCTATGTATCTATATTATTTATATATATGAATTACAATTTAACATATATAACACAAAATTACATTAATGAACTTTTTATTTAAGAAAATATTATCTATCACTGATTTCAGATGGATTGGTTAGATGAAATGAAAAATCAGTGGTTTGTCGAGGAACACAAATGCTCGTATGAAAAGTTTGCCAAATTTATAGAAGCTTCAAAAGCAGGAAACGCTGATTACGACAATATTTAAACATATTTACGTAATATATCGTAAAATGCCGCAGGAATAAACAGAATTGCTTAATTGACATAATAACATGACAGTATTAAACATTCCAATACTATTAACATTGATATAAAAATAGTATTAACATAGAATACTCTTCCTTATCACATTTGGTGTGTTCAATTTTATATATTTACTATTAATAATTAATACTCTAATATTATATGTAATTTTTATATTTTTATGAAAATTTTTATTAATCAATTTTTTCTACATTAATAATTATATTATATATTATTCATATGTTCTTTTTAAATAATTATTTATTTAAAAAATTTATATAGATTATTTTATATGAAAATTAATTGTATAATGTTATTAAATAATTTTATAAACTACTAATATTGTATATTAATAAGTATTGTCTAAATAATAATTTATTAATTAAAAATAACATTAAATCTTAAACACCTAGTGTTATATATTATATATATCTATGATTATATATATATATATATTTACAATTTAACTATATCTCTAACACAAAATTAATTAATGAACTTTTTATTTAAGAAATTAATTATCTATCAATGATTTCAGATGGATTGGTTAGATGAAATGAAAAATCAGTGGTTTGTCGAGAAACACAAATGCTCGTATGAAAGTTTGCCAAATTTATAGAAGCTTCAAAAGCAGGAAACGCTGATTACGACAATATTTAAACATATTACGTAATATTCGTAAAATGCCGCGGAATAAACAGAATTGCTTAATTGACATAATAACATGACAGTATTAACATTCAATATATTAACATTGATATAAAATAGTATTAACATAGAATACTCTTCCTTATCACATTTGGTGTGTTCACATTTTATATATTTACTATTTAATAATTAATAAAAATTTTTATACTCTTCCATTTTTTTAAATATATTACACTGTGCATGTGTAGCATCGCTCTTATAATTTATTTAAACTATTATAATACAAAATAGCTTATACAACTAATTTAAATATCGTAATTTAATATTAAATGTAATTAAATATGATACTATTTAATTAATTAAATATCATACAGATATTTAATATCAACGTTTTTTCCAAGGCACTTAATATATAATTATTTTGTTACTGTATTATTATAATTATTGCAACGTTATTAATGTAAGTGCGCGAATTATAGCATTTATAAGACGCATTGATCCTCATATTAATTTTTTTCAATAATAAAGTTTAACAGTAATGAATTTTTGATGTATAAATTTGTCCTTGATGTATAAAATATACATTTTTTTCCTACAATACAGCGCTGTTTTAAATAATAATATATATAGGTTTTTGAAGAGTTAAAATTCATAAATAATAATATAAATTAAATAATAAAATTAATTGAATTTTATTTTCTACTGCGCGTAGAATTTGATGCATGTATTTCAAAATTATTCTATGTTAAACAATTTATTAATTATGAAAAATTCATTGCTTCGATTATTTTGGCTTTTTTACTAAAGGGAATAAATGAAAATGATTTGCAATTTTCTCTCTCTTAGAGACAAATATATCCATATATAACCAATAATATTTTGTCTTTAAATAAAGCGGATTTGAGATTAATTCGATCCGAAATCGATCAATGACGTCACTGACCAATCACAACCGCTTCTCTAAGAATAAACGGCTGTGTTTGGTCTCAACACGTCATTCATCGATCTCGAATCGATCCACTGCTTTATTCGATAACGCTACAAGTCTTTGTTACGTGCTTGTGCATCTCTTCACGTATTCTTCTCGGTGTCGGAAAAAGTGAATCTCAAACAAAAACTTATCACGAGTGTTTTTCATGCCACAGTCAACATATCAATCGTCCGCGCACTTAATTTTGTTTACAAAATTAAATCTGCTTTTCGTGTGTTTGGAATAGGCAAAAATCTAAGACTCTGACACGTTCAAAAAGCATATAAATTAACTGAAATCAAAAAGTATCGGAAAAAACATGAGTACACAACATAACGCCAAAAATGAAAATCGAATATACGTGACCCGCGGAAATTTAAAATTCGCGATACTTTTTGAACACACCTCGTATATATCTCCAAGTAGCAAATAACTGACGTCATTAAACGTCAGAATGACGTGATTTTGACGTTTAATAACGTCATTCGACATATGCTTGCTACTTATTGGGTATTTTTTGCATATCGTAATAAAAATAAAATAATATATTATATTAAAAATAATACTGTCGTTGGTATAATTTTCTATGCATATATTTGATTTGATTAATTATTAAGTCATGCGTTAATGACGTCAGAGGCGAGAAAATGCACGCAAGAATTTTTCATATATGTTTTCTCGCCTCTGACGTCACAATTTCAACATGATTAGTGATTCGAGGATCTAGGAGCCTTATAATATTAAAAAAAATTTTTTTTTGACATTTTGACGTTTGAAAATGACATCTTATAGAAATGATTCATATATATTTTTTTCCATTGTGTCTACCTATTTATATATATATATATATATATATATATATCAAATATTTTAATATGTTAAATCTACAATTAAATTTTTACCAAAAAAAGCATATTAATTTTATATTGTGATATTATTATTATATTAAAATTCTCCAATCATCTCCCAGCAATTCATAATGCGAGCTTATATTATTTTTTATTTTATATATTATCAATATAACACTGTTAATAATACGTCTAGAACAAATTATACAAACATTTAATAGAATATTTAGAAATTATAATATATTAAATATTTTTTGAATAAAATCAAAATGGCTGTTATTGCTATATAAATATTTTGTTGTATTTAAAGTTATAATTTCTTATACATGCAGTTTTTCATTCCATGTAACACACATTTGTTATTAGTCTACAAATTTTATAATGAATTATTATAATAACTATAAAAATTAAAACAAAATACAAGAATATTAAGACGAGAATTAGTTTTTTTAATATCTCTTTTAGCGACAAAAAACTTATCGTATTATATTTGTAGCACCGCATATATCTAAAAACCATATATATCCACGCTTCTATTTTTTGCATCTTCTATTTCTTTTCTTCTACAAGAAAAAAAATATATTATCATATTTTTACTGAAAAAAATTTATTGAATTAGAATAATATTTTTATTTCAATACTGTCTTATATAAATCATTTATTTGAAATAATTAATAATATTTATTTGATATGAAAAGATGTTTATTTGATATAAGAAAATATTTTTCAAAACAGATAAATATTTTTATTTGTTTCAAATTATAAGGATTTATAAGGCAGTATTAAAATTAAAATATTTATTAATTTAATAATTTTTTTTCGAGTCAAAAGCTTTACAAATCGTATATGTATACTAGAATTATCTAGTTATATTAATAAGCAATATTCAATTGTGATGGGAAATATAATCCTTAAAACAGTGTAATCTGTAATAGTTATTACAACATACATCACACAATTTTTAAAATATTTTTCAAACAGACTAAATGTCTGGAAAGATTATATATATTATATCTTATGCTATCGCAAAGAAATTATTTAAGACGTTTAAGGCAAGATTTTAATTCGTTGGCGTCATTTTAGAAAATTAATAATAATTTAATTATACCTTCAAAGTATTGCGATCTAAAATATTTACATTCTCGTATACTGTTGTGTAAAATTATAGTTATTAAAATAAAATTAAATTTCTGAGTTATCAATTAGTAACAAAAATCTGAATTTTATTTAATTTTTGAAGTAAACTAAAAAAAATAACAGAATTTTAATTTATAACTCGATCAATTATTAAAACATCTAATATCTCAAAAATTAAAAAAATGAATTATATACAAAAAAAGAAATACATCAAACGAATAATTTAATAAAGAAAAATCGATATATATTTTTAATCAAAGAAATTATTATGGTTAAAGCACATTCGGTTTAATGTATATATAGTTTACATAAGGCAAATTTATATATACGAACATTTCAATCAAATATGTAACTTATTTTTTCTCTGTAGCTAAAGCAGAGAAATACTTAATAGTATATTGAATGTGTGGCAAACTTACTATTTTTCTTATATCGGTATAGTATCTGACGTTATCAACAAAAAATGAATTTGCCAAAAATTTAAAAAAATATTCGAGATGTATCACAGATTTCTATTATATTACATATTATATTTCTATTTATATTTTTTAGAGCACCGCGTAATATAACAATATTATTTTATCAATATTTTAATATCAGCATTAACTATACGCGTAATAATAAATAATTTATTGCATTATATAATTGCTTATCATATACATTTATGCTAGAAATTCAATTTTTGTTGATTACGCGTTTATGTCATCAGACATTGCCGATTTATATTTGCTATATGTTTATATATCTTATATAAATTATTACAATTTATTGTATAAGTCGATGTAAATTTTTACAATTTGTTACAGCTTTACAATTTTTCGCATTTCATTGCTTTCAATGTGATGTACAATCGATTTGAATTTATTCTCGTTGATTGTTTCACGGGCGAACAATAATTTTTTATTTATATCTGATAAAATTCTTACATAAGAATTTTATAAAAATTTAACTTTAAAAAAGCGATAATTCTCGGAACAACTTTATTCTGCGAGATTCTTTAACAATTGAAAATTTCATTCAATCAACAATTGAAAAGTTTATTAACAACCCTTTTATCTCACATAAATAAATATAATAACGTATTGTTTTTATCTTGAAAACAAATGTTTTGCTTGAAATACTTTTTCAAAAATCCATTACTTATTTGTTTTTATTATTGTATAAATTAAATTAATAATGATATTTTTAATTCTCAATTTTTATTAAAATGCATATATGTGTCCATATATGTTTTTATACTTTTCAAGATCAAGAAAAAAATAAAAATAATTTCTATTCTTTTTTAAATTAAGTAATTTATTAATTTGTAATAAAATGTAGTAAGAATAGACCACGATTTTTTTAGGTAGGTAAGACAAGAGCTCTCCATTTAATAGCTTTAATCTTAATTTGAGACCTTTTTAAAAGAAAAACAATTATGACTCATAATTAACATTTTTTTATATTATAATTGCAACCTTTAATGAGTTAGAGAGAGAGAAAGACAAATATTTATTCTTATACAGTATTAATTTTCGCTGTGAATTGTGATTCTGAAACGATCTACGCGATTCCTTCTAATTACGGAACGAGAAGCAAAGCGTTTATTGCAAAATCGACGCGACATATACTCACATACCGACGAATATATGTGTATAATTATCACCAGACAGTGCACTTATTAGGGGGATTCATTTTTGCTCCGAGTGGACAGCGAAATGCTTCCGCAAATGCTTGAGAATTCATCATTATACCGTTGATCCTGAAAAAATGCAAATTAATTATTTATATTTTCGATTTTAATGAAAAATTATATAAATATAAAAAAAAAAATATATATATATATATATATATATATCCATACAGCACACAAAAGATTGCAGCAGTATTGTGGCAATATTTTATTGCAATATTACATTATTGCATAAACGTTGTGAAATGTTGCAGCAATCTTGCTGCAAGGTTGCAGCAACGGTAAAATGTCCACTTTCAGAAATATTGTTCTATAACATATTGCAGCAATAATGAAATAAAATATATATGTAATATTACTATTGGAAATGTGCCAAATACATGATCGGACTGAATGTTCTGCACCTAATATTTTTTGCGTGAATTTTATTTTTATAATATTTCTGAAATGTTGCTGCAACGTTGTTTAAACTATATTGCAAATTCATGCCTATATAATATTTCTACAATATTGCTATACAATATACAATATTGCAATGTTGTTGCAATATTGCTGCAAACTTGTGTGCTATATGGGATATATATATGTACCTTTCTGGAGGTAGACGATAATCGGACTCAACGGAGGAGACATAGGCCTCGGCAGTCATGTTAACACAGTACGCCTAAAAACATTTTTTTCATATATTTATAATGTTTGATATATAAATTTAGAAAAAAAGATAACTGAAATAGTACACTGCAAAAAATTATTAAATTAATAAATATTGATTTCAATGTTCTGTCTAATAAATCATTTATTTGAAACAAATAAATATTTAATAATACTAATAAATAAATAATATTAAAATAAATATTTATCTGTTTTTTGAAAAGAATTTTCTTATATCAAATAAATATTTTTTACATTGAATCAATATATATTGTTAGTTTCAAATAAATGATTTATTAGGCAGTATTGAAATAAATATTCATTCAAATTCAATTTTTTTTCAGTGTAGAATCTCGATATCATGTACAGGATGATCCTCGTAATAGTCGCCACGATTTTTGAGACATTTCCAATTTAAAAAAAATTATATAGTAAAAATTTATCTGTTTTACGCAAGTTATGTAATAAAATATACAATAAAAAATTTTAAAATTTTATAAAAAACCGCATTGTCACATTGAATTTTTTAACTGGAATTATCCTATTTTTTATACAAATTAATTTTTCATAATATTCGGCATAAAAATTATAAAGATTGCCAAAAAAAGTTTAGAGAAATATTTTATACTTATTTAATTTAACATTAATTTTAACATTTATATAAATTGTGAAATATCTCGTAAAATATTCATTTTATGATTATCTTACTTTTAATACTTTTTTATGCAAAATAATAATGAGAGGAATCAATTGATAAAGAAAACAAATATTTAAAAAAAAAATATTTAATTTGCAACTAGCAGCTACATACTTTTTACAAACAACTATGTGTTTTCTTTACACCAATTGATTCCTTTTATTATTTTATGCAAAAGTATTGAGGTAAGATCATCGGGAAAGAAATACTTTACGAGGTATTTCATAGTTTATGTAAGATTTTATCAAATTAAAGTACAATAAAATATTTTGTAAACTATTCATTTATTAACCATCCAATCCCCTTATAACTTTTTTAAGCAGAATATTGTGAGAGATTTATTTATATAAAGAAAATGTGGTGGTTTTAAAAAATTAAAGATGTTGATTTTATTTAATAAAAGAAATGTTTACGTAAAGTGGATTAATTTTCATTATATAAACTTTTTTTGAACTGTTGGAAACGTCTTAAAAATCGGTGATTATTACGAAAACCATCTTGTATAATAAATAAATTGCGAGAAATTGTAAAGTTGTAGCAAATTGTAAAGATTTACATCAACTTATAATAATATAATAAATTGCATAATAATTTAAATAAGTTATAAAAGAATATTCTAAGAAAAGACATCTTTTTTATTCATAGAAAAGATAGAAATAAAAAAAAGAAAAAATATTTTAAAAAATAAATTATTATTATTATTACAAATTCAATTATATTATTATTAAAAAAATAAATAATAACTTAGAAAGATAAGATTCGCTTAATAAATAATTAATTAAAATAAATAATTATTATTATTATTAAAAAAATAAATGTTTACCTGAGCGGCACTTATAAAGAAAAGTTGGTTTGGACGGAGCCCTTCTAGTCTAGGAAGACTTCGATCCTTCCCATTTGTCAAAGTGTGCCAAGTTTTGTGAGAAATTTGTAGAGCTCCGATATCCGCAACAATCTCATTTCTCGTCATATTCCAATCGAACTGCGTCAAATCGTAAATTCAAACATTACACGTTTCTATTTCATTTATTATTTTATCGTCACGAGCAGCATCTTTGCGCTTTCTTTTTTTTTTTAATTTACGTAATAAACCGGGAAAAAATCTTTTATATATAATTATATATAAATAATTGCATAATTATACATATAATCGTAAAATTATATGTGAAATATATGTCAATTTTTATACATAATTATATAAGGTTACATATAAATTATAAGGATTCATATACGAGTATAATCATGTCAAATTTTATATATGAAACATATATATTTATATATATGAAGAAATACTTATTTATTATATTTATATATAAATTTATATAATTATATATAAAAAGCACTTTTATTTAATTATGTATGGTCATATTTTATATATAATTTTGCGATTATATGTATAATTTTATATATTTCTATATAATTTTATATAAAAAATTTGTTCCCGGGAACACGCACCTGTACAGCAACGTCACTTCCGTAAGACTGGACCTTACGCCAGAAACTTCGGGCGTAAAATCTCGCGACGCACTCTATCCTAGTCTCTAATCGCTTCCAAGAGTCCGGCATGATCCAAAGCCACTCGTCAATATTTGGATCCGGATCCATGGACGGTTTACGACGGTGAAAATCAAAGGCGTGAAGAATCTCGTGAGCGATGACCGATCCTAGAGTAGCGTGAACCGCGTAAGCCGGTCCACCGTCCCATGACCATGTCCAGGATACCATCATAACCAATGGAATTCCTTTAACAAGGAATTTTATTAAAATTGCTCGACGCCGACGGTGTACGCGGAACAAATTTTTCGTTAAAATTTTACGTACATTTTATTATTAATTCTTTCGCGGTTTTAGTAACCTTGGGACTCTTGGCATATAGAACACGATAAAATTTCTACGCACTTTATAAATATAAACTGTATTTTTTTATACAATATTATTAATAAGAAAATTTCGTACATATATGATATTTGTAAAATTTATATATATATTCTCGAATAGCAAACTGACATTAAATGTCAAAATAACGTCAGTTTGTCACCTGGGTTTTATATTTCTATTATTACATTTCGCATTTTTTCTCTTTAAAAATAAAACTTTATTAATTTTTAATGCTTTTAAAAATTAATAATAAAAATTGTTAATTATTAATTATAAATTTATTATTACTTATTACTAATTATTAATTAATTAAAATTTTGCAAAGTACTTTAATAAAATTTAATCCAATGCATTGAATATTTTTTTTATTATAGAACATATTAATAAATTTAAAAAATTATATAAAATACTTTGAAATACCATATTTTTGTCCTATGCTTATTACGATTTTAGGATAAATTTTAAAAGAAAATTCTTTCCGTGTACGTATACATGTGTATTTATTTGTTTAATAATGACACTTACTGATCGTGTTTGTTGAAGATTCGTAATAGGCGTGCATAGAATAAGGATAGTGGCGTCTGAAAAAATTTAAATCCATCGTTTATACAGAAAAACCTCTAACAAATTTAATTTTGTAATTCAGGGGAAAAAATTAGATGAGAATTAGCCGTTTGTTCACCTTTCTATCGCATTTCTTCGTAAGGAACTTTGCTCCTCTGGTCTCCGAATTTGACGAAACCTTCTCAGAACGGTGGCAATAAAATCATCCTCAATCACGACCTGCAATAAGATTAATATCCGCTTATAATAGGGAAAGTTTATATCGTAAGCAATCGATCATACAATCGAAGATGATTGATCCTTCTTTCAACTCAAACGACCATTTCTAAAAAAAAAAAAAGAAAAAATCACTCACCTCGGCCATTTCGTGATTCAGTAAGGTATCATTGTAGAAAGCAGGTGATACTTGAAATCGACCCCGTAAGGAGTTCAATTTTAGTAAAGCCTGCGCTCTGGTCTCATCATCGAGCCACGATTTCACTAATATACGTTCGGCTATCGTTTCTTTCACACGTTCGAATAATACAGTCACCTGCAGATAATTTCGTTAAGTCAACAGTTGTATAATAAAAAAAGAAGACAATTATTAACTCTTTAAATATCATATATATTTTAAGCACGGTTACACAGTAGGAAAATTTGTGTTAAAAACGGTCTCCATTAAAATTTTTGTGTTAAATATTTAACACAATCATATGTTAATTTAACATATTGCTGTTGTGTTAATTGAACCTAAGGGGATGCTGACCATGTCTGTTTTACCGATTTTGAGTTCAAGGGCTTTTCTTTTTATTGACTATATACAATTTGAAAAATCCTTCTCCACAATTAAAGTATTGATAATAATAAACGGGGAGCGCTGTAATTTCGTATAAAAAAACAATAAAAGTTAAAAAATTACAGTTTTTTTATCGGCCTCTTGCATCAACTCATAACAATAGTTATTTAATGCAAAAGTTCTGCAGTTTATTTGTGCACAAAATATAGCGCTCTCAATAGAGATGACATGAAAGAATAATACAGAATTAATAAAAATAAGATTAAAAGCCTGTATCAAAAGATTCTTCAATCTGTATATTCAATAAAAAGTGAGCCTAACCTAACTTAAAGTCGGTAAAACAGAATTACGGCAGCATCTCCTTAAATGTGAAATTATTAAATCAACTGAAAAAAGATGTAAAAATAACATACAATGTGCATCTATTTTTAATTTTACACAATAAATATGTTCTGCTTTATTAGTGACAAGATTTATCTGTTCAAATTTATAGGAAAAAAATGTTGATTTTTTATTTTATAATATAAGATTTTATAGTATAAATGGGATGATAAAATCTAAAATCAACATATTTTTAGTTAATTGTTACATTAAAACTATGTTAATTTCACACAAAATTTATTTTAAATTACTTGAAGTTTTGCATATTTTGTGTTAAAATATTAACACAATATGTGTGTCTCCATTTAACATATCTATATTATGTTAAATTGACACAAATTTGTCAACTGTGTAAATACTACAAAGAATATAGATGTACGAGTGTTCGTTGTGAATTCATTAAAAAATTTAAGCAATTAAAAATAAATTAAATCGAGATAAAAAAATTACCCTGTTAACCAAAGTCTCCAAATATCTTGGCGTATACTGTCGCACGTAAAGCGCACTTATCGCTTCGCTAAAAACACTTTTGGTCAATCTGTAGCAGGAAGTCTCCCAATCTTTGACAACGGTAACGTTCATGATATCGTGCAACGTGTCCACGGCGTAGAGCAACAGCAATCCATTATGAATAAGCCTTCGCAATTTATAATCAAATTAATCAAAAAAATATATATATATATATATATATATTTTTTTTTACAAGATATATTTATTATATTAAAAGTAACGCACATGTTATTATATATCGATTTTCTGGTCAATATACTATATAATTGATAGCCAAGCCTATACTATGAGAGAGTTTTTATTTAATTTTATTTCAATTAAATATATATATATATATATATATATATATATAAGTTTATAATTAATTAATTTAAGTTTAATTTTATTATGCTTATAATTAATTTTTAATTATGTTTATAATTAAACATAAATATTTATTTATGTTTATAATATTAATTTAAATTTAATTTTATTATGCACATAATTAATTGCATTTTTAAATTATGTTTATAATTTAATATAAATGTTTATTTAATTAGGTTTATAATTAATTAATTTGAGTTTAATTTTAAAATATATATATGTTTAATTGATTTAATTAATAATTAATTCTTAGGACGTTTGGTATATTATGTGCGTATTTTCCGGTGAGAAAATATATCGTACCGTTTGGAGGAGTGATTTAATAATTTGCCAAGATTACGCAAGTAACGTGGAACCGTGACGTAGACATAGATCTGCTGATCCTCGGATGTCGGTCCTTGATTCGTGTCGTTATTATCACCGTGCGGATCGATACGTCGGCGTAACGTTGTATTCAGCAACGATTTCCATCTTATCTATATTCGAGGGTAGAATAAATCAAATAATCGTTTCCCTTCGAGAAAAGATTATTCTAACTGAGCCAAATATAGGCAAATGTTATGCCTCGATAAGTGTGTTTTATTACGGTTTTTAATGAATAATTTATCGTATACACGGTGTTGGAAAAAAGGTAAAATATTTTAAGAGGATTTAGTATGTCTCAAAATAAGTTAAAGTCTTTAGGACAACCTACGGTTGGCAGCAGTCGGGAGAATGATCCGTAAATGAGCCATTTTTAAGGTATTTGCAATATTTTATACGACTTAATTTACTTATACACATAAATAAAATAATAAAAAATAGTAAAAAAAAAAAAAAATAATAATTATAAAAATAGAAAAATACATAAAAAATAAAAATATTTCAAAAATAATTTATTTACGGATCCAATTATTTATTATTAAGTCTTTAATTAAGTCTTTTCAACTCGTTTTGGGGCATATTAAATGCTCTTAAAATATTTTACTTTTTTTTTCAACTCTGTAAGTGTGATAAAATTGCTTTCGTTTTTCAGTCATTATTAACGCAAATAAAAAATTAAAATACTTATTAAGAGTCAATATCTGTACATACGTAACTAAAGTTTTCTTGAAGATAAGACACGTTATAAGCAACGTACACCCTTTGATCAACGTCCACCCAGTTGTACAAGTCTTTGTGCTTCGGATAAATCTAGAACCACAAATTTGCATACATGATATTTAATTTATTCATACGCAGGCTCTATAAACTGTCTTTTATTTTCTCCTCACCTTTTCTAGCGATAAGTAAAACTGCAAAAGCAGATTCGTCTCCGCCGATTGATCTATGAGACTTATATTTTTCGGCAAGAATTCTCGAATTATCTCTTGAATTCTACTCGATTTTTGTACGTCTTCGTTTCTCTAAAAAAACAAGAATAATATATATAATAATACAATTAAAATATAAAAAATAAAAATAATAAAAAAATAATTGTATATACGCGTTTTCGAGAAAATAAACAATTTAAAAAATAATAAAAAAATTGAAAGCTTTTAATTCTTTTTTTTTTTTAGTAATAAACTATAAATTTGCTAGCGTCAAATAATGTTCACCTGATCCTCTGTGAGAAACTCGTGACTTTGATGCTTGGTAGGGAGATCAAGGTATACGGATGACTTTGTGCGATCGTAAAGATCTACGTCGACGTATAAGTCGAAGAGGGGCGCGCCGTTTACTTTTAGCAACACGGAGATCAGAGGAGTGATATCGTTCGGTATCGCGCTTTTTGGCGATAAGTAACCACCTAGTTCGTCTAAGAGCTTATAAACTGAAACAGCATTAAGAGATTTTTTCTTATTTTTTCCATATAAATTAAATTTGAATAATTTCGGAAATTTCCCATTTAAAAGTTTTTTTATTAACAAATTTGTTAAGCCTCTTCCATATAGCACAAAATATTTTTAAAATCTTTTACAAATATTTCTTAAAACGATAAAATAATTCTCGAAAATATTTTTGAATATAGATTTAAACTAATATTTCAAAAATATGTATCAAATATTTAAGAAAATATTGTCTGAGCGATAAAGAAGAACATTTTAAAAAATATTTTTAAGTTTTTTAAAATATTCTAAAAAATGTTATCACAAGAATTTTTAAATCATTTAAAAATATTTTTAAAACCATTTAAAAATATATTTTTATGCAATATTTTATAGAAATATTTTTTGCAAACATTCATATTATAATATTTGGTGTTGTATGAGCTCTCGTTCGATTATCTCAAAATATCGATAATAACGACTCACCGAGTGTAAAATTTACGGATTTCTTCCTGAACCCTCGACAAGCGTCATAAAATTGTCCGAGCTTCTCGAAGGAGGCTACCATCTGTCCTGTCTCGTTCGCCAACGTTTCTAAAACACAACAATATTACACAGTTGAAAGGGAGAAAAATAACATTGCTATTTTTTTCCCGGCGAAGAAAGCTACACGTTAAACCGTAAAGCAAAGTGGGTAAAGATCGCACTCCTAAATCTGATCTGATTAGTAAGCAAGCATAATTGCCGACCTTGAATCACGCGAATAGTATTTCGAAGGTTGCGTAAAACGCTAAAGAGTTAGGAGTAGGTGTTCTATAGCGAGTAATAGAGGCAACTATCGCATAACACACACACACACACACATAGTATATTGATTAACGTTGCATTATTTATAGTAACGGCCAAGTCGGCCGTTCGATTTCTCCTTCGGCATCAAAGAGCGATAACTTTCCATCGAAAGTCGAAAAAAATTACTTTCGTCCCGTCCAGGCACCCGGATGACATTTGAGCGAACACGTGGCGCGGACCACATATGGCTCTCCCTTTATTTGATCGTTTTATTTGATCGATTACCAGACAACACATGGATGTCCTTTTGAAATCCAATATGGAGATCTTGGGATTAAAATAGAATATCCTGAGGATATTTGTTATGTCCTTTGGAAATCCAATATGTAAAAAAATGAGCGATTATTTGCTCTTCCTCAGAATGTCCGAAGGAGATCTTGGGATTAAAATAGGATATCCTCAAGATTATCCTGAGGAGATCTTGGGATTAAAATAGAATATTCTCAGAACTATTCTAAGGATGTTCTTTTATCTTGGGATTAAAATTGGATATCCTCAGGATATATATAATCCTAAGGATATCCTATTTTAATCCTAAGATCTCCTCCTGATGTCCTAAGGAAGAGCAAATGATCGTTCATTTTATATCCCTGAATCATCCTCAGGATATTTCAAGGATTTTTGTAGAATATGAAAAGTATGCCTATTTTTATTGATTTTTATAGCGGAAAAAAGTTTACCTGTACAAAAAAAGTATAATAAGCAGTGTTGTGCTTGAATGATTTAAAAATTAGTTAGATAAAGATGAAATAAAAATATGTAAATTTATCTCAGATGAGATGAAGATGATTTTGTTTTAAATATATCTAGATAAAAGATTAAATTATATGGCAATTTATCTAGATAATTTTCTAGATAATAATTTTTAAGATTACTTATATAAACACAGTTACAAAAAAATTTAAATTATAAAACAAGTATAAAAATATATGTATTTATATTTTTATTTATAAATTTATATCTCTTACTGCTTAAGTTCTACTATTTAAATATTTTTATGTGCTATTGATTCTAAACCAAAATTATCTGAAAATTATTTTAGATAATGTAGTAAAGATAATACTTTTTTTATCTAACAATAAGGCAGATATAGATAATACATATTTCTATTATCTATATATAAGCATAAGATGACGCAAAAGTTTCATCTAGATGATCATATCTATATAATTTTATTTAGATAACAGCAAACACTGAATATAAAAATATGAAAAATTACTATATAACAATAATTCTTCAATAATATAAATTATTAAAAAACTATTATTATTATAGTAGTTTTTTCCAAAAATACATATGCTCGAGATAGTTATCAAAATAAAAAAATTTGAAACTAAAAATTTTAGATTGCGTAGCATATACAACTTGTTTTGCATAACAAAAATAATCATATATGGATATTAAATATTTTTATAAAATATATTGATAACAAAACATCCTCTACAAATGTCCCTGGACATTTTCAGGATAATCCTGAGGATGTCTTGTGCTGTCTGGGTTAGTCGATCGATTTGATTCTCCGGGATCGCGATCGGGACCAGCCTTGCCGATGTTTATTCAGCTCCCCTTTAAGAGTTTCGATCCCCCAAACTCATAGTTATATTATTTCCGGCGGCGATCTATACACGCGAGTATAGTTGGTGCCAGTCGCTCGGCGCCAGCCACGCTGGCGACACCCCCATCCCTCATCCCTCCCGATGTGTCCATGATAGATTCTTTGGCCAAATTGAGGTCGTGTTCTCTGTCTGTTCCTCTTTGTATTTCTCTGTCGTTTGAAGGTTAATAATATATTGCATAGTTCATATCTCATGCGCAAATTATTCGGTTCGGTTCTCTTTTTTCCCTCTTTTCCTCCCGTGGTCGATAAAAGAGAGAACGTAAAAGGAACGATGTAATATATGTCATCGATATTCGATTTTTTCTTTTTTTTTTTTTTAGAACGATTTTTAGAATGATGCATCGTATGGAGGTTATAGGAAAATGTCATTTTGACGTTTAATGACGTCAGTTTGTTATTTTGGATATGTTTTCATGTTTGTAATATATATATATATACATAATCTTCATATTGTATTGTCTCGTTTTTAAGAATAAACTTTTTACAAACGATACGTAAATATTTAAAGTTACATTGATTTAGTTACATTAAATGTACAAATTTTTATCACATTACACGGTTACTTCAACCCCTATTTAAATTCGAATTTTTTTAGACGTTAATTCCTTAAATTAATTTACATTCCCAAATAGCAAACTGACGTCATTAAACGTCAAAATGACGTCATTTTATTTTTCATTAATAATCATAATTTATAGAGCAGATATCTATTTATAAAAATAATATAAGAAATGCACTTTAAGACTATTTATAGGTATCATTATTCTTTATCGCAGATCTGCTATAAAGCTATAAGTACCATTTCGCGTTTTAATCCTTCTGTCAATGCATAATTTTTCACCTTTTCAGTTCATGGACATCTGGGTACCAACTGCGTAATTTTGATACATGGCATTGCGACAATTTTATAGCAGCTGAAAGTGGGCATTGAAGATTCTTTCTCGTTATACAGAGTGTAACAAAAATGTGGACCGCTATTTTAAAAGCATATTCTACTCATTGAAACCTGCAAAAAAATTCATATAAATATATATATTCAAAAATGATTTTTTAATTGGTCTCCTTTGTTTTGATTTTTGAAAAATAATTTACTTATTTTATTTAGAAATGAATTACTTTAAGAGACAAGAATTATTTTTCACTGTTCTTTATTGTTGCAAATAAAATAATAAGCTCTGTAATTATTTTAAATTTCCACACAAACATGATTGTAAGGTGAAAACGACGCTTTTTTGACATTTGTTTTATATACATTTTTTCTGTTCATTTGGATGAATATAGATCAAGTTCCTGAAATAGCAGTCCACATTTTTGTTACCTTTTATTTTAGCACAATACAACAGCTTTTTATGTATCTCGTTTCGGGCAGAGAAAAGTTTCGACACATTTTTAACATTTAAAGTTATTTTGGATACTGGGATATCCGTTCATTGACAGAAAAGTTGGTGAGAGCTGGGTTGGGAAAGATTGAAAAAAAAAAAAAAATATATATATATATATATATAAAATATATATAAAATGTATATAAAAAAATATATATAATATATACATAAAAATATATATATATAAATAAAAAATATTAATATATAAATATATAAAAAATATATGAATATAGATAATGCCGTGGAAAATGAAATACGTATTTTATGTTCATTTAAGTGAAACGATCAAGATTTTCCGTAATAAGAATTGCAAACATAAAACACTTACTGTGTATATATTCATCGGTCTGCGCTTGAAGTAGGTGGAAACTTGCGCTAGATTGATAGGGTCGTCGATCGCGAAAACCGCCGCAGGCAAATTTATAAAAATCCTTGCAAGGATCGACGCCTCGTTTCATGGATGCCAAGATTCTCTTCGAAGCTTCCACGCAGGTATCACTATTGCAGACACCATCAGGCCCATCTCGCTCTCTGACACAAGCTTCATCCTGAAATTTAGCCTTGCTTCAGATATCTTTTTTCGAGTCTCAATTTATTGCGCGAGTATTTGAAAGAAGAATGCAAGATATATTTGCGCAAATAATTTTTTAATTTTATATTATGTCTTGCATTTTAAATTTGAATTTTTTATTTTATATTATATATATATTTTTAATTTAAATTGATATCGATATATATATAAAAATTAATTTTAATAATTTAATTATATATAGTTCTGTTTATAGTAGTTCTTAATTTTATATAAAATTAATATATACGTATATATATTTATATTTATTGTTAAATATATAATACATATATTTATATATTGTTAAATATATAAAATTAAAGTGTACCATATTTTTAATTACATTAAAAAATTCATTTTCAGCATTTTTATGATAAAAATATATAATTTGCCTATTAATAACAATAAGATGTATAGATTCGATTTCATAAAAAAAATTATATATTTCTTTTTTGAAAGTTCTTTCAATTATGGCTCTTTTCTATCTTCCATGCTAGATTAATATATTCCTCTACTTTATATATCTGCCTACTTTGTATATTAATATATTATTCTTATATATGTATATATATTTAAAATTATTAAAATTTATTATCAAGTGTTTAAACACACGAATAGGAGAATTACACAATCTAAAGGTCAGGATAATGTGTGAGGCCCTGACCTCAACCGAGGATGAGCTTTGTATACTCGTCTCGAAACCTTACCTACTAATACGGCTTCGCTTTGCGTTGGCATATATTATTACGACGTATATCGCGAGTAATCGCGACCAGCTATTTTCGGGCGTGATCATCCGATTTTTCGCGCGCGAGTCAAATAAAAAATTCAAATTTGCTATTATAAATTAAAAAAAATTTTTTTCCCTTTTCTTTTTAACTCGATATATATATATATATATATATATATATATATCTTTCTTGGTTACTGTATATAATAAAGTTTAACTAAATTCGTATTGCTTGATTAAACGTCAATCAGGAATTCAGCTCTCGCTTGAAGTCTCGTTAAACATTCGACTTCTTTACCTTTTTCACCTCGGACTAACTAACTAAGCCTAACGATCGATATAAATTACTCATGACTTCTAAGCAACTTAATGTTTCCAAGCTGTTTAATGTTTCATATCGTATAAGTAAGATTATTTATTCGCGTCACGTCATACGCTCTGCACATTTGCAAGCTATCCGTGTATTATATTCAATGTCACAAAGATTATATATATATATATATATATATATATATATATATATATATATATAAAGAGCGATATGTAATATTCTGTCTTTGACGGAACATTTGCCATAATTAATTTTCCCCGAATTAATTATCTTCACATTTAAAAAATTGCCTCTGTATAAAAATTATTGGAAACTATATATTATAATCGATACATATTTCTAATTTATTAATTATAATAAGATAAAAAATTGTTTCTTTCATTTCTTTTAATTTTTAATTCTTTACAAATTAATTAATTACTTCTAATTACTTTCTGATACTTGTTTCTCATCTCATATAGAAGGTTAATTATATTCTATATTTAATTTTTAACTATTAACTATTTTACTTAATTACTACGTTAATTATTTTTAATTCTTGATTCTTGTTTCTCATTTCATATGCAAGATATTCATCTTACTTTCTACTTTATTATTAATAAACTTGAAATATATTATATTAATCTTGCATATCCAATGTTGTGTTTAGATGATTTTAAAATTAGCTAGATAAAGCTGAAATAAAAAATTTATTTAGATTGGTCAAAGACGATTTTGTTTTAAATATATCTAGATAAAAGATAAAATTATATGACGATTAATCTAGATAATTTTTAGATAATATTTTTAAGACCGTTTATGTAAAAACACAATTATAAAAAATTATAAAAGAGATATAAAAATATATTCATATACTTTTATTTATAAATTTTTATTGTTTGCTGCTTAAATTCTTGCAATTTAATATTTTTATGTTCTATGACAGTAAACCAAATTATCTGAACATTATTCTAGATAATTTCGTGAAGATAATCTTCTTTCATCTGAGATGCAGATATAGATAATACATATTTTTATTATTTATATAAAGATAAGATGCCAAAATTTCTTAATCATTTATATAATTAATCATCTTAATCATCTATAATCTGTATACTTAATCATATAGTTAATCATCTATATAAGTTTATTTAGATTGCAGCAAACACTGCATATGACACGGAAAACAAGAATCAGAAATTAGAAGTAATTAATTAAAATATATAAAGAATTAAAAATAAATAAATATAAATAAATAAAGATATAAATTAATAAATATATATAATTAATAAATTAGAAAAATATTAATTTTACATATATATGTATATTTATTATTATTATATATATGTGTATTAGGGCTCGTGATATTAATCGATTAATCGATTATTTCATAATTGATTAATCGATTGTAACCAAAAAAAAAACTATTTATACTCGATTAAACAATTAATCGATTAATTGTCAAAACTGATTAATTGTTAATCAATTAAACATTTATTTTAATTACTTGTTTTTTTATTAAAATTTTATATGTAACTTGTAGTGTCTACAAAGAAAAGGAAGTGTCAAATTAAAACTTATATAATATATTTAAATGAACGCGTTTATTGTTTTGTATGTATACATATAATAGAGTATAAAAACATTAGTTTAATTAGGTTAAAACATATAATAAAAAATGATAATTAATTATTTTAGAAATCTTAAAAATCTTTAAAACAAATATATGTATAAGTTAATTAGAAAAATCGATCAAATAATTACACGATTTAAAGATTAATCGATTAATCTTACTCACTATAATTGATTAATCAATTAATCGATTTTAATTAGTACATTCGATTCTAATCGATTAATCAAATCACTCGAGTATTCAAATTGTATAATCGATTAATCGATTATTCAAACTAATCGATTAGTCGAATTACTCGATTATTCAAACTAATCGATTAGTCGAATTATTCGATTACTCAAATTAATCGATTAATCGAACTACTCGATTATTCAAGATAATCGATTAATTAAATTACTCGATTACTCAAATTAATCGATTAATCAAATTAATCGATTACTCAAATTAATCGATTAATCGAATTAATCGATTATTGCGAGCCCTAATGTATATAATAATTATCTTTACATTTAAGTCAAGAAAGAGAGAGAGAGAGGGAGAAGAAATAAAATACCCACCAACGACGCGCAGCTCCGGGGTTGCTCACCCTCCGGGAGGGTCGTGATGAGGAAGAGCACCGGGCTGGTGACCAGGAGACTGGTGACCAGCAGCATGGCGAAGGTCAGGAGCGCCTTGTGCACGGCCTTGCTCCTCCTGAGCCAGTAACAGGGCGCGCAGCATATCCATGTGCCCTGGTGGTGCGTCGATCTCTCCACGTGGATCATCGGCTCGTCCGGCTGCCCGGTACCGGCGTCCTCCGCGATTCCGCCGGCCCCGCTGGCGGCCAGGGTCGCCCCGGGGCCGCGTGAACCGGCGGCCCCGGAAGCGCATAAATTCCGGGGGCTCAAGGGCAGCCGCGCGCCCGCCTCACCCCGGCCCCCCAACCTGCCGCCGACTCCGCCACCCCCGACACCAGCACCACCACCGGCACGACGGGCCCCGTAACCCCGGCTCACCGTGCACAGAGCCACATTTGCCGAATCCCCACGTACGTCCTGTCTCGAAACTCCCTCGCGATCCCCACTATCAACCCTCCTCGATGACACGAAGATGCGGCACCAGTTTTTCTCACCGAGTAAGCCTCGGCTCGGACTGAAAAATCAGACCCTAATTTATGCGAGAGATCACGCCTTCGAAAAAATTTGGAAGATTGGGGAGCGATTTTTTTTTTTTTTTCAAATTTTATATCGCTCGATTTGGAATTTATATATAGATTTTGCTGTGGAATTATTATTTCTTTGGATACTTTACTTGATAATTTTCGAATTTTTGATCAATATCCTTCTGTCAATATTTAATTTTTTACTTCTTTTTTTCACTCGGGTTGAAAAATCAGACGCTAGTTTACGCGAGAGATTACGTCTTTGAAAAAATTTGGAACGCGATTTTTTTTCAAACTTTATATCGCTCGATTCGGAATTTATTACATAGATTTTGCTGCGAAATTATTTGTAAAAATATTTATTTTTACGAGATAAATATATATTTTTTATTTAAGTAACGTCAAAGATTGAAAGGGCAAATTAAGATCTTTGTCGATATTTGTATTGAAGAAAAATTTGTCTCCTAAGTGATCAAAAAAATTGTCTGCTTAAAATAAAGACATTTAATGATTTTGAAACAATTATTATTTCTTTGGTCCATCTAGAATGGGTACTTTTTTAACGATAATTTTCGAATTTTGATTAATTCTTCTGTCAATACCTAATTTTTCAATGAATATCAACTGCGTTTTGACACATTTTGACACTGCGACAATTTTTTTTGCATCTAAGATGTATTGTAAAATGTATTTTTTTACACCTAGGATGCTAGGCATCAAACATTCTTTCTCATTATATTTTAGAAGGTTTCCGAAAGACTTTTATATTTGATTTCAAACAGAAAAAAGTTCCGACACATTTTTAATATTTAAAGTTGCTTTGGGTACCCAGATTCTCGTTCATTCGTCGAAGGATTAATAATTAATAATAATGGGCCTCGAGAGGGAGTAATAAATAATAAGTAAGTCTTGGAAGAGAGAAAAGTTGATTCGAATCTCATAAAAATATATATTTTTATGAAAAATAAAAAAATTTATAAAAATATATATTTTTATATAAAAAATAAAATTTATAAAAATATTTATTTTTACGAGATAAATATATATATTTTTTTAATTTAAGCAATGTCAAAGATTGAAAGAGCAAATTAAGATTTTTCTCGATATTTGTATCGAAGAAAAATTAATCTCCTAACTGATCAAAAGAACTGTCTCTCTGTTTAAAAAGAAACTTAATGATTTTGAAACAATCTTTATTTGGGTGAACTTTTGCTTGCATATTCTTTTATGCAAAATAAATATAAGCACTTCTGATTCGATGAAAAAAATATTTTGCCATGTAAAATGTCATCAAGATTATGTCAGAATTATGCATAATAAAGTAACGAATAATAAACTTGTAGACAAATTGATTTGTATATTAACCAGTAGAGAAAAAAATTTGTTTCGCGTAAGAAATTTCGCAAAGGAGATCTAAAAATGCGAAAGGGTTAAAACTCAAGTCGCCCAAGTGTAGTTGCATGCAGTTGCATGCATGCAGTTTATTGACAGAATCGATCAGTCGAAATGTCTACAATACAAAGTGATTTTTTATTTATTAAGTTTTGTTCCAAGAAATTTTTCCTTTCTGCGAGTAAATTCAACTTCAAACAAAATTATTAATTAAAATTTTTTTTTTAATTTGAAGATATTACTTTGACATATAATTAAATTCTCTTCCAGTTTTGTAATTCTTCTGATTTTTTAAGTACATCAAAAATTTCGCATGCATGCAGTTTATTGACAGAATCGATCAAGTCGAAACGTCTACGATACAAAGTGATTTTTTATTTATTAAGTTTTGTTCGAAGGAATTTTTTTCTCCTGCGAGTAAATTCAACTTCAAACAAAATTATTAATTGAATTTTTTTTTAATTTGAAGATATTACTTTGACATATAATTAAATTCTCTTCCTGTTTTGTAATTCTTTTGATTTTTTAAGTACGTAAAAAATTTCGCATCAATTTTTCAATATTTTCTACAAAGCAAATACATAGCTTTTAAGCAAACTCACGTGAATTTTTAAGGCCCGGACGTTCCGAGAATCTAGATTCGCACTTTCGCAGACTATATTTCTTCGCACTTCACTTATTAAAATCGTGCACGAGGACTCGTAAGAACGGGACATGCACATGACGTGCTCGAAGACGAGTCGTTCGAAGGAATAATAATAATAATAATCGACGCGAGTAATATTAAATTCTCTCTCCCGCGGAATATATATACTATACGGCCCTGATCGGAGAACGCGAGGCTCCTTCTTTCCCGAGGAAGAGTGAGCCGACAAGTAACACGCGGCCTGTCGGACTGAACTCGGACACAGCCGCTCCCGCTCTAAAACCACCCCCGTTTCTCTCTCTCTTTCAACCCCTTCCTCGCCGTCTCGCGCGATTCCCTCCTCGTCGGTTTTTTTCTTCCGCGTTCATCCTCTTCCGCGCGCGTCTGACGTTTAATTTCGCGCGTTTAACACGCATGCACCCTGCGATTTTCGGACACAGTAGAAAAATTTGTTTTCTTGTCAAAAATGGTCCCCGTTAAAATTTTTGTGTTAAATATTTAACACATTCATGTGTTAATTTAACATATATTACTGTTCTGTTAATTGAACTTAAGGGGATGCTGTCGTTGTTCTGTTTTACCGACTTTAAGTTAGGTTAGGTTCACTTTTTATTGACTATACAGATTGAAAAATCCTCCATATACATACATAATTAATTCAAGCACGAATCTTTTGATACAGGCTTTTAATCTCGTTTTTATTACTTCTGTATTATTCTTTCATGTCATCTCTATTAGGAGCGCCATATTTTGTGCACAAATAAATTGCAGAACTTTTGTATTAAATAACTATTGTTATGAGGTGATGCAAAAAGCCGATAAAAAACTGTAATTTTTTAACTTTTATTGTTTTTTATACGAAATTATAGCGCTCCCCGTTCATTATTATCAGTACTTTAATTGTGGAGAAGAATTTTTCAATCTGTATAGCCAATAAAAAGAAAAACCCTTGAACTCAAAGTCGGTAAAACAGTCATGGTTAGTATCCCCTTAAATGTTAAATTATTAACAATTAAAAAAAGTGTAAAAATAACACAATGTGGATTTATTTTTAATTTTACACAATAAAAAGATTTCAAATTTACAAAAAAAATGTTGATTTTTTATTTTATAATATAAGTGGGGATAATAAAATTTAAAATTAACATATTTTTTGTTAATTTTTACATTAGAACTATGTTAATTTTGCACAAAATTTATTTTAAATTATTTGAAGTTTTGTATTTATTTTATGTTAAAATATTAACACAATATTTGTGTCTCCATTTAACACATCCATATTATGTGAAATTAACACAACAATTTCTGTGGACCGTTTAGGACACATGATATCTGTTAAATTTAACAGAAATTTTTCAATTGTGGACGAAATCTGCGAATGTCTTCACTTTTTGTCGTATCTAGAGATTTTGCTTCCTTATAGAAGTTTTGTTTTTGTAAAATTTTTTTCAGATTTTTATACCAAGCCATACAGCACAAAATATTATGAATGTTTTCAAAAAATATTTCTAAAATATAAAATATTGCATAAAAACATTTTAAAATAATTTTAGGAATATTTTAAAATAATTTAAAAATTTTTGTGATAACATTTTTTAGAATAATTTAAAAAATTTTTTAAAATATTTTTTAAAATGTTCTTTATCGCTCAGATAATATTTTCGTAAATATTTGATACATATTTTTGAAATATTAGTTTAAGTCCAAAAATACTTCTGAAAATATTTTTTAAACATGAAAAAGCGGACATAGAAACATTTTAAAAATATTTTTGAGAAGTATTTTATCTTTTAAGACATATTTTTAAAAGATTTTAGGATTTTAAGATTTTGTGCTGTATGGGAAATATCTGTGTGTCCAGAATGTTTTAAAACATATTTTTTTTAATTTCGGAAAATTATATTTAAAAAAATATGTTCATATACGGGATGTTAAAAAATTAGATCAGTAAATTTTGGAAGGCAATAGAAGATTTAAAAACAAACATTTTTGTTAATTTTATTTTTCTCTACGTTTTGTTTGAATTTTATATGTATGAAAAACAGAAGTTTGTGACTTAAACAATACTGATATATAATTAATCTTGAACAAAACACGGAACAAATACGTAAAAATTATTCATCCTTTTTTACAGTAAATGCTCAAGAATTACTTCATTAACTTCAATATAAAGATGACAAAATCAAAAGTTACAATCTCATATATGTAACATTAAAATTAAATGTGGAAAAAATTAGTATTAATAAAGAGTAATTTTGAAGTCTTATTTTACTTTTTCAAAGTTTGGTCTAATTTTTTAACATTCTGTATATGTATGTTTTCCGAAAATTTAAACATCTATACTCGAACTGTTTGAGCTACAGTGTTTCAATTTAATATACAAGTAGTATAACACTTTAATTTACTGTCATTTAAAAAAAATTGTACAATATTTTAGTGCAATTTTATTTTTCAAAAAATATCTGTGATTACTTCAATACTTGTTATTGACAAGAATAATATTTGACAAGAATCGAATGAAGGGGTTGATTTTTTTTATATAATTTGACATTTTTTGAAAGTTTTGCAAATGAAAGTATACAAATTAGAAATTTGATTAATAACTTAAAATTTGAGTTATAAACGTTTTTGAATGTTCGGAAAGCACACGTATGGGACATAAAAAATATTTTATATTAAAAAAATGTGTAAGTTGGAAATATAATATAAACATTGAATCCTCACTATTTTATTTCGCTACAAGTTTTCAATTTTTAATATATCTTTGTTACACATTATGCGATAAAAAACGTATCACTACAAAGAATTATTTTTTTTAATGGTGGCTTTCACAGTTCCATGTTCTGGCGATAAAAATAATGAAGAAAAGGAAAAAAGAGGATTATCGTGACATTTTCAGTAGTACATATAAATGATGACCAAAGGGGTTTTTATACTAGATAAAAACGATGCCAGCCAAAAAATACAGATTTTATTCATCCACCTATAACGCATACACAATAAAGTCGATTAAATTTTCCATTTTTTCAACTGTAAGATATATATGTATATATATGTAATGAGATATACATATATAAAATATACAGAGCGTAGGATGTTTTGACTTTATGACGCGGATTATTTTTACTGTGCACGTATAATTATCAAGAAAAATGTCCCGAACGAGAGAAATAATCTGCGTCATAAGATTAAAAAGGGATTCCGCTCTGTATATAACATATACGTATAAGATGTATGTATATATATTTATAGTTTGTCGCTTCTCGCATCAATTCTCGACGGATTCCTCGGACAATTTGGAGAAACGAAGATAATATACGAAAAAAATGTTGGAGCTACAATACCTTCTCGAATGAGAGGAGATCGAAATTAACTCTATAATCTATAATCTTTAGCTGATAATCACCTAACTCTAAAATCAGTTTGTAGTCGGAAAAAATGCCAGACTCTTTTTTCGCATCAGGATCTTCGTTCGAAAAAAAAATTGCTCGAGAAATCCGTCGCTGAATAATTTCTATACACACATATACATATACATATACGCATATTTAATTTATATATATATATGCATTTATATTTATATAATTTTTGTCTTTAATGTAATGCTCAAACTCTCTGTCCGCTACGGCTTCTAAGGTACATCATCTACACATGCGGATTCTGTAGCATCCGTATTTCGTGTTCTCGTGTTCGTTTCACGGACGTCCTCGCGCGTTTCTTTCCATTCATTTTGAATTAAAATCAACGCACAAATAAGGATATTAAGACTTTTAATCCTTCTGTCAATGAAATGTCAAAAATTTATCTTGAAACTTTTCTCCGCTCGAAAGAAAAAAAAATACAAAGAGCCTCCATTTTGTATTTTAGGAAATAAAATATGACAAAAGAAAAATTGTTCGATGCCCGGAAATTGCTATAAAAAAATTGTATATAATGTGTCAAAAAAATGTGGTTGATATCATACATTGATAAAAAGCATATAAATTATGCAGACAAAAGGGTTACGCATCAGCAGTGAGATATTCTTCATCATCCAGGTGATGTTGAGAGGGTAAAATCCGCGAGATGACATTTCTATTCTAATATGTATCATTCGAAGTGATACGAGAAAAATAAGGGAGAAAAAGAAGAATATTGTCATTCGTAGATTTTATACGATATTACGATGCTGTTGAAAAAGTGTTACATCTTAAAATTCCAAAGTCCGGATTCGCAAGGACGACGATGATCGACACGAAATTCTTGTTCCCAGAAATACTCTTTTTCAGACCGTTATCGATTCGATAACGTCCCATAAACGTTAATACCTCTCTGCGAGTTTTTTTTTTCACCGCCCCATCATGTAAGTAATTTTTATTCCGCTATTGAGTAATACATAGTAAAGTTCCTTCTCCTTGTTGTTCCCCCAAATCGTCTAGTTTCCGATCGTCGGTTTGAGAACTCTTCGGAAAGCTGTCAACGCGGACACAATTTTGACGAAATGATACTTCATAATAATACGTTCATAATAATAATAATAATAATAATAATAAATAAAAATTAATAATTAAAATTATGTGTAAAATAAAAGCGAAATTGAAGCATCTTATTATAAGGATTACAAGGATTTTTTTCAAGTCATTACAAGTGTACGCAAATTTCTCTTTCTAATTATTTCTGCTCAGTATTTAATTAGATTAAGCGAAGACAAATTTTGAAAAATTATAAAAAAGGTGCATCCAGATTAAAATGCGTAACTTACAATTAATCTAATTTTGCAAGGGGATCATTGACACATCTGGCATTTTTAACTAGAATTTTTTAAAAGGGTGTAAACAAAACTGAATCGCTGCTAAATAGTTGAATTTTTTCTCGGTAGCGGAACATTAAAAAAAAAACACGATTACATAGAGAAATCTACATTCTTAATGATGTAAGTTATACTAGAAACAACATGATATGTAATTATAGTTGACATCGTAATTAGACAAACGCGATTCCAGGAGAAAACAGAGAGAGTAAAATCTATTTATCTTCAATGATCTCGTAATTCAACCCTTCTGTCAATGAACAGGCACCCAAAAGCAACTGCAAATATGAAAAAATAGCTTTAAATATTTCTTCGTCCAAAACAAAACACAAAGGGTTTTCTTTAAAAACCTAGGTTTCTAGGAAACCTAAAATATAAAAAAAATGTTTAATGCTGCTACAAAAAATTTATTACGGTGCAAAACACAATTGGTACCCGGATACAAAACATACATTGAAATATTATGCATTGATAGAAGGGTGGGAAAATAATAAACGACGACAGAAGGGTTAAACTAACGAAGGACGACCGGAATTGGCACGGGACAATGCGATCGTCGCGCGACTGCGGATATATCAGGATACATATTATTTTCTCTTCAGCCGCGCGGCGCGAAATCAGAAAAAAGCGGAAAGGGGGAAGCGCACGCGTAAACATCTTTCGATCGGAATATTCCCAATTTATTTTCCTCGCCTGGATATGCCGGCGATAATCGCGTTGGACCGTCGTGAGTGCCGTTAGATCGCGCTCAGTCGCTCCTCGTGGGCCTTTTTGACAATCGCTAATTTCGAATGAGGATCCGCCGCCGATAAACCCGTGTATGGTGGTTCCCTGGTGCCGTGGAGCATCAACGTCCACTCTTTCAGCCATCCGTGTTGGGGCGTCTGCGTGTTGAAGCTTACCTGAAAGAGAGATCCCCAGGTTATTCCAGTTCAGATCAAGCAATTGCTTAGGTTAATCCCATAGAACTTATAAATTTGGAAGGGGAATAGGAGCGCAAAACTGTGTCCAAGTTGGGTGCGAGAGAGAACTACGTTTTAAAGAAAGAGCAAAGGATAGATTGTTACCTCCGTCCGCAATGCGCAAGTGCGAATTAGCGAAAGCAATGCTTGTAAGAGGTTAGGGTTAGGAGATATCGGTGACATCAATATGCAAAATTATTTTTCACTGTATATACACTGCTCGACATTAATTGTCACCTATTCTATCATCGTCAATTGTATCGCAATTAACAATTACAATTTCATTTTCAAACGGCGCGGTGAGCGTTCGCGGTGACGTCATCCGAGTTTGCGCATTCCCTAGCTTATAGAAATTTATCACTAGTAACGCCAATTTATCACTTATTTCGAGTGCTTAAATTACTGTATATCAGTATTTTAAATACTCGAAATAAGTGATTAATTGGCGATACTAGTAATATATTTCTATAAGGGTTGCGAGCAAAGGTTACAAGCTATCTTTCTCTCTCGCACCCAACTTGGACACATTTTTTCCACGGAAGACAAAGCAATTCCTCTTCCAGATATATATGTTCTAACGTTAACCTAAAGTTTTTTTACCTCTAGCAGCCAGGTTCCCTGAGGATACTCGCCCCACGTGTGCGTCGTCATGAACGGCCACTTTGTAAACCCGTCCCTATGATCGTCATCGTTTACTCTGCGACTCAGAATCATGGATCTGAAAAAAATTATGAATGGGTTTTTTTTATAATCCAAATGGATGGTTCAGTTGAATTGAGAAACAGGGAAATTTGTTGAGAAAAATAAATGACTACTTATTTATTTACGTACCTCGTACCCATCGGAGACGTGAGAAACAGCTCGAGATCACCTCGCCGAGTCGCGTTGACAGTAATGACGGCTTGTACATGTTCCAAATAATTAACGGCGTATTCTGTCCCGGCACACGCATCGGTCTTAATCTTCACAAGGATGGATCGATCGCTCGTGACTTCCCTAGAAAATCAAACAGCTCGAGGAAATGACAAGGACCGACAATTCAGGGTTCAGATTTTTCTCCAAAAAAGGATCGATTTTCTAAATTTTTAGAGAATATACGTCATATGCAGATATATAGGGTCTAGAAATATTAAAATTAACCCTTAATTCTATCAATGCATATATTTTTATCAATAGGGAGGTTCCGCGAAGTATCCGTTTATTGATGGGATTAATGGACAAAAGAATTATTGTCGACAGATTCTCAACCTCATCGTTATAAGAGCAGTGTTGTACTTAGATGACTTTAAAATGATCTGGATAAAGATGAGATGAAAATATGCAAATTTATCTTAAGATGAAGATGATTTTGAATTTAAATATCTAGATAAAAGATAAAATTATATGTATCACAATTTATCTAGGTCGCTTCCAGATAATATTATTTTTAAAATCGCTTATGTAAATACAGTTATTTCAAAAAATGTAAATTATAAGAGGGATATAAAAATATATTCATATTTTTATTTATAAATTTTTATCGCTTATTGTTTAAGTTCTACTACTTAAATATTTTTATGTGCTATGACTCTAAAGCAAATTATCTGAATATCATTCTAGATAATTTAGCAAAGATAATACTTTTTTCATCTAAGATACACAGATATATAGATAATATGTATTTTTATTATCTATATATAAAAATAAGATGACGTCAAAATTTTATCTAGATGATCATCTATATAATTTTATTTAAATAACAACAAACACTCATTAAGAGACAATTACTTACTGTGTTTCAGTCGTAGCTCCAGCTTCACAGTGATATCTCGGTGGTACAGTCTTCCACTTTTTAGCCAAAGCTACCATCGCGCCCGCATCCAAGACCCCATATCCGAAAAGATGATTGAACTCGAGCCCGACACCATTCATGGTCCAATGAAATCTGTCCTTCGCGTCAAACAGAGAATTCCTTTTCGAAGTTAGGACGGTCAGGTGCTGAATATCTCTCCAGGTTAGTTGCGAGCTAGAAATAAAAGTTCTTATATATAACTGACATATATGGAATTATTAATGAAAGAATATTTTTATTCATCCTCTCTAGAGATTGAATCTCTAGAAGTATCTATTGATAACTTTAAGCTTGAAATTTTCATGTATGTTGAAACGAAATACTGAAATGTACTTACTTGGCTTCGAGAGCGAGCGCGAACACCCCCGCGGCTTCCGGTGCCGCGGCGGAAGTTCCACTATGAGTAGTCGTGCATTTCCCATACAGATCCGTAGTAGCCTATATAAGAAAAGAATGTGTAGTAAATAAAAAACATAATCACTCGTTTTGTTCTTTTTTTTTAAACGTTCCAGATCATTTTGACGTCAAATGACGTCAGTAGATGTCAAAATGACGTATTTGCTACTTGGGATAATTCTAGAAGGGAAAAACACTAAATAAAGCTTTTTTTCTAAGAATATTCTTTTTCTTTTAATTTACATTAATTTATAATATATAAATTTTCTTAATGAATTAATCATGCAATATTTTATAGCAACGCGTGTCTCTTCTTGAATAAAATTACTCCAAGAAAGATGTAGCTAATTCTTCTTCTAACTCAAATAAATGACCACTTACTACTCCTATGATAGAATTTTTGGCATCCTTGCTAAACAAAGCGCCTTTCTCTGTCTGAAAATAATTGTTTCTTTTAATTTACTTAATATTTTATAATTTATTTACCAAATGTTACAGCAACGTGTGTGTATTTTCACGAATAAAATGAGTGGAATCGGCGTTAATGATTTAGTAATTGCTTATTTAGAGACAGTGAAATTGTGTGGTCTCATCTCACTTGAAATAGGAATCAAACCGAGTAGCAAACTGACGTCATTAAACGTCAAAATGACGTATGCTTGCTACCTAGCATTGGAGTGATTTTGGCACAAGTAGGTTCCAAAGTAGTGCCAAGTAAATGCATTTTAGAATCTACTTGTTCCAAAATCACCCCAATGTTAGATAACAAGCATACGTCATCTTGACGTTTAATGACGTCAGTTTGCTACTCGGGTTGATTCCTATTTCAAGTGAGATGAGATCACAAAGTAGTGCCAAGTAAGTGCATTTTGGAACCTACTTGTTCCAAAATCACTCCAAGAAAACGGTTTAGCTAATCTCTCTCTCTCTCTCTCTCTCTCTCTCTCTCTCTCTCTCTCTCTCTCTCTCTCTCTCTTTCATCCAAAGTGGCTACTTACTACTCCTGTGTTAGGATCTTTGGCACCGTTACTAAAGGTGGAGGCTAAGGTGCTGGAACAACTCTCGTCGTAATGGGCATTTTGGCCGTCGTTGATGGCACTGTTGATGCTGATGGTCCACATACTTGCGGCATATCCGTCACAATTGCAATCATCCTCCTCTCCGCCGTCCCCGGATGCCCAGACGTAAATGTTACCCAGACCTTTCCTACCCTGGTAAGTATATTTTTTCATCTTTTTACTATCGATATATTAAATTGCGACATTTTCAATTCTTTGAATTTTTTCCAATAACGAATCGCAATACTGAATCGGCAAATAGAGTTAAAAATATCTTTTGTTCTTCCCACATTTTATTACCCTTCATTGTTTCAATATACCTATATTTTTCTCTTTGTTTTATGAAACTCTATCTAACTCTCTTTAATGAAAAGATATATTTTTATAAATAGAATAAAAAATATTTCGAGGAATAAGAAATATTTTTATCCCGCGCGTGTCATCGTTTCAATAATATATTTTTCCCTCTATTTATTCATCTTTCCGCTTCATAAAAAAAATCTCAAAACAACCCCTTTCTATTTAATAACACAGAAAAAAAAAACCATAAAAACTCTCGCTGATTCAATAACGATCCATTATTTGTCGTTAAAAAGAAACCTACTACACGGTTAATAATTCCAATCAATTTTGCCATGCATTCTTCATGCATATAACAATTAAACAAAGCGCACCTCATTAACGCCGCGGACAATGGCTCTCATGGTCGCGTTTCGCGGCCCGTCCACCGTCTTCCCGTCGTCCGTGGGTCCCCAGGAGGCGCTGTAAATGTCGATGAGATCGGGCTCGTGGCCCATGCTGTTCGCCTCGATCAGATCGGTCATGTAGGGCTGATCCAGCATCCGGATCCCGGCGATCATCGAGTCGTAAGCCACCCCGACGCCGCAGACCCCGTTGTCTCGTGCAGCCGCGACCTCCCCAGCGCACCTCGTGCCGTGGCTTTGTTTTTTTATTATGAAAAACATTATTTTTAACCCATAATTTCCACGATCAGATTGCCAGGGTTCGCGCGCGAAATGTAGGACGCGCCTTTTGTCTCAACTTTTCAACTAAACGCCTTTGTCTCTATATCTATACCCTGTGTTAAGAGCGATATTGTTTTACTTTCACTCATTGTTTATCCCCATCCCGCATTTTTATTTAATTAACTTTTTTCCATTTTTTTGTACCCGCTACTTTAAAAAAAAAAATCTCATTCAGGTTTTGATATTGAATTTTTTTTTCTTTATTATTTCATTCTCGGGCAAATAATGTTCGAATTTTGTTAATTCAATTTTTCCCTGTACTTAATTTTTCATCTATTTTTGAACAAACGCTTTTTTTTGCTTTGAGTTAAATACAGTGTTGTACTTGGATGATTTTAAAATTATCTAGATAAAGATAAGATGAAAATACGAAAATTTATCTTAAATAAGATGACTTTTAATTTAAATTTATCTAGATAAAGATAAAATTATATAGTGATTCATCTAGATAACTTCCAAATAATTATATTTTTAAAATTGCTTATGTAAATACACAGTTATAGAAAAATATAAATTATAAAAGCAATATAAAAATATATTCATACTTTTATTTGTAAGTTTTTATCGCTAATTACTGCTCAAGTATTTTTATGTACTATGACTAAACCAAATAATCTGAATATTTTTCTAGATAATTTAGTAAAGATAACACTTTTTTTCATTTAAGATGCAGATATAGATAATATATATTTTTATTATCTATATGAAGATAAGATAACGTCAAAATTTCATCTAGATGATCATCTATATAATTTTATCTATATAATTCTACCTATATAATTTTATTTAAATAACAGAAAACACTGTAATAAAGCAGAGCAGTTTTATATATAAATGACTCAATTAATATCCATCTCGTTTAATTAATTTTTCTGAGATTCAATTTTATTTTATATCACATTTATTTTATATATCGCTTTTACCTGTTAAACCAATCGTCGGTGTATCTCGGATACGGATAAGGATCATTGCTGCTGAAGTCGTAAGAAGCTTTAGCATTCTGAAACCGAGTAGAGAACATCGACATTAATGATTCACGATCACTAATCAAGTCGGTACCTAATTACTTATTTAGGGTTCGCGAAATTGTGTGGTCTCGTCGTCGTAAAATAGAAATCGATTTAATCACAGAATTCATTTTATCAATTTAAATAAGAAAAACTGTAACAAAGAAAAATATTTTAATATAAGTTTATCGTAGAAAAGATTTGTTACTGCAAAGAACTGGAGATTTTTTTCTCTCTCTCTCTCTCTTCCCCGAATAACATAAAATAATTTCTGTCCGCTAGTTTTGCAGTTTATACTCTGGTTTTGAATTCCTGACATACTTGCATGTGAGCCGCGCCGAGAATGGCATCTATGCGAAAAGGAATATTTGAAATTCTCTCTCGTTTTACAGTTATGACGTAAATGCTATTAATAATGAATTGATAATGAACATTTACAGATTTATACTGAAAAAATATTATTATGCTACTACTGACATATTATTTTAGATTCGCATTTATTTTAATATCGCCATTATTTGAATAAATATTTAAATTAATGCGCTTGCAATCGGGGTAAAAAATTTGACATTTTTATGTCAAATGAAATTTTAAAACGAAAATTACAATATTGGAATCAGCTATTTATTTATTTTTTTTTTATTTTATCAAATCTTGATCTTTTGATTTTATTTAAAATACAAAAATGACAAATACAAAAATAACAAATACAAAAAATACAAAAGTAATAAAAATACAAAAATAACAAATGCAAGAATACAAAAATAACAAATACAAAAAATACAAAAATAAATAAATTACAAAAATAATATAAATATTTTTGCACCTTAATACTATTTAATAACATTGTGCAATTTAATAATAAAAAACACTTACATAATTATACTTGAGATCCGGATGCATATAATCGACACCTGCAATATAAAACGTTATATATAATTAATACGTGCATATGTTACGAATGAATTTACGTCAACTGCGACCTTATTGCGTGCATCGACAGTGTGTATAACACAAAAATTCCTCGGAAAAAAAAGAAGGACATAGTGCAAATTGGCAATTTTGCTTCCTTCTCGTTAAGAAGTCGAATCATTAAAGGAGAGCCCGGTTACAAAGATCTTATTGCGCTTTTCTCTCTCTCTCTCGTCGAGGAAGTGCAAATGCAGTTTCTGCGGACGAGTCCGGGTGAAAATACATCTCGTTTCTCACTCGGTGAAACGAGAGAGCGTTGCGTAACTAGTCCTCCCTCAGCGATATCGATTTAAACCGCCGCTGGTTCGCAAACTCTTGCATTCAAGCGTGTGTAATTTAACACTGTTTTGACTTCGTAATAACCCTCCTCCCGGTCTCGTTTATTCGAAAAAAAAAAAATTCTCTCCTTTTTTTACGCACCGTCATCCATGATGGCCGTCGTCACGTTTTTCCCCGTGACACCCTGAGCCCACGCAGCCTCCACGTTCAGATCCAATTTCGGTTTACCGCCATTCTGCCCGACATTCTTCAAATACCACTGATACTTGAAGAAGGGATCCGTCGGGTCTTTGCTGCCGGGATTCGTCGGATTCTTCATCTCGTACAGAGGTACCAAGTTGTCCACGCTCAGGGGTTTGTAGCCCCTCTTCACCCTCTTAAAACCGGCCTGCTGTATCGCCGTGGCCACCTGATTTTTTTTATTATTTATTATTTTTTTAGTATTTACGGGGATGCTGACCATGTCTGTTTTACCGACTTTGAGTTCAAGGGCTTTTCTTTTTATTGGCTATACAGATTGAAAAATCCTTCTCCACAATTAAAGTACTGATAATAATGAACAGGCGCTGTAATTTTGTATAAAAAAACAATAAAAGTTAAAAAATTACAGGTTTTTATCGGCCTCTTGCATCAGCTCATAACAATAGTTATTTAATGCAAAAGTTCTGCAGTTTATTTGTGCACAAAATATGGCGCTCTCAATAGAGATGAGATGAAAGAATAATACAGAAGTAATAAAAATGTGATTAAAAGCCTGCGTATCAAAATATTCGTACTTGAATTAATTATGTACGTATATTTGCGCGCAGAATCGATGACGCGGCAGCAAAAATTTGTTGCAGGACAGCGCTTCCCATTCATTATTATCAGTTCTTTCATTGTGGAGGATTTTTCAATCTGTATATATTCAATAAAAAGTAAACCTAAGCTAACTTAAAGTCGATAAAACAGAACTACAGCAGCATCTCCTTAATTATGAATTCTAAGCATTCATAATTCTGTAATCAAAATATATGAGACTATATACAGATTGATAAATCTTTTTCTGTAGAAATTAAAGTATTAATATTAACAAAGGGTGAAGCGCTTTAATTTTAGGTAAAAAACAATCCGTATAGCCAATAAATAGATTTATAGTTTATCTAACCTCACATTTTGTCGATAAAACAGGAAAAAACAACAGACTTCTCAAGAACGTTTAGGATCCCCTTAATTATTCCGAGTTATTTATCATTGGATATTTTTATAACGACTTCTGTGTATCTCTCCCTTTTTTTAAAGGTCATCGAAAATCTATTATTTGTCATAAATAATTCTATTTATAATTTTATTATAATATGTGCATGTGTTCTGACACAGAAAAAAAGAAGTGTCAAATCAACATTTATACGCAATAATTAATATATGTATAATCTTTTTATAAGAATTTGCTGAGGCTTAAATTTCAACAATATTCTTATTTTAATATTATACATTGTTATCTGAAGAATATAATAAAATATTATTTTATATGAAGATAAGTTATTTTCTATCCAACATTTTTTCCATTCAAGAAAAATTATTTTTAAATAATAAATATGCATATAAAATTTTTTTTTATTCAAGCCAATTTTTGTGCATATATATAAGTATATAAGGTGTTAATTTGACAATTCTTTTTTTTGTGCATATTTTGTGTTTATATATTTTTCAAATATTTCTTCTATTATACATTATAAAAAATTAGGAATAAAATTTTGTTTCGAATTCTGTCGCAAATTCTAAATTATTTAAAGATACCGCTATTTTTATAATCGCGTTTTTATAAAATATTTTGAATATTACGACGAAAAAGACAAAGTTTAAATATATTCTTTAGATTAATATTAAATATTATTTTTAATTTTATATATAATCCCATTAAAATTTTCCAATTCTTTTTCTCTCAAATAAATAAATAAATAAATATTTTCTTTTTCATCTACATAAATTGAAATGACGCGGCACTGAATCAACACATTTTGATAAATGACTTTCCTCTTTCCTGTAAGTAATGACGATCATCGGATAGATCTCACGAGGAAGATATCAACTTACCAGAGGGTCGACCTTTAATCTTCGCGTGTGTGGCACGGATCGTTTGCTTCGTACATGAGGTAAAGCTCTATGTACGAAATGATACTCCGTCTGGCTGCCCAAAACCTTGAAACAAAGGGAGCAGAGTTTGTTTTAATAAGGGTATAATCTAGTTTTCCTTTTTGCGTTTCTCTTCGTTCTCGCGATGTTCAAATGTTATCTCGACCCTCGAGAAAGAGAATACTAAAGTATCGTATTTTATGCAAATGTAATAATATCCATATTAATCCTCAAGACAGAATAATAGAAGGATGAAATAGAAGAACGAAGTAGAGAGGAATAGAGTAATTTAATGTTTCTCTTTCTCGAGGGTAGAGGGTAGAGGTGGAAAAGCAGAAAAGCAAACGCGAGACAGAAAAGTAATCTCTGAAAGAGCGCGGAATTTCTATCAATATATAGATTAAAAACCCGATGAGCGATGTATCTTCAACGACGCTGGGTCATCACACATGACCCATATCTAAAAAATTGTTTTATAAAGCTCACGCGATCGCAGAGAATTAAAATAAACATATAACATTTACTCCGTTTTATTTTAAAAATATATAGATTCCCTTCGATCATCAAATATAAGCATTTTTTCAAACATGCACTTCAAAAAAATAAAATAAGATATATATTTCGAAATAACGCCAGTAAATATAATCACAAGGATAAAAATGTTGAAATTGTAGACGACCGAACTGGACAAAAATATTAATTTATTAAATCTTCTTCATAACGTTTCGATCTTTGGTTTAGGTCATTATCAAATAAACGCTGGATTAATAATTACAAACTTTAAATGATACAATAAAAATTAATAATGCAAATAAAATACCACAAAAATAATGATAAAATTATAAAAATAAAAACTGTAATACTAAACATAAAATAAAATAAAAATAAATTTACAAAAATAATAAATTAGAGAACCATTAACTCAATAATAAGAACACAGAAGATGTGAAAAAGATTTAATAAATTAATATTTTTGCCTAGTTTGGTCGTTTACAATTTCAAAATTTTTATTTAAAAAAAATTTATATAACATATTTTACGCATAATAAAAATAAAATCGAATAATGTGCGAGAACCCTTTATTCGGCGAAAAGAGATTATCAAAGGATAAAATTGACCCAGACAATCATGTATATAGCTGTCGCTATTTCGAGGGTTAATCTCGATTTTCCCTTTATACGCCTACACTTAATAAATACAGAATATTATACGAGATAAAATAATTAATTTTCCAGGCTGTCACACGAACGATGAGGATTGTCGGTGGAAGAGTCATTTGCGCAAATCCTCATTTGCGGTTTATCTTCCTTTATTATAAACTACAATTGTGTGTTCCGTGACGTAAAAAAAGGGAAAAAGTCAAAGTGCGTCGTTTCTCATCTCGAATAACTTTTCTCCAGTTTTCTTTTTCTTCTCCGCAAATATTTGTACATATACAGAATTATTTAGCAGATTCCTGGAATTATTTGGAGACGATTTTTCCTCAGCGAAAATGTCGAGGAAGACCATTATTTTTTTTGTGTACTCTTAATGTATCTTTAATTATTTAATTAATGGGATTCACTGAGTAATTAAGGGAATGATAACTCTGTCTGTTTTGTCGGCAAATGTTATTTTTATTTAACTGTTTATTGATATACTACTATACAAAATAAAAAATACAGAACGAAAAATACACACTATACAGAATGAAAAATCCTTTTCTAGAATTAAAGTATTCATATTAACAAATTTAGACTTTATATATGTATATAAAAAAACCGAGAAAGTTAAACAGTTTTCTTGTCTTCTGCAAAAAAATTTCTACTTTTCTTTTCTAAAAAATTGTAATTATTTAACTTTTTTGGTTTTTTTTATAGAAATTTCGCACATTCGATTTTATAAAAAAAATCAATAAATATAAATAATTACAATTTTTTAGAAAAGAAAATTAGAAATTTTTTTATAAAATCAATGTGCGAAATTTTTATAAAAAAATCAAGAAAGTTAAATAATTACAATTTTTTAGAAAAGAAAATTAGAAAAATTTGTTGCCAAAGACAAGAACACTGTCTATTTAACTTTCTCGGTTTTTTTCTCCCGACTGCTGCCAACCGTAGGTTGGCGAAAAGAGAGGAAATATGCGTTTCATTATACATATATATATAAGAATCTACATTTGTTATTATGAGTACTTTAATTCTAGAAAAGAATTTTTCATTTTGTATATCCAATAAATAGTTAAATGAAAATAATATTTGTCGAATAAAAACGGACAGAGTTAGCATCCCCTTAAGCCTTAAATTAAAATTTTATTAAAATAAATTCTATTTGAAATTAATTGAATTGTGATTTTGTTAATATTTTATTTCCACAAGGCTTAGTTTGCGAGAAATCCTTTATTTTCAATCGCTTATAACTTGAAATTATTGATGCTTCAACATTTTCGTTGAGAAAAAATAATCGTCTCCGGGAATCTGCTATTAACGCACAGAAAAAAAGAAATGTCAAATCAACTCGTACATATAGGCAACAAAAAACTATACTTGTATATAAAGATAAAAATATTTTATATACATAGTTCAATCAAGGAAAATATTAATTTTATTATTTAAGAATAATTTTTCTTAGATGGAAAAGAAAAATGTTGAACAGAAAATAATTAATCTTCATATAAAATAACAAATAACATATCTATACTAATATATAAAATTCTTACGGGTGGTGTATGTTTGAACATTATTCATTTAAAAACTACTGGACCGATGTTGATAAAATTTTAAAACCAAATACATGTATTCCTTGAAATCTCAAGAGTGATATAAGGTGACATTCTTCTTTTTTTTTTGCACTACTGGATCGATGTTCATTAAATTTGCACCAACATATTCCTTGAAATCTCAGGAGTGATATAGAGTACATATGTCTTTTTTCTTTTTTATTAAATCTATTTTGCAGAAAGGATAGTGATGATTTTATTATATTTTTCAAATAACAATATATTAAAATAAGACTAATATTGTTGAAATTTAAGACTTAGCAAATTTTTATTAGAAGATTACTTATATTGTTGCACAGTTGAAAAATTGGTGTTAATTTAACATAATATGGATATGTTAAATGGAGACACAAGTACTGTGTTAATATTTTAATACCAAATAAATGGAAAACTTTAAGTAATTTAAAATAAGATTTGTGTAAAATTAACATAGTTTTAATAATGTGAAAATTAACTAAAAATAATATATATGTTAACTTTAAAATTTGAACAGATAAATCTTATCACTAATAAAATAGAACATATTTATTGTGCAAAATTAAAAATAGATGCACATTGTGTTATTTTTACATTTTTTTCAGTTGTTTTAATAATTTTAACATTTAAATTCAATTAATAAAACAGTAATATGTTAAATTAACACATTCATGTGTTTATTTAACTATTTAATAATTTAAATTAACTATTTTAATAATTTAAATATTTAAGTTTAATTAACACAACACATAACAGCAATATGTTAATTGAACTTAAATATTTAATTTTAAGAATATATAATTCGGCTCTCCAAATAAATATTAAAATATTTAAATTATTATATGTACATATAAAAATATAAAATATATAAATAAATTACACGATATAAATATAAAATATATAAATTATATATTTTAATTTTACACAATAAATATGTTCTGCTTTATATTAGTGACAATATTTATCTGTTAAAATTTACAGAAAAAAATGTTGATTTTATAATATAAGTGGGGATGATAAAATCTAAAATTAACATATTTTTTTGTTAATTTTTACATTAAAAGTATGTTCATTTTACACAAAATTAATTTTAAATTATGTGAAGTGTTGCATTTATATTGTGTTAAAATATTAACACAATACTTGTCTCCATTTAGCATATCCATATTATGTTAAATTATAACAAAAATTTCTGTGGACCGTTTGGAACATGTGCTATCTGTCAAATTCAACAGAATTTTTTCAACTGTGGACGAAATCTGCGAAATGTCTTTACTTTTTATCGTATCTAGAGATTTTGTTTCCTCATAGAAGCTTTGTTTTTGTAAAAATGTTTTTCAGATTTTTATACCAACCCATACAGCACAAACTATTATGAATGTTTTCAAAAAATATTTCTAAATATTTCTATAAGATATTGCATAAAAGCATATTTTAAAATGGTATTAGGAATATTTTAAAATGATATAATTTTTTGTGGTAACATTTTTAGAATATTTTAAAAAACTTTTAAAAATATTTTTTTTAATGTTTTTCTTTTATCGTTTAGATAATATTTTCTTAAATATTTGATACATATTTTTGAAATATTATTATAGTTCAAATCTATATCCAAAAATAATTTTTACATTAAAAGTATGTTAATTTTGCACAAAATTAATTTTAAATTATTTGAAGTGTCGCATTAATTTTGTGTTAAAATATTAACACAATATTTGTGTCTCCACTTAACATATCCATATTATGTTAAATTAATACAAAAATTTCTGTAGATCGTTTGGGACATGTGCTGTCAAATTATCTGTCATTTTGACATATCTGTCAAATTTAACAGAATTGTTTCAACTGTGTTCTTTTTTTTTCTGAAACGCCCTGTATACGAAATTAACTGTCATAATTCGCGAAAGGAGAGAAAGAAAGAGAGAGAGATCCGATAATTCCTGTTAAATGACAGGAAGATCTCTTAATCTATCGCATCAGCTGTTACCGCCTTAGCCAAGATAAAATCAGTCACTGCCGATGTATGGCAGAATTAATCGCGTCGCAGGCGAAGGCGATCGATCGATCGCCGATAATTTAGCCTCACGTTCCAGGGTGGTTAATCGTACGAGACGACTGGGCAGGAAACAGTTTTAATCGGAAGGAACTACGTCACACGATATACGATAAATAGCGTTTACGGGATATCAATTGCTTCCATACGGTGGAGAAATTACATCTCCCCCTTTCAATTTATCCAATTTTGTTTCGCGATTAAACTACATCAATCTTCGGTGACGCTCTAAAAAAAAATTAAATTGAAAAGATAAAATCTGTTTAAGCGAAATTGTTTTTTTTTTTTTTATTCGGGAAATTGTCAATTGGAAAATTAGCAATCGATAAATTTATATTGGACAATGACTTTCTATATAGATAAAGTGATTGTGAGAATAAAAATGTCTTTTAGGAAATAAAAGAGGGATTTTGTTCCGCTCACATTAATTATCTTTCATTGTTTTTTTTTAAAATTAGAACATGAATGAATTAATGATATAAAAATCTCGATTTTCAAAATTAATTGAAGAAGAAATGAATAAAAAAATTCCATTTAAAAAATTGTATTTCATATTTTTCGCGATGCTCCTTCGTCTAAAATTATCACTGTCTTGATTATACCGTGGATAACATTTTTACCTCGTATATATTTGTATCGAGTTTCTTGCGTGCCGCGATTTTTAAGACCAATCTCATCATTTTCCCGAGTATTGATCTTACATAGTAGCCTTACGCCTCGTGTCTCTGCGGAACTAAGCAGGCTATCTTAGTTCAAATAAACGTGGCAGTTCGCGTTAGTCTCTGATTTATGATTAACTTTTAGATTGACGCACTTAAAAACCCCTCGATTAATTTTTTAAATTCCTTTAATTATATTATAACAAATTTTGTCATTTTTTTATTTTACGTATCGACGTCGCATTTTTGCGCGATATACGATAATAGAAAATTAAAAAATTAAAGACAATAGTCGATTAAAAAAAATTTTTTTAATAAAAATTCAAGGTAACTTTTTATAAATTTTAGTAATTTTTTTTATTTTACGTACCGATATCATTTTTGCGTGATATGCGGTAATAGAAAATTAAAAAATTAAAGACATAATAATCGATTTAAAAAAATGTTTTTAAAAAAAATTCAGGGGAATTTTTTATCAATTTTAATAATTTTTTTTTTTACCTACCAATATCATTTTTGCACGATATGCGGTTATAGAAAATTAAAAAATTAAAGAGATAATAGTGGATTAAAAAAAATTTTTTAAATAAAAAATTCAGGGGAACTTTTTATAAATGTATTTTTATTGTTTTTATAAATGATAAATCAGTCGCATAAATAACGTATTTTAACGCGTGTACTCGTTATTCGATAATCGACAAAATTTTCGCGCAATTTAATTTCTCTCTTGTTTCTGCGTCCTTTATTCATAAACAAAAGAGAGAGTGTAACAAACAAAAACCTTTAAAAAAAAAAGAAAAAAATTGTACGCTTCTCTCATTTTCCCTTCTAGCTCAATCGCGATGTTGTTCCGCGTTCAGTGAAATACGTCAACGCATAGGCAGACGTGGCGCTGAGAATCTGACGCGTGGCGCATCTCGTTAGAGAGAGAGAGAGATTATAATTCTCGATACATTTAACTCTTCGAAAGCGCGAACACGCGAAATGCGATTTTACGGGTGAAATATTCCGAGAGATGCGATTTGTGTTTTTTTGGCTGGATTTTGATTTATCGACGAAAAACAACTGAGCGCAAAAACATATTGCACTTAAAAACCCTCTAATTTGCCCCCATTTTGCGAATATTTTTTATTTTAGATTTTTTAATTTTAGATATTTTTTATTTTAGATTTTTAGAATTTTCATCGAACATGGATATATTTATAATTAAATTTTTTAATTAATAATTAAAGGAATCAAAAATAAAAAACGTGTGTATATTACTTTTACACAGATTGTACATATATTATTTTTATATAATAAATAACATTAATAATTACTGATATATAATTTCTTGCGAATAATTATAGACATTTAAATCAGAGAAAATTTATTTAATTTGATATAATCATTTCTCTTAATCTATTAATTAAAATATCATAAATATATATATCAAATTAAAAATAGCTTTTCAGATTTAAATTTTATAATTTTTATAATTAATTCACAACAAATAATATATTTAGTTTTGATTTATTTAACTTGCAATTAATTTATTAATCCGAAATTTCTAGAGAAAAAAAACTAGCAAAGCTAATATTGTATAAATTAGTCAATAAACGTTCTATCAAAAGCGACATGTTGGAAAATAAATTGAAAATTCAATGCAAATCTGTTACAGATTAAATTAATTGGAATGAAATCAACGATCTTACAATTTGCAAACTAAAAAAATGTTCGTCTTAATAACGTTTTCGCCTACGTCGACAATTAATCAGATCTAATGAAACGATATCATTAACATTATTATATTACCAAAGTCGATAATATTATAATATTCGGATTTATCTGTAAATCGAGCGTGTAAATGGGGATATCTATCGAAGAACCTAGTTCGCACAATTATCTTTGTAATGGATATCTATTATTATCCGACATCACACGGCAAAGTTCAGAGATACAATCGAAGTAGAATACATATATTCATCTCTCTACATAAACACAACACTATACATCCTGGAATTGAAAATGTTCACGTGTCAAACTCTAGCCCATATTAACTAATAATTATTTTAATTAAATTATAAAATAATTATTTTAATTAAATTATAGAAAACAATTATAAAAAAATTTCAACAATTTTCTTTTCACCTTTTTCTTTATTTTACCGAGACGTAAAATTTTGCGCGACATAAGAACTTGAAGAATTAAAAGAAAAAAGAAGTCTTAATCGCGTAGACACGACAGTAAATCGAGCAAAAAAACTTTCTACTTAAATGATTTATGAGCGCGTTGAATAAATAACTCGGCGATAAAAAATGTTGCTGGTCTCCGCGATTCGATCGTTAAATACGCATTCTTATATATTCACCTGAATTTCTGTGTTCGCGAATATATTTCAATAATTCAGCAAAATAAAAATAATATATATTATTCAATTATTTTATATTATTTAATTAATTATATATTTATTTATTATATACATTTTTTATTATATATATATATATATAATTTATTATTGAATTATAAAATATTATTCGTCATATAATTATTATAAAATATGATTTAATATATATTCCAATATAACATTAAAAAATTATATAAACAAATTAAAAATTATATATATAATATAACTATATATAGGCGTTTTTTAGCGAGAAAAAGCCAGAAAATCGTATGACAGTGCAGCTGGAAGAAGCGTGTCTGGGATTGGAATTCGGGGTGCCTCTTGGACATGGGATCTGCTTCGACTCACCGGTCCGAGATTGACGAAGCCATTTCTCTGGGCTACATGATCGGCCAGGTGCCTCTCCGCAGGCTGGCGCATCCTCACCAGGAAGGTGTTGGTAAAGACCTCGGCGGTGGCGGTGCCGGCGAGGAGGAAGAGCGCGATCACCGCGAGCGGGAGCATCGTGACAAGGGGATGATGATGACGATGCGGCCGGCGAGACACGTAGTCCAGGTAGCGGTGCTTCGCATTCGCGGATCTACTGCTGGACCACGTACGGTACTCGGCTCGAGGAGAGGTGACTTGGTTACTCGAGGGTGTACTATGATATCCTCCTCGCGGCGGCGGTGGCGTCGGCGTCGGCGTCGACGGCGGCGGCGGAGGTGGCAGTCGGCTCACGGATGAGGCGCAGAGCCCTCCTTCTCGACTGATGATGATGATGATGAGGAAGTCGGTGGTCTCTCTCTCGACGCTACAACGCGGCGGACCCGTTTGACAGCTGGGGGACCACGTGACACCGTTGACGTTTGACAGGAGCCACTGAATCCATGTCGCCGGAGAATAATTAATCACGCGAAAAATAGAGCAAAAATAGAGAGGCAAGAAAAATTCACGAGAGGGAGAATTTTCCCTCTACTCTTTTTCGTGGATAAATTGTTTTTTTTTTTTTTTTTTGCGCGCGGATAAGAATCTTATTGTCACACGTGAGTTATTCGAGAGAGAAACGAAAGTTGTAACTGTGTCGAGGAAAAAAAGTAGCCAGAGAAGAGAGAAGTGCGTATATAGCCGTGTCACGTAGAACAACGCGAAGCGGGTAGGTGAAAACCCTTTACGTGACGTCATCCGATATATTGATTAGAGTGACGTAGCGGGCAACAAAGTTGAGACGAGTCGCGCGTGCGCGAGTCTCAAGGATAATCGCCTAAGTATGCGATATATCGGCCTGACAATTCGGTATTTTACGACAAAAACTGGACACTGCGGCTATTTGAGCGAGATAAATAATAAATACGCGATTATAGATTTTTTCCTCTGTTGATATTTTATCTCTATAACTTTATATAGTGAAAAAAATTTAGTATACATAGTGTTACGCTTTTAAAAAAATTTAATTTATGTATATTATATATTTATGTGTTGCAAAATTTATCTTTTATTCTAAAGATTGGAGAAAATTATATGACAAAAAAGCTTCTATACACTGAAAAAAAGAATTTAACTTGCCTAAATCATCCAATTAAATATTATTTTTTAATTGAACATAAAAAAGTATTTAAATTAAATATAATATATTAAATCTAACAAAAAACATATATTTGACTTAAAAACTGATATATGTTGAATTAACAAACTAGTAATTTAGTTGAACGGTTCAAGTTAATCTTTTTTTTTCAGTGTACACATGTTTTTTTCACAAGTTTCTTAAATAAATATTTTTCTCTCATGTATATAAATATTAACATTCTATCTTTTTCATTTTAAATATATTTGAAAAAGTTTTAATAAAACTGACAATTTCAGCTGTAAGAGATCATAATATCGCAACATATGTATATCCACATCTGGATAGAAGTCAATGTTAAAATTAATAATGCAAAACATATGTGAAGATGTGGTCAGAAACTTTCACACAAAGAAAGAGATAAAATGGATAAGAGAAAAAAGAGAGAATTTAAACTTTAATATATATTTATATATATTTAGACACGTTATAAAAAGTCCTTATAAAATAAATCTAACAATCGCGAGCTCCTCGTAAACATAAAAGATAATGGTTAAGCATAAAAAAAGCTAATATGCTGTATAATAATGCTATAACGCTATTACCGACAAAATGACATACATTTTTACACATAATCTTTATGTAGAGTGTATAATATACATATAAATGCATATAAGGTCAATTACACAATTTAAAAAAAAACAAAAAAGAGAATAATTATTTCTCGTAGTACTTTTACTTCAATAATGCTCAATATAATATTTCAGCTTTTATTACACTATATTACTTTTATTACACTAAATATGTTAGAACTTTCAATACTCAATAAGAATATCTTATGTCAATTATGATTAATAGATATTTATTGTTAAATAAATTTCGGAAAAATCGCAAACTTTTTCGATTATTGAGAATTTATAAATATTAATAAATGTTTGTAAAAATTTTTATACATGAAAACATTTATGCACATATTTAAAATTTATCAATTTTAATCAGATTCGTATTTAACAATTTTAAAATATTTTTAAGTTTAAATGTATACAAAAATTATTTGCTAAATCTCAAGGAAATTTAATTCGAAATGTTTCTCACAATAAACTCTATATTTATGAACTTTATAAATCATATTAATCAACGTAATAAATTCTTTTATGTAATAAAGTCCTTTCCCTGAAAGTCCTAACGATATTAATTTCGCGTATATTGCAACAAAATTTCTTCAATCATATATATATATACTATGTTGCGACATAAAGTATATTTCGAAATAACTCTTTTTAAATTTTAATTGTAAAACTATTAAAATTGTGACGTGATGAATTTGGAGTCGTATTCAACATTTTAAAAAACTGTGGGAAATAATTACTGACTTTCTTGTGTTCGATAAAAAATTAATTTTTCGTAAACTATATATGTTATATATATATATATATATATATATATATATATATATTTTACTTTTACTTCGTAATATAAATATATAGAAATTTCATTTGATTATATATACATCTATCACATCGCATGACAGTAAAATCTAATTACAAATTTTCGTAAAATTCTAAAATAATTCGTTTATATCTCGCAATTTTGATATATCAGTTTATAAGTGAAGAAGACTAATCCATTATTAGTTGGCAAAATCACATATACAGTTAAAATTAAGAAAATCAATATTCTAAAAAAATAATAGAAAATAAAAAATTGAAGTCATAAAAAAATTATACTTTTTTCTATTTTTGGAAACAAAATGCTTTGTTCTTATTCCTCTGTTATTTACAATCGTATAATACAAATATAATTTTCAATTTGATTAATTATTAAAAGCTACCGCGGTCGCGAAAATTGAGGAATAAAATTTGGACGTTTTTAAGAAACATGTATCCCTGAAATTCTATATATTTAAATATATAGTAAAGATATATAGTTAAATATATAGTATATACGTATATAGAGCTGAAATGTATTTTTTTTTACAAATTATAAATTATGTCGTTATAATTATAAATATATTTGTGCAACTCTTTTTTTTAAAATATTTTTGTACAATGTAACAATGATGATTACGATGAATAATGATAACAATATAACGATCACAGAACGGGAATATAGTTTCGTCGACGAAACGCTGTACAGTATTATATACTTAGTTAAGAGAATCGGTATAATATTACTTTTTCGGCACAATGAGTATACAGAGAATCAAGGCACTTCTTCACCTATTAACGTTATTCGTAATCTTCATTCCGGCGTACAGCTTCCTCTTCGCTTCGAGCTTCATCAGAGCCTGCTGCCTCTTCCTTTCGATCTCTTCCGGGGTGCATCGAGTCGGCTGCGAACCAGTCTTCGACACCTGTTTCGCGTCGTTATTCATATTACCGGTGGAATGGTGCCTAACAAAACGATCACCATCTCCTCCTTTTATTGTGCACCTGTTAACATCATCGGAGCCATTCGGACGCGTTTGATCCGCGCCGCGCATTAACGAAATTGTATGATTTTCCGCGACCTTACGGTCACCTGTTGCTGTAACAATCGGATTTGTACTTACGGAGCCACGCGTCACATTTCTACACGTTATCGTCGAGCTTTTGGCCGTCGAATTCAGGGCCAACGTGGATCTCGTCGCGTTCGATTTGTTCTGATTAAGGTAGTGATCGGAAAGACTCTTGGTCTTAAAGAACTTTTTATCAGTCGAGCTGGCGTTGGACACTTCGCCCTTCGTGGAGGGAAACTGAGGGTTTCCCTTCAGGGAATGGGCTTCCATTTTCAAGGGCGCGCGAGCCAGACGTTCGAAACTAGCTTCGAACTTCGTACTTTGGTTTCTACAAACTAAAGAATCGAACCTCCAGGATTTATCGTCGTCGATGCAGGCCGCTAAACAATCGTCGAAAGAATCGTCGGGAAAGTCGAATGATTTTGTAGCTTTAGTCTTCGACAACAACTTTTTATTGTCGCACGTGCTTCTGATGCTGGAATGTATCATGTTGCTGTTACTCTCACACAGTTTATACAGATTATTTTTATCCGTCCATTCTGTGATGTGTATACTAGAGTTTGAATTCCTGTTTGCTAACTTTGAGTATGTCTTCAATGTGTTATTCTTATATGTGTCGTTGTGGAAGAGATTTTCAGCTGATAATTCTTTAAAATTGTCATTGGAAGTAGATTGTACGGCATACTTATCGAATGCATTTTAGTTGCATCAGGTTTCTCATACAATTCATCCTTCTTGATACTTGACTCTGAATGCGTAGAATTTCCTTTGTCCGCCACCGATTTCAGTTTCTCCTCTATCTCTTGAGTGCATCTAATCATATCATCGTCTATCGAATCATCGAATAAATCATCATATTTCGCTTCTTTCTTAATAATAGTATCGTTCTCTTCATGATCATTGATCTCTCCAATGCAATTCTGCTTATCTTCAATCGCTGGCACTTCTTCTTCGAAGTTTGTGTCTGCTAAGATCGGCACTTCTTCTTTTTCGACTTGATTATCTAAATGATTCTGATCATTGTGCTTTATAACACTCATTTTTTCCGTTAATGCTTGCAACTCAGCTGCAAATTGTCCAAAGTGTTCCCTGTTTTCCATATTAATGGTCTTTCTTTTGATCGGCTTGTACAATAAAGGCGAATCCGAGTTCCTTTTCTTCTGCAACAGCTTGGTCCCCTTAGGTGTCTCGCAGTGGAGATTTCGCTTTTTGTTTCTGCTCTCCGGAGTCTTGCTCAGGGAGTTCTGCCAATCCCACGCAACCTCATTACCACCCTCCTGCGTACATGGAGGCAAGACTGGACTCGAGTAAAGATCAGGCTCCAGCGACTCTTCAGCATTGTTTGTGCCTTGTCTGTTTGAAACTGGCGTGGCATGATTGGAGACTGCGGATTCGCCATACTTTTCAGAAGAGATGTCATTATTCTTATTGTTCTCATTTGCTGTCATATTTTCTGCAATTACTTATATACACTTCAATATATAATATTATATATAATATATAAATATATATGAATTATATAGATGAATATATGATATATAAATTATATATATGAATATATATAATATATAGGAGATTAATATAATAAAAAAAAATTACCTTCTCTCGCATTCCAATGTTTCTTATCCCTCTGAAATCTTACACATCTCATCATCGGTCTTCCTTTCGAAATTTTTGTACAATTTTTAAATTTCACATCGAAAATGAAATCCCTGGAACTCGATATTACATCATCAATCCTAACCTGCGCCGTATGCAAAAAGACTGACAGGAAGTATTCTTAAACGAAATTTCTCGTAACAAATTTCAACGAACGTAGCTCGACGACAGTTCAATTCATTAATCGCATAAGCGTCTAATTAATTTCTCCTGTACATATTTAAGGAGCGGAAATGAGCTTCTTGCATTCGGCAGTAACTTGACATTTTACATAATAAAATAATGTTGCGATGGGGAGGGGATTTTGCGCATGCGCGAGAACCGCGCGCGCTGATTGATCACGGCAGAAATCTCCCAGATGCGACAGCCAATCGGAAAGCTCGCAAGCGGTAAATTCAGTAAAATCGCGGTTCGCACGTTTGTCTGTTTACATTTTACATTTTACATACGTCCGCGTGTGGGTTATATACGCGCGTGAGAATTTATATTTGACAAATCAAGTTCCAAGCACTAAATCTCGCGCGTGTGTGCATTAAATGTGCGCATAAATAAACGTCGAGAAATAATGGAAGTGACTTGCTTGAGTAAGTCGCAATTTTATTTGTTACAATTAAGCCTCGTCTCTTCGAATGAGTAAAATTTTCTTGTTTTTTTTTCTTAATTTTTCAATTTGCAACATTCCCTTTTCAGACTTTCTGGACGTGCTATCGGAGTTAGAGAGCGTTATCGAGAACGCTACTTTTCTCAGCATCGATGGCGAATTCACCGGTCTTAATTCGGGCCCGGATGCTGGTCCCTTCGACACGCCGGCTCAGTATTACTCTAAACTTCGAGCAGGATCGATGGATTTCCTGCTGGTACAGTTTGGGTTGTCTGTCTTCACATATGACTCGCAAACTGACAAGTGGGATATGATTTATTGATTATTTTAGATTTATTTATTTTGAATTGAAGGAATGCATAGTCTAAGAGAAAAAATTATAGATAGGAGTGGATTGAATTGATGAACGAATGTCTTTCTCTTTTCAGATATTCTCAGCGTTCTTATAATTTTTATGTGTTTCCCAAACCGATGAATCGTCAAGCACCAGATTGCAGATTTATGTGTCAGACATCCTCGATAGCCTTTCTGGCGAATCAAGACTTTGACTTCAACAAACTCTTTAAGTATGGCATACCGTATCTCAGTGCGAATGAGGAAGAGAAACTTATGAAACGTCTGGAGGAGAAACAAAAAGTCAAAGAAGAGAACAATCAAGACTTGATTCCTATATCGGACACTGATAAACCTCAGATAGAGGAAATATGGTAATTTGTCTTTTTCAATGTAACTAAAAAGATATATGACACTACAATTATAATCGTAATGTACATTTCAGTTCTAGAATAGAGGATTTTCTTGCTTCGGATGCAGAAGAAATAACGATAGACAAATGTAATGCTTTTATGAGAAGACTCGTATATCAAGAAGCTAGAGTTAGGTGGCCCAACAAAGTGAGAGTTGAAGGCAAAGTTGAAAATACTTGGCACTGTCTTTCTATACAGAAAACAGGCACTAAAGAGGAAGAGGAGGAAAAAGATAATCAAAAACGCGAGAAGGAGAAGTTGGAAGTAAAACAGGCTGTAGGACTCAGTTATCTTTTGAAGAAGATTGTAGAATCTGTAAGTATATGCATACACGTACACAGTATTATATCTGATTTAAGTAGATATGTGGAATTATTTTATAATTAATGAAAAAATTGTTCACATATAAAAGTTGTTTTACTTAGAAAGTGATGTTATATATGATTAATTTTTACTTTTTTTACTAATAATTTTTCATATTTTTAATTGTTTATGAAATAATTCTACATCTTAAATCAGACATATTACATATCTATTTACAAAAATTATTAGTATTGCACAATTTTTTTGGGAGGGAGGAAAAATACAACTTTTTATATCTGCAACATTTTACATATTTCTTAAAAAGACAAAGATGCTTAAAAGAGATGTAAATTATGTATATAATATTTCTTTTGTAATTTTATTTAAACATATTTCTTTATTTCAGGAAAAGACGATAGTAGGTCACAACATGTTACTAGATCTGTGTCACATTGTACATCAATTTTTTACACAATTGCCGAATGATTATCTAGAATTCAAGACTTTGATTCATGGTTTATTTCCACGGTAAGATGCAAACATTTATATTCATCTATTACATCACAGAAAAAATGTTCTTTAAATATTATTTGATAGTTCTTAATAGTAAGAAATGGTATATGTGTGTGTGAAATTTAAATCGCAGGAACTTATCTTTTCTTCTTCTTTCAGTTTACTGGATACAAAAGTTATCTGCCAATCGCAGCAATTTAAAGAGCACGTAACATCGTCGAATTTGAGCGTATTATTAGACATTGTGAACAAATCTCCATTCTCTATTCCTGATGTAGAACCCGTGGAAGGACGTAGTTATTCAGTATTAACGGAAAAGTCACATGAAGCAGGATACGATGCGTACATTACTGGATTATGCTTTATTGCATTATCCAATTATCTTGGTCAGTAATTACGTCAGGTACAAATAACACGATTACGATGAGTAATATTTTCTTCGTCGATATTGTTGCTTATTTGCGAAAATAATCATCGTAAAAATAATCGTAATCAAGAAAGTAACATATTTTTAGAGTAGAAAATATATGTTTCTTATACCACATGAGTAAATAAATGTATTACTCATAATATTTATGAATAATTGCTTTGTGTGCTTTTTGACTTTTGTCAATAAATATATATTTTCTATAATATCTATTATATCTTTTTACAGGTACATTGCAGAAATCTGAAAATGCCACGGTACTAGCAAATTCTCCTTTGCTTAATCCTTTTCTCAATAAGTGAGTATTACATATATCTGGAAATTCTAATAATAATATATATGAAGTAAAAAAAATTCTTAATGTCTAATAATAATGTTTCATATTTTATTCTTAAAAATTTCATATTGCTTGTATTGATTATATACTTGAATTATCTTCTTTATTTTTTCTGTAGACTTCCAATTGCAAGATTGAAAGACTTTCCATATGTGAATTTAGTAGGAAAAGATCGTAAGTATATCTCATTAAAAAATTATATTAGAATATTTAATTGTGTATGTTTTCATTATTATTCAAATCAGAATTAATTATTTAAGTCAATAAAATCAAGAAGAGAGGAGTGAATATCTTTATAGTCTATCTGAATGAATAGTAATAATTAATAAATAATTTTCTTTCTTTTTTTTCAGCAAATCCTAGCAGAGAACACGTATTTCACATAACATTCCCTAAGGAGTGGAAACACACGGATATAAGTCAACTTTTCAGTCCATTTGGTGAGTTACGCTGATAATAAAATTGACGCGAAATACTCGCATCACAAACGATGTGTGTTTCTATAAAGACTTCTGTTTACAGGCGGTGGTTACGTTTCATGGTTATCGGATACGTCCGCATATATAGGTTTATATCGTCGCGATCAGGCCAGCGCGGTGATGCAGGGTTTAGCCAAGGAGAAAGTCTGCAAAGTACAAAAATATTCGACCCATCAGGCCTCTTTGCAAACCGACGTGTCTCTCGAGGACCGGAAACGCAAGTTGTCATCGCCTGAGTAAGTTACAAGATACAATTACATTTATACAGATTTTAAGTCTCCTGGATCCTCGCCGCGGCTATGTTAGATTGTGACGTCAGATGCGAGAAAGCTGAAAATTCTTAGATGGCATTGTTAAGTGAAAAGATATTTCGAAATGGCATCTGAGAATTTGTAGAGTGCGTTTTCTTGCAGCTGACGTCACAATTCCAACACAGGTGAGGAGCCAGGAGCCTCAATACAAAATGTTTGACACACGATGAATTATCGGGGCAGTTTAATTGAACAAACTTAAACATTTTTAAATTTGACTCTGCTTCTAAATTACTTTATCACTCGGTTGCAGTTAAGTTAACGCCCTCTAATGTTTAAAAAATATTAATTTATGCGGTAAATAAATGTGTGCATTTACGAAATGTACAGGTGTCTCGAAAATCGCACGTATTGGAACAAAAATGGATACAGTCTCTCGGTCGTAATTTATTTTCTGCCGCGAGCTATCACGCTCGGTGCGAGATATATTAAACGCACGGATGAATAATGCGTTATATAGCTCCAGTATGATCTTCTCAGGACGAAAAAGAGAGAGAAAGGGATAAGACCCTAGGCGGCCTCTCCTAGGATTTCCTGTACACGAGAAATTTGCATAGGGCTGTAAGACCTTGTTCTGAATTAATGCACGCGACGCTCGCTACAGGCCTATCTCGTCTCTTCTTGCTCTCCTCCTCCTTTTCCCTCTCTCCCCTTTCTGCTTCCCTTCCTACCTCTTCCTTTCTGGTCCGGTTTGTACCGCCGTCCTGCGAGTAACTGATATCTTTTTATGGAAATTGCATTAAACGATGCGAGTCCGAGTCGTTTAATACTTTTTTTTATTTATATTTCTGTTCCATTTAATTATTTCACTTTGATTCCATTTAATTTACTCATTGATTTTATATATAAGAAATTACATATAATTATATACAGTTATTATTAAAAGTATTATTAATATTTAAAATATTTTATCTAATATATTATCATTAATATATTACTAATTATTATTAATATAAAAAAACTTTAGTTGAGTCGCAAAGTTATTTCTATTTTTTTTTAAATTTCTGATCAACACAAAAATCATTAAACAATATTTATTTAATATTTAATATTTGAAAATTAATAAAAAGTTTGAAAGGATATCAGTTACTAAAATTGTAGGATTTTCTGAAAAAATAGCGTTATAGCTTTTAAATAGCAGTAAGTAGTTAATCGTGTGTTTAAAGCGGCGCTTATGAGAGAAAATCTTGAACGAGATAACTATGTGGCCGAAGTGATCAATATACCCAGGCACATGTTCCAATCAGTTGTCGTTAGTCTCTTCGTCCACTGAACACGGTACATATTTTTTTATTTTTTATTTTCCTAACCGACTTACATCGCGACCGCATTATATGTTACAACGTTGCTCGGTCACGTCGGATAACACGATATTAATGAATCACCCGTGTGTGCTCGTGTAATTACCGAGCTCGTAAATTCTCCCTGCTATGTGTCGCATGCGTTTTCATGTGATACGAATGTCGGATGATAAGGAACTGTGTATATGATCACTTGAGACAAATGATATTTCTAGAAATAACAGAACCTCATTTTAATCTCAAAATTTATATTACACTGATTTAAATTGATAACGTTAAATTTATTATTTTAATAATTCATAAATTTATCTTATATTTACGTGTGTTAAAATCTTATTAAATAACATATAAGTAAATTATATTATTTTTTATATTATAATAAACTCTGCAGTTTTTTATCATTTTTAATAATACAATTTTTATAAAATTAAAGAATTAATAAAAATTATTTTCAAAATATATATTTAAAAAAAATTTTTATATATGTATATATAAAAATGTTATTAAATAACAAATTATAATAAACTATTATTTGTAATATTACAATAAACTATAATTTTTAATATTAAAATTTATTTAGAAAAATTGAATATTAAATAAATTATTTAAATCAAACTAAAAAAATAAAAATATAAAACTTTGTTAAAACAGATATATTAGACTCCCTTTTTAAATCACTTCCAAAAAGGAAAGCTGTTTAAAGTATACATTATTCTTTAGTTCCCCAATTGAGGAATAAAATACGTTTAAACTCGAGAGAAGCGAAATAAATGAAAATTTAATGAGGAATGGAAATCTTTGGTATCTCGACGAGAGCGTAATCGGGAAATGGAGAGCCTTCGATCGGTTTTGCATTATTGACACCGTCATACGTTATTCTCCAAAGGAAATTTACTCGCGCGTGTCCGAGTTTACGGAACTGTCTCGCGACTTATGAATATGCAGCATCTCGTCTGTGCACACGTGTATACACGTGTGTAAACTCGTTAAATATAGAAGCAATCGCATTGAAAAAAGCTCCCAGGATAGTCCCCGTGAATATATTAGAGCTAAGTTTGTCGCGCGCGTCGACAGATGACATCTACAAATTAATTCATCGTGTGCGAAACGAGTTTTATTACATATTTACATTTCATGAAATTTATTTCCTGTGATATAAACAAATTATTTCTTTTTTCTAGAAACGTGGCCGTGAAAGATAATGAAAAATCGACCACTAACGGAGCGAATACGCCCGAAGATGAAGGATGGAAGGTTGCCACTGGTTGGTGTTCATTCTTTATTTTTTTATTTTTATATTCATTAAATATTCCTGACTCTCGTTTTAATATAATGTCGCATAAAAGGTAAAAGACGCAAGAAACGCAAGGATCAAGCGGTGGCAGGCGGCACAACCGACAAAAAGGCTTTCACAGAGGATAATTCTTGGAATTAGTTGCAGGAGCATTTTCGATATACACAAAAATTTTTAAAACCGACGAGATGTGTAGAATAAAAAAAAACATTTTTTTTTTCACTCTAAAGATCTTGGCGTTGATAAACCCAAAACTACCCGTGTGTGTATCATGGAATTATTTATAAATAAAAAAAGATACTAATAAATCATTTATTTCTCTGATAACGTATTGAGCACATGTACACTTTTGTCTATATTGATATATCTACTACACATTTCTTGTTACATTCATAGTCGAATGAGCAAATTTGGTCTATAAAACGTATACCTAGTTCACAATTGTTTGTGGATTCCGCTAAATTTCTTTTCATCTCATTCCATTCCTTATTTTTCCCATTACAAAATCTAACAATTACAAAAACTGTGTTATACTTATGGTATAAATTTTCACAGATATATATGTACAGTAATTATTCCTTGAATTTGTATTTTTCTTCAGTTTACAAAACGATCTCATTGGTTTCGTAGTTCAACCTTGCGATATTATATGTTGTAACATTTTAACTGGTGATTTTAAATAATGTATTGACAGTTTTTCAACTAGCGTTTGGCCCAGTTAGTATTCAACAATACATACGTTTTTGTTAAGACGCTTCAGTACATAAACAGAATCAATGTGGTGTGCGTCGTTCGATCAAAGTCATAAGGTATGTGATATCTTGAAAAATAGAATATAGTGTGACGCCGTGTATGCAAAAATAAAATATTGTAAAGCGAGTTGTGTTAGACATTTTTAGTCTAGAATTTTATTTTCCGCGCGTAAGAAAATCTGTTGGTTAAATGTAAAATATCGTTTCTTAAAAACCTGAGTTCTTCAATTATAATAAAAAAATGTCTGAAATTAACTTAAGTTTTAGAGATGTAATTTTGTAAGAATTTATTAATTAATAGCTTTGTGCGAATTATATTAAATTCATTAAACTATTTTGTACTAAACTATTAACTTACAAATAATTATATCAGTAGATAATAAATGAGTGTTGTATAAAAAAAGATTAATACACATGAGTCGACACATATTTTTCCGGGAATTCAGTATCCATTGTAATATTATTTTTTTATATTTTATTTGAACTAAAAGTTGAACAATGCAATTGGTAACATAGATTCGTTTTATTTTTATAATTATATTTCTAGAAAGATGAGTAGAGTGCTGGATTTCGAAGAGCAGAATCATGACGCACCCAGCGATACCCCTTTGCGTGGATATCAGCCGAGATTTCGCAGAACTGAACTGAATAATGCAAAACCGGTGAGTCCAATAATACCATCCTTCCTCGAAAATCCTCCCTCCAGACTGATGCGATGCGTTGGACTCCTTTGGGATTTCCAAGGGCATTGCGTTCATTCTTTATCGAGGCACATGCCGCATAGAAACCCCAAAGCTGCCTCAACAAATTAGTCTGCGTTTCATATTTTGCTATCAAAAAATATTTGTATCAGTATTTTAAATGTATTTAATTTTCCAATAATTTTCTAACAAATTATTATGATTAAAGCAAAGTATAAAAATTAAAGTACAATTTTAAATTACATTTAAAAAGCGATGTACAATTTTAATCATCTCTAATTGGTATAACGATGATAATAATAATTGGATTTATCTCGAGCTTCCTCATTTTTTCAAAGTGTGCAATTACGATTTCGCCAGTTTTAATAATCCGTCACTGTTAATAAATTCGCAATCTGTTGATTCAAAGTGATTTAAATCTGATTTTTATTTCGGAAAAGTAACTTCGATTTTATTTTGGAGAAATAGAGTTTGAAAAAATCGACAAACCCGAGCAGGACGATTAGGAAACGCGGGGATTGACGGTTAATAATTGCTGCGTGGATTATTAATTATGATCAAATTTTATTGTATAGGTCAGTATTTTACCTTTGATCTGTAATCGCTGTAAGTGATCGATTATATATACATATAATGATTAAACGTACATATAATAGGAAAGGGATGATTGAATCAAAAAATACTAGATTTTTAATTAATTATTTCATTATTTAAAAATCATATGATTTTTTCTTCTCTGATATATTTATGTGTACTTTAAAATAAATATTTAGAATATAAAAGTCAAGAAGACTCTTAATGCCATTATTTTTACTTTTTTGAAAATTTTATAATAAATAATATTTATGTAATTTTAATAATATTTATATAATTAATCAATAATATTTATATAATTTCTATATTATATATATAAATAATATTTATATAATAATATAAATTTATATAAAAACCTTTAATTATATTACTTACCTTAAGGATTATTATTTGTTTGATAAATTTATATATTATATATATTATGTATTTATATATATATATATAATATATATATTAATATTTATAATATTTATATAAATTGTATATATAAAATTTTCGAAAAAAGTAAAAATAATGGCATTATAAGAGCCTCCTTAACTTTTATATTCTACATTTCGTTACATCATTTATTCAGAGTTTTATTAAATTAATGTTTTCTAAATGAAGATAGATACAGAGTGCGCGGCACTCTTCAAAGACAAATGATTCGTATGACTGCAAAAATTCAAAATGGATATCTCTTTCTCAATTATGACACTCTCATTCCCAAGACGCGACACGTGACACGAGGGAGAGCGACTTTAATAGCCTATAGAGGCGAACGTATATTTATTACATAATTAAAAGGCTTATAAGTTACCGTTGTTCATCTCTTTCTTCCTCTCGGAGAGAGATGGATGCCTCGCTTTAAAAGTAAATCGAATATCCCCGTCAACGTTTCCTCTCGTTACATTGTCCCCGCTTAAGCCGGGAATAACTTGGGACTTAGCAGGCCAGTAGGATTTAAATGCAGCCACCACAGGACCACTAAGGCCCAAATCATCCCCAACATTTCCCGTTCTTATACGTTCTCCCCATGCGAAACGTGGTATCTGAAAAAATATTCCAAAAGCGATTATTTTGGGCTACTCGCAAAATATTTTTAGGCTTTTATTACATTTTTTCATATCATTTTAATTAATCAAAATTATACACATATTTATATATATAATTTATAATTATATTTTATAATTATACAATTAATAGAAATTATAATTATGGAAATTAATTATATATATATATATATATATATATATATATATATAATATAAAATAAAAATATATAATATATAAAAAATATATTTAATTTGATTTTTTAAATTCTACTTATTTAATCTTAAATAATAAGTCGAACAATTTCAATACTTCTCAATTGTCACATTCTGTAAGTACATACATATACATGATAAAATGACAATTAAGAAATATTGAAACTATTTGACTGATATTTAAGATCAAATGGATAGAATGAAAAAATCAAATTGTTTTAAATATAAGAAATCTGTCGATTTTATTAACGTACAGTACAAAAATTATATGAAATAATTTGATATAACTATAACTAAATTTTGTATTTAAAAAAAAAGTTGAAAAAGTAGTAGAAAGCAAAATTTAATTATTAAATTGTTTTATATAATTTCGGTACCGCGTGCTAATAAAATTGGCAGGTTGTTTATAAACCGGTTCTTTCAAAACCATTTAATTATTTTCGATTTCGGCCATTTACTTTCAAATAATAGCCGAATAATTTCAGCAACTTTCTAATTATCACCCATCATTTTATACGCACACATATACATACTATATACATCTACATGCACACAATATGTCTTTATTTTATATACCAGATGTCCGAAAACAACCAGATGTTTTTTTTAATAACAGATTCTTTGGATTTTTAGATGATTTTTTACAAAAACGTCGTTTTTATTTTTTCTTTCTTATATTTTGTTAATTTTAAATTGAAATTTTATTAAAGTCTACTTGAAATTAACTGAAAAATATAGTTTTGTTAATATTGTAATAACTAAAATTTTTTAACAAAATTTTATTTGCAGGAGAGAAGAGCTTTTCTTTTTCTCTGACTTTTTAAAAACTCGAAAATTCTTGATACCTCGATATTTTCGTTGAGAAAAAAATCATCTCGAAATTGACCAGGGAATCTGTTATTAAAAGAACATCAAGAACAGGCAGTTTTGAGACTCTGTATATACACAATATAATTATATAATTATGTAGAATTATTATTTCAAATTTTATAACATTTATTTGAAAATTATTTAATACCATATTTATATTATATTATTAATTTTTTTATATAAATATGTATACACAGTGGAAAAAATTTGTTAACTCGACTAAACCTCTCAACTAAATTCTTATTTTCTTTTAATTGAACATGTAGTAAAATATTTAAGTAAAAATATATGTTTTGTTAGATTTAATGTTATATTTAATTTAAATATTTTTATATATTTAATTAACAAAATAATATTTATTTGAAAGGTTTGGTCAAGTTAACAAATTTTTTAAATGCATATATATATACTTAATTACATTTTTTATTAATTAATTAATTAATATTTAATATACAGTATTGCAGAACATTTAATACACATATATGTTAGGTATATAATTTTTCTAAGCACCTATAAAATTATCTTGAGAAATCTTCAGAGTGAAAAATCGAACCGTTCTTTTTTTTTAACGCGATCTTTTTTTCACTTCCACGAAGCGCGACGTTTTTGCTGATTTACTAGTATTCAAATATGTCGGAAGCGTTTAATAACCGTCTGTCGACCCCGAGATTCTGTTCGCCTCATTCATTACGTTAAGTACCAGAAGTGCACCTAGTCATCCTCAGTGATTTTATGCACGCCACAAAATAACGGGTGTGCCGGAAGCCGCGTTGTCGAGAAAACGAGATAAAAAGTGTCTGTGTAAAGATGCACGCGAGATATTCGCGATCGTTTGTGTATAAGTTTATATAATAAAATGAAACAAAGTACCTATTTCTAAAAAATATCCACGAACTTTTATACATTTCTGCGTGTCAATTAAAAAAATATTTTACATGCATTTTCTGAAATTTTTGTTCTACTTATAATTTAATATACTTATACTTATAATTTAATATTATATACTTTATTATACTTGAATTATTTGTACTTATTATTTATACTTTATTATTATACTTTATAATTTAATATTATATCCTTCATTATTATATATATACTTTATTATTATATACTTATATATATAATTTAATATAGTTTAATTTTATTAAATATTTTAATTATATATTTATTTAGAAATTTATGGTTCATTATTTTTATATTATAAATTCATTTATTATGATATATTAAATAATTGTCATCTATTCAGCTGTATTTCTATATTTCACTTGAATTATATTTATATAAATTGAAATCGCTCGATACACAAGAAAGAGATAAAAGAAACAAAAGCCAGACACCTCTTGTTATTGAGTAAATCATATATTGTGTTTAAAGTCCCTGTATGTAAAAGTTTTAATTAAAATTTTAAATTGAAACATGTTAGTCCACATAAAATTATTATACTATAATTAAGAGAAGGGATCTAAAAATGTTTAAGCATTCACAAAAATCTACAAAAATTTTGATCTTAAATTGGATATTCGAAATATTGACAGATTGATTAATGCTTTTATGCACTTCCGATTTATATTAATAAATTCACACAATTTATTTAAAAAAAATTTATTCTGAAAAATACTTGAGACGCTGTAATTAAGTAAATTATTTCAATATTCTAATGAGCACAATTAAAGCAAGCTTGATGCTTTCTGCCATTTTGTGGCCTAAATTTGTGGCACAGTTTATTCTCAACCTTTCTGTCAACGCATAATTTTTCCTTCATCAATGTATGAGTACTGAGTTTTCATATTGTAATTATGACAATTTTTTTATTTATAACAATTGTTGAACATCTTTCCCATTATACTTTACAAGGTTTCCTAATTAATATAAAGATCCTTTGTATTTCGTTTCCGGCGGGAAAAATTCCAATACACATTTCTGACATTTTGACGTTTGGAGTTCATTGACAGGAGGATTAAAAATGAATCAAGCTTCTTTTTTAGAATTAGAAAATGTATTCGAGATAAAAAAACACTCGAGTTAAAAAATTATACTTTACGAGGTTTCCTAATTAATATAAAGATCCTTTGTATTTCGTTTCCGGCGGGAAAAATTCCAATACACATTTTTGACATTTTGACGTTTGGAGTTCATTGACAGGAGGATTAAAAATGAATCAAGCTTCTTTTTTAGAATTAGAAAATATATTCGAGATAAAAAAACACTCGAGTTAAAAAAAGTGCGATTAAAAGCACCATGAATGAATGT